CGAAGGAGTTGACACCAGGTCATGAGGAGGAGGAGCAGTGTCAAAGGAGTCGACACAGCTCAAGAGGCACAGGGGTGCCAAGCAGGAGAGGCCCCTGAGCAGTACTCGATGAAGAAGGTACTCTCTGGAGAGAGAGCAGGAGCAGCATCGCTGGCGATGCTGAGAAGAGGTATATAACCATGCTTTCTCATCATCATAGGTCGAGTGGATCCTCATCCACTCTACTCACCATAACTAGTTATCACTTCAGCATAAGTATATATTAGTTTCAGTCAGCATAGCAGCAATCCATCAAAGGTTGCTCCTCATTGTAGTGTGTGTGTTGTATCACCACTACCTGACATCCGAAGGCGCCCATAGCAGGTTAGCGGTCCGGATCAAGATAGAACCGAAGGCAGTAGTCCACTGCGGTCCGGGGATCACTTCAAGCATCAAGTCAACACACTGGACACTCGTGTTGACGCCACCAACCTTATCACCAACACCATCAACCTCATTATCATCGACATCACCAATCTCATCACCAACACCATCAACCTCATCATCATCAACACTCACACCAGACCTTGGTGTCATCATAACATTGATATTGATCGTGCCGAGCTACCCCTGAACGGAGTGTCCACAGAGGTCAGCCGAAACCTACGATAGTATATACAACGAACGCCACCTGCTGTCACTGCACAACTTGATAGTCACCGATACCGAGACAATAGCTGTCGCACAGTTTGATAGTCACCGAGTATCTCGACCGACCGACCTGGGTTTCAGGCGCGAGACCCCTGACACTTCCTTGCTTTCCCACTGCTCCTCCCTTGGGCACATGTACGGACCTGATCCTTCATTCCTTGACCTGGAACACCCCACGACTTCTTCCTCTGACCATCGTGATGCTGTGGAAGTAGACTTGGCATGTACTCCAGCCCCTCCTTCCCTTGATTGTCATGTACCTACCAACAGTGAGATAGCTGGTTGGTCTGAAGGATTGGTGGTGTCTAGGCTGGTGGTAAAAATCGCTACTGGGGACTATCCTCCAGAGTGGGAGGTAGGTAGAGGTTCTTCGACTGAACAGCGACTGCACCATCTGGCCATGCTTTGAATGACCAAGGGTTGTATGCCCTGGCCTAGCTGGCAATGTGCCCAGTGTGCTAGTCTTAGTCTCCCATAAGTAGTCTTTTGTACACCATTCTCTTTCTTACTGCCGACGCTAACCCCCTTTTTTAGTTGTTTTCCTTCTGCATTTGTCAACCCCTTCATCCCTTATGGATGTGTTCCTCGCACCTGCACTCATTGTCACCTTGGCAACTTGTCACATTGCAAACAGACAATTCCCATTTCTCCAGACATGGAGTACCTTGGTGACAGTCCCCCCAACAGGCAGCCTCGGGGCACTCACCTGGTGGAGCATGCACATCTGACTGTGACCAATGGTTATGGTCTGGGATTTGTTCATGCCGATGATCGAGTGACTGACCCCGACACCTCCGATGAATGGATATTTGCCATCAGTGTTCTCTGGCGCTCGCCTAACTGAGCAATGGCATTCCCAATCATTTGGATTCTCTTCTTGTACCTTGATTGTCATGATAAGTTGTGCTCAGAGCATCAACCTCATGAGTCTGTCATGGTACCTGGCGAGAATGCTGATTTCCTCTTCCAAGGATGCTGGGTTCGTCCTCCTCTCATTCCTACTTGTGAACGTGACGTGTAACAACATGTTTGTATCTGCCCCCAATTCAATTTTCTTTTGCTCCTTTTTTCTCTAAAGCCTGTGTCTCTCTTTTTTTTTTTGTCAACTTGCGTGAGATGCTACGAAATTGAACAGAGTTTTTGCCTTCCGTCAATACGTTTTGCTCTCCTCCGTTTTGTGTCGCTTTTTGTGGAAGTTTTTGTGTCGCTTTTTTGTTGAAACTTATAGTCGTCATCCCCCCGCCAATTCCTCATACTCCTGGATGAGGGTTGGGCAATCAAGAAGGTCGATCGACTCCCATGATGCTGCTTCTTCTGGGTACCCTCGCCAAAGTACCCTGTATTCGATCTTGTGATTACGAACTCGTTTGTCCAGTAAGGCCTTGACCTCGAATTCGAGGTCCTCCTCCAGTAACGATGGCTCTACTGGAATCTGCGCGCGGTGTGGAAGTGTGCTCGTCCTGGCTGGCTCCAACATTGATATGTGAAAAATGTCGTGGACTCGGAGGTTTACTGGTAGACCGATTCGATATGCCCTTCTACCAACCCTTTGTTTGATTGGGTATGGGCCTGCAAACCTCGTGTCCAACTTTGGGGTTGGTCGTCTCATCTTCCAGTTTCTTCGATTGATGTACACTAGGTCACCCACTTTGAATTCAATATCTTTCCATTTGCAGTTGTATTGGTTGACTGCCGGACTCTGAGCTTGTCTGATATGATCTTGAAGATACTTAATTCATTCAGTATTGTCCATGAAGTATTCAGCAAGCTTTGGGTCATTTACCCCAAGTTTTCCAGGTATCTCCAGATGTGACTTGGGATTCCAACCATAGCAAGCAAAAAATGGGGATATGCCAATACTAGCATGCACAGTGTTGTTGTACACGAATGCTGCCATATGAATTAAGCTAGACCAATCATCCTGCTCATAGTTGCAGTACATCTGGAGGTACTGCTCTACAACCTGATTTACTCGTTCTGTCTGCCCATCGGTTTGGGGGTGATAGGATGTACTGGGTGAGTGTTTTGCACCTAGGCTGTCTATGAATGCGGACCAAGACTTGGATATGAATTGTCGTCCACGATCTGAGACGATGTGGTCTGGGGCACCGAATAGTGGAAAGAGGTTTGTTTTGAGAAGTACAGCTGTCTGTTCCACCATTATGGTCTTTGTCATCAGGACCATGATTGTATACTTGGTCAGTCAGTCTACTATGACTAAGATGGAGTCATAGACTCCTGACATCGGCAGTCCTTCAATGAAGTCCAATGATATGGATCCCCATGGCCTTTCTGGTGTTGACAATGGTTGGAGGAGACCGTAGGGTCGGTGTCGAGGTGTCTTGTATCATGCACATACAGGACAACTCGCCACATAGTCTGCAATCCAGGCTGTCATATTAGGCCACCAGTAGTGTCTTTGGGCAGACCGGATAGTGGCATCCCATCTGACATGTCCAGCAGTTACACCATCATGACACTGAGACATCACCATGAATCGTAGATGTTCCACTGAGAGGGATTGCTCATCTACTTCTTGTGCGCCTTGTGTCCTGCATTCGTTGGTTCTTCCTGGCATGGTTACCTTTGGAATGACCAGGCATCCGTCTTTGTGCCAGAGCCCATTCCTGGTTTCAAAAGGTGTCTGGGCTTGCATCTCTTGAAGTTCCTGATCTAGGGGCTGGAACGTTCGGACTAGGCCTAGTAATCCTTGAGAAGTGATAGCCTCCATTGTTGGCATGGCTGCTATCAGTACTGAAGCAACCCCTGCTGTTTCGGGGATGTCCTGTGGTTCGTTTTCATCTTGAACTTTCTCAAACACCCTGGATGGTAGTAACTGTTGCACATTGTGTTCCTGTTCCTCCCCAATGGGTTGCATGTCTCTCCTCCAAGTTAATGCAACTGGTTCTCCAGCCTTGTTGCCTGGACGATATTGCAGCACGAAATCAAAATCAGCCAACAATACTGCCCATCTAGCTTGCCTTCCAGTAATACGTTATTGAGACTTAAAATACTTGAGGGCTTTGTGATCTGTCAGAATGATAAGCTGATTGGGTAGTCCGGCTAACATATGGCACCACTGGGTGAGGCAGGCTACCACTGCAAGGAGCTCTTTATCATGTATCTCGTAGTTCTTTTCAGCTGATGCCATCTTGCGAGAATAGTAAGCTACTGGGTGCCAACGACCTTCATGTTCTTGCTTTAATACCCCAGCAATGGCAAAGTCACTTGCATCCGTTTCTAGCCATGTCAGCAAGTGATAGTCGAAGTGTTTCAACACCCCAGCTGTTGTGAACGCTTGGGTGAGCTTGTGAAAAGCCTGCTTGGCAACTTCCAGTAACTCAAACTTCTTGAATCGTTCTGTGGGCTTTACTAACGACATAAGCGGTTTTGCGATGCATGCGAAATGAGCTATGAATCTCCGATAGAAGTTTGCAAAGCCTAGGAAACGCTGGATGTCATGGATCGACTCCAGCATTGGCCATTCTGTAACCATTCGCACCTTCTCTGGATCCATTTCTATCCCCATGGGTTTTATGATATACCCCAAGAATTCGATGGTGTCCATGTGAAATTCACATTTCGACAGCTTGGCAAATAGTCGATGCTTCTTCAAGCGTGACAGGATCTCGCTGACATGTGTGATATGTTCCTCTTTCATGTCACTAAAGATTAGGAAGTCATCCAGGTACACCACCATGAATATTCCGATGATATCACGGAAGATGTGGTTGATAAACGACTGGAAATGGGCAGGAGCGTTAGCTAGGCCAAAAGGCATTACCAAATACTCATAAAGACCCAGCTGGGTTCCAAATGCCATCTTCCACTCATCTCCATCCACAATACGGATAAGGTTATATGCGGCTCTGAGATCCAGTTTCGAATATATCCTTGCCTTGCATAGGAGGAACAACTGTTCATCAATGAGTGGTAATGGTGCTCGATTCTTGACTGTGATTTCATTCAAGCCCCTGTAATCGACGCAGAGTCGCAATCCTCCATCTTTTTTAGGTACAAAGAGTACTGGTGATCTTGCAGGGCTCTTCGATGGCCATATGAAACCTTTGGCTAGGTTTTCGTCAAGGTACTTGCAGAGTTCAGCCATTTCCTTTGGTCCCTTGAGATATAATGGTCCTTGAGGGGGCTTACTATTTCCAGCCAGTTCAAGCTGTAGATCGTTCTCCATGTGTGGTGGTAGCTTGTCTGCTTCCACCTTGTCAAACACCTCTTGTAGATGTCAGTACGGTTCCAGTATGTCCTTGATCATAACTGGTTTATCTGCTTCTACCTCCATTTCTACCCCTCGATCAGCTCCAGTAGGCACAAATCTGAATGCCGGAAGGGATGAGGGCGGAGTGTCTAGCAGCATGTACCCAATAGGGCCATCCTCCAGAGCTGCTTGGATCAATCTTTCCGCTGATATGAACTCGTGTCCATGAAGTTTTATAGACTTATAGTTCTTATCAGGGGGATCCTTTTTGTTTTTCTTCGGGGGCACCAGTCATGGGGCTCCTGACTCTTCTGGTTGGTCCTTCTGAGCTTGGGTCTTGAATTTGAGTTGGCCAGTATCCCACTGGATCATTGGTCTCAACCTTTTCAATTCCGAGAAACCCAGAATGAGGTCATACTCAGCAGTGTTGGCTACTGATGCCTCCACCGCCCCTAGTACATGTTTTCCAATAACTACCTGCACCGTAGCAGAGCTGTTAATGGTGAGTTTGTGTCCAGTGACACCATGTACAGTTCGTGTTTTTGTTGGTTTTGTGTTTAAGTGGTACTTGCTGACGAAAGATTCTGAAACTATGGATAAGCCTGCGCCTGTGTCAGCGAGTATTCGGGCCAGGTGATCTTGGATCGTACCCATTAACTCAAGCACTGCCTTGCTTGTGTTAGCAGAGAAACAAACAGAACAATCTTGATATGTACAAATGGATGGCAACCAAGGTTGTAGGGCAATGCATGCCATCAGGGCATCGTCCCACTGATGTTTCCCTCCTCGTCCTCCTCATAATTGCTCTCTGCCTCGTCGGCGAGAGATAACTGAGCGAGCTCGAGGCTGGCTTGCTTGACTGAATATGCATCTTGCGGTTCTTCTTCAGTCGTGCTTTCCTCCTCAGGAGTTGATTCTCCCTCAGGGGCATCTTCTAAGGTCACCATGACTTTTGGACCATTAGGTCTGGTTGTCGTTGGTACGGGAGGTTTCCTAGTAGGACAATCCCTTGCCCAATGTCCTGTGCCTCTGCACATGTGACAAGTGTTGCTGTCCTGAGGGTTAGCCTCCCTTGGCTTCTGGGCTTGTAACAGGTGAGGAGGCAGGGGACGATTACCAAATTGGTATGAAGTACCTGCAGTTACAGGTCCAGGTTGTCGGGCCTGTGGGATTGCTGTTGTTGTTGCTTGTGTGACCAGGTTCATGTGAGATGTAAGTACGCTGGGATATCTTGAGGCAGAATGTTGCATCACCATTCATTGACGATCAATGTCCTCTACCTCTTGATACCATTCCCAAATACTTGTAGGTGGGTTTCGCTCAAACTTCTCCTGAAGACCATGGGTGAGGGTACTTCGGAATAAGTCAATAACCAAGTCCCTGTCCTCCATATTGACTTGCCCTTCAAGGTCCCTGAACCATTCAACATGTCGAGTAGCTGCACCAGGTGTGTCAGTTGTGAGTCGCATGTTGAGTAGCTTGTTGTAAGCTTTGATTCTTGAATTGCAGGGGTTGTATTGTTCAGTCAAGCGTTGTCTGAAATAATGCCAGTCATGGAACAATCTCCCTTGTTGGTCGTGATCAATTCATATCTTGGATGTCCACCATTTGCAAGCATTCCCTTCCAACTGGGACCCCATGTGATGGATCATGCTCTTGTGGTCATAGACTCGATTGAATGCAAACCATGTTTCAGCTTTGATCAGGAAGATCTCCACATCCCTCAGATTGAACTTTGGGAAAGGGGTGGAAAGTGGTTTAGACTGACCAGGGGAAGGCTCCCCCATGTTCTTGACGTCATATTTGGTGTCCCTAGGTATTCCTTCATAGGGCTGACTGTACCTCGGCCTGGTAGGGGTCACATACTTCTCGTAGTTCAAATATGATTGTGTGTTTTGACCTAGGAATGACCCCGTCCTGTGTGGTCTGGGTGCTGGGTTGGGTTCAAATGACTCCTTGTTGGTAGTCTCCTCAGACTGACTGTTGCTCCCGATGAGGGCTTCCAATGACTCCAACCTTTGCACGAAATGGTTGGTAACTGTCCGATTCATTGATAGGAGCTTCTCCATTCTTTCCTCGGACCTTTCCATTAACCTCTGCAGCTCCTCAAACCTATCCTTGGTGTCAGGCTCCATCATGTTGTCGTGGGGCACAACTTGAACGATCCACTCTAATGTAAGTGGTTGCGCACCAGAGACTAGCTGGGGTTGATTGAGTAAGGACTACTCGATATGATTCGCCTAAACATAACCAAGCATCGTTGCCTAGTAAGTCTCGACTGACTGCCTTGAACACTCTGTTCAGAGGTTGCGCAGCATGGACGTCATTTGTTGGTGAGTGCGTGATACACCCTCCCCTACAGTACAAGTGTTTGTAGTACTGTTGATATGCTCTTGGATGTCGTCTGGACTGCGATATGCCAATTGCCTACAGAGAATGTGAGTTACTGGACCGCTGGTGTAAAACACTGCCTACAATAACCGACTGGACTGCTGGTGTCGAGCAACACTGCCTACAGCAAGGAACTGGACTGCTAGTGTGAGAACACCGCCTACAGTAATGAACTGGACCACTAGTGTAAAGAACACCACCTACAGTTGTGAACTGGACTGCTAGTGTAAAGAACACTGCCTACAGTTGTCAACTAACGGTGATACAACACACACATTGAGAGTCATTGCAAGAGCACTGCTATTGCGAAGATACGTAACCTAGTAAGTATAGAGTAAGTAGTAGAGTTTTCAGAGTGGATGCCCATCCACTCGAATGCTATGGTAGACAGAGAGTATTTATATGTTCGATCGGTGTTTTCCCTCGACACCTATCCTGCTCCTCTTGAGGGGCCTTTGTCCCCTGTTAGGCACTGCCTTGCCCTGCTGGCATCATCCCCTTCGATACTGTGCTCCTACCATTTTGCTCAGCGCAAGGGTTATGCAACACTGCCCTCTCACCTTCATGCTCTCCTTCTGTCTGATGTGTGATGCCCCCTTCCAGCACGGCCCCCTTTCAACTTAATCTTGTGAATCCCCTTTTGAACCTCGTGACCATACCCCCTGGTTATGTGGTCACATTGGCTCAGTTCTGTCTCGACTTGTTCAGATCAGCCGACTAGTTGAAGCGTGCTGATTCAACTGACTCCGACATCGGCACAGCTCCAAATACTTGTTCGGATCGGCCGACTAGTTGAAGCGTGCTGATCCGACTGACTCTGACATTGGCACAGCTCCAAATACCTGTTCAGATCGGCCGATTAGTTGAGGCGTGCTGATCTGACTGCCTCCGTCATCAGCATAGCTCCAAGTACTTGTTCAGATCGGCCAACTCATTGAAGCATAATGGTCCAGCTGACTCCAACTGTTCCCATGAGATCGATCTGGATTCCCAGGGTTCAATTGATCTCGTAAATCATGTGCACTGCCAACCTGATTAATCTCGTTGATCCCCAATGGTTGTCGACTCTGATCAATCTGGTGCACCCTTCATATGTTGATCTTCTGCGCACCCTTCATATACTGCTCCGTTACGCGACATTATCATAACTGCCGCTGATCATCTGGCGCACTCTCTTGCGCGGGCCAGCCGTCCCTGTGACAGGCACCTTCATACACATCAAAAGTAGTGACATGGAAAGTTTCAGCTCCATCAGATGACTGTGAGTGATCTGGCAGCACTTCCAGTCTGACACCATCATATCTATACCATCATGCCAAAAACCACCCCAGAGAGGTGCTGATTGGCACTCTTTCACATCCAAAATGGGGAATCTACCCATTCAGTTGCCAAGCAACTTGGTATGAGCAAGTCTACTGTGAATTGCACCAGCAAAAGCACCTCCACTTATGTTCCAAAGTCAAAGGGGGGCTGGCCAAGAAAACTCTAGCCTCATCATGTTCACTTCCTGGACCACTATTTTGAGCTCAATTCAATGTCCATGGTCAGGAAAGCATGTCATGCACTGCAGGAGACATTTCAAGTCAAAACATGCACAACAACAGTAAGAAAAGCACTTCATTACTGTCATTACAAAGCACAAAGGTTAGTGAAAAAACTGAAGCTACTCAAGAGACATTACAAAGCCCATTGCAAATTTGCTAATGAGCACAAGGACATGACTGTTGAGGATTGGAAGAATGTGGTATGGTCCAATGAGATGAAGATCAACTTCTTTGGACTGGATGGTAAGCAGTTCTGTTGGATTAAGAATGCTGGCTTCAACAGCAAGCTTGTCAGGCCAATGGTCAAGTTTGGCAGCAGCTCCATCATGATCTGGGGCTGTATGACATGGGAAGGGGTTGGAGGTATATGCTTGGTGCTGGGATCAATGAATTCAGACCAATACATTGATATCTTGAATGACAAGCTTTTGAAAACAATCTCAGATTTGCAGCTTCAGCATGCATACACTGACATCATGTTTCAGCAAGACAATGACCCAAAACACATGTTGAAGAAGACAAAAATGTGGTTGGAAGGCAATAACATTAAGGTTATGCAATGGCCGGAGCAGTTGCCAGACTTAAACCCAATTGAACACCTCTGGCACCATCTCAAAATGTGACTTTCATGGTATAGTACAATTGCAAAGTCCAGGGATGAACTGCTCAAGAGATGTGAAGCTGAATGGACAGCAATCACTCCAGAGACATGTGTCATGGGAATGGATGCGCAGAGGCCAGAAGATCCATCAAATTCATATGAAGGGAGCACAGGGATCAAGGGATCAGGCAGATCGTGGGATTTGAGATGGACTTCACTGAGATTGGTAGTAGTGCCAGTCCTATGACAGATCTCACTGAGATCGGCAGAAGGAAGGATAGTACTAAGATGACAAGATTGGCACGAGAGAGGATGGTACTATGGATCACACCGAGATCGGTGATAGAAGAAAGGGTATGGTGGATTCCGCCAGGATCAGTAGTAGGAAAGATCCTATCACAGATTCTGCAGAGATCAGTGGTAAGGATGATAGTGTGGCGAAGCTTCACATGCAAGTAGTGGGACCAAGCACCACCAAGAGGGGACCTAGCTCAGGAGCATGCAGCTGGTTACCACTTGGGGGCACACAAGATAGGAATAAAGGGGGTCCATCGCTGGTCCAAGGGAGGAGAGCAGTGTAAGAGAAACCAGTGAGGAAGACATAAAGAGGAGGAGCAGTGTCGATGGAGTCAGCACAGCTCAGGAAAGACAGATGGACGGCGTAATGAGGAGGAGGAGCCTCATTGGAGACTCCTGTGAGGTACTCGATGCAGAAGGTACTCTCTGGAGAGAGAGCAGAAGCAGTGACATGGGCGACACTGCGAAGAGGTATAAAAGCCACACCTTCTCATTGCTAATGGTCGAGTGGATTCTCATCCACTCTACTCACCATACAACTAGTCAATACTTTAGAAACATAAGTACTCATTAGTTTTCAAGTCAGCATAAGTTGCAATCAATAGATTGCTCCTCATTGAAGTGCATGTGTTGTATCACCGTTTCCTGATGTCAGAAGGCAGTTCTTAGCAAACCAGTGGTCCGGATCTCGATAGAACCGAAGGCAGTCATCCACTGCAGTCTGGGGATCACCTCAAGCATAGTCGATGCACTGGACACTTGTGTTGACACCACCAATCCATATTCACACCAGACCTTTGAGGTCATCAGTGAGTTCGCATAAGTTATTGATCATGCCGAGCTACCTCTGGATGGAGTGTCCAACAGTGGTCAGTTGAAATCTGCAATAGCATCATCACAACTACAGATTCAAGCGAGAAAAGTAATAGAGACGGCTCTACTGCATACCTCGTGAAGAATCGCAATACCACAAGTGCTGTCACATAACTCGACAGAATTGGTAATAGTATTGATACAACTACCGATCTCAGGTTTCAGGTGTGCGACCGCTGACAACATGTAGGACGCTAATAGAGAGTATGCCGGACTGCATCAAGGCAGTTCTGAAGGCCAAAGGAGGGAATACAAAGTACTAAGGTGTTCTCGAGGAGCACTCCATAAACTGTCCCACAATAAAAAAAAATTGGCTCTTCTTCATAGCACAATTTTCTTAGTCAATGTCAATATCATTTCCACAGTCTTGGAGAGAAGAAGCAGGGCTTTCAGACAATATCAGACAGTGTGGCAATACAACTTATAGCTATTGAGCATTAGAGTGATGTATGGTGACATGTAAAATCTTGGGACAGTTTACATGTGAGCTGTATATACAAACCTGTGGCACATGCCCAACTGTGGGTGCATCCTACCTAATGACAATATATAACAACGAGTGGGACATGGTTGTATCCAATCTCTGTCTTGTATCGGCTCAGCCCGTTCCCCGATCAAGTTTGCATCACCAGATCCCGATCAGATCTATCCTGCCTGATTGCCGACCGAACGCTCTTCTGCGCCACTTTTCGACGTTGTTGAAAGTCGCCGGGAAGCGAGCGACATGTTGTCTTTTGAGAATTTTAGCGGCCTAACATTTGTTCAGACAATCGTAGCTCTAACATTCTCAAAAGAAAAAAGATCAGCTCCACTTCTCAACCCGGATCACTGGTTGACTCGTTTGAGCCTGTCACTTGCCCTCCATCATCCCAGGCTTTCGAAGGTGATCAAAAACAATGATCTCACTGCTTTAACGCTAATTCTGACCGCTAGCACCATCAACATGCCAGCTCATCCTCGTGGGCTGGCGCCCGACCCAAATACCTGGCGCAATGATTCCAGATATTGTGCGCCAGGCGGACCAGGCCAAGTCCAGCCACCCACAGGTCCATCTCGAGGTATGCATTCTCAGTATCAGCCCCCTGCTGGACCTTCGTATCAGATCTCTGCTCCAGTATCAGTGTCAGCGTCAGTGCCAGCCACGGGCACAAGCTCAACTCCACGAATCCCAGACCCCCCTGCTATCCCCACCTTTTCGCACGTTGCCTACTTCACCGCGATCCAACTCGAGATCCTCTACGCTCGCAAACGCGGCGCACGCATGTCGGCTTCAACATGGAAAGCCAATCGTGATGCTGCCGTCGGTTTCATCCAGGCTGTCGCCTCCAGACTCGGCTTCCCACAGCGTACCATCGCAACTGCCCAGCAGATCTACCAGCGTTTCCACCTCTTCTACCCACCCGCCGAATTCTCCCTTCGAGAGATTGCCTTAGCATCCCTCTTTGTCGCTGCCAAACTCAACGACACGCATAAGAAACCAAGAGACATTCTGCTCGCCAGCTATGCACTTCGCTTTCCTGACCTCGTGAAAGGCAACTTCTCTGGCCGCGACACTGCTGGCCCTTTGTCGACTCGAGCTGACAATAACGTAGCTCACGATCCTACTATCTCGGCTCTTGCGGGTCAAAAGCGGAAAAACGCACCAGACATCACTACTGGCTCATCTTCACCAAAGCCTCTAGCGATGGCAATAGGTAGTGTGGCAGAAGCCGATATCGATCCCAACCTCGTTGAATACGATCGAAAGCGACTCATGGCACACGAGAAGCTCATTCTCGAGAGTTTGTGCTTCAACTTTCATAGCAGCGCCAACATCACGCTTAAGATGGTCATCAAGCTGGCAAGGAGGAGCAAGCTATCCAAGTCGTTTACTCGGTCAGCTTGGAAGATTGCCGCGGACATGTTCCGCACAAGTGCGCCGATGCAATATCCGCCGAATGTCATTGCTGTGGCTGCTCTGTACGCTGTTGCTTTGCTTGCACGTCCTCCACCACGCAGCTTCCCAAATGAGCAGCAGCAAGGAAATCGAGATGCGGCATCCAGCTCGAAAGATGCTGACCCGATCGTCAACTTCTTGCATAGCATCAAGTCCGTTTCAGCAACACCGACAGCAGAGGAAGCCTCATTATCAACACGAACCCCGGCACCAGTCCCACTATCTGAACCCTTTCCTGGATGCGACTCAGAATGCCACGTCCTTGTCGAAGACGTGGAAGAATCAGTCCACGAACTCCTCGACCTCTACCTCGGCTCGACAGCTCAACTCCCATCTTGGCTCTATGACGACACAGCATCCACCACCAGCTCTCCCCTCTCCCCTTCGGACCATCTTGAGAGTTTCAACATTATACCATCTTCTCCAGCTGATTTGGGAGACCCGAGTGGTCGCCCGCCCAGGAAGGTACGACGTCCGCAGCAACAGTACGAGTACTCTCCTCCGCCATTTGGACTTGTCGATTGGCTCAACTCGGCTCGCTTCTTGGCCTTACAAGCTCAACTGCAGGCTGTGAAATCTTCAGACAAGACAGCAGAAAGTTTCAAGTCAACAGCACCAGTCAAAGAGCTCTCAGCACTGCTTACAGATCTCAAGATCTATCTGCGTGGGATAGAGTATGATCGACAGAAAGCTGATGATGCATACTTGGCTGAACTAGGTATCTTAGCAGAGGTCAATGTGTATCCCTTGCCCGAAGCCGAAGCTGCAGAGGCTGCTGCTGCGGTTGGCGCTGTAGGGATGCTGAACACACCTGCTCATTCCGTGTCGATCAAACTTGCGCCTTTGAACGAGACTCAAGCGGGTAATGTGGAACAGGCGAGTCGAGGTACCGCTGCACCAGCACCGACGGCGGAGGATCCAACAGCAAAGTTGACCAAAGAACAGAAAAAGATTGTGGAAAGAATTAGAAGGCGCAAACTTGTGTCCGCGCTTCGATTGACATTTGTCGAACCTGGAGTGGAGAAGAGGTTCAACATGTCGGCAGAGGCAGTACAAAAGAGAGAAGATCAAAAGCTCCAGCAGGTGAAGGAGCAACAAGCCGCAACAGCCACTGTAGCAGGAAGAGGTGAAACAGTTGTTGTGTCCAAGCGAAACCGTATCGAAGCAGCAAAACGCTATCTCTTCTAATCCTTCATCATCGTAACTATACTCAATTGTCATTATCCACAAACAAAAGACTGTGATGCATTGAATCTTGATCAAATGCAAAAGTGAAGGGTGAAAGTATTCGAATGTCGACATCGATTTCTTGCCCAGAAGCGGTAGAGGTAAATGACCTGCTAGCTAGGTAATGTGTATATCGTGCTCGCACCTTTGCCTCTCCCGGAAAGGAGAGAATAAAAGTGTTGCTCTTTCCCGTTTTTCCCTCAACCAGATGTCCACTGAAAAAAGGACACTGTGATGAATATAACGGGAGGAAAGGTCCCAGAAAGGTAGCTCACGGAGAGGAAGGAGGCAAGAGAGGCTCGACAGAATGGAAGCAATGAGGCGGGGAAATGTACGGGGAACAGGGTGGCATGAAACGACACTCGACACAGGCGAGCGGGAGCTGTTTGAAAACGAGGTACTTTCAACCACGGAGGCGTCATCATACAGATGAAGATGGCCCTGATCGCAGACCCGAACAAAGCAGGTATCTTACAATTAGAACGTGTGCTGGTTGGGAATACGAGAGTGATGATTAGACTTGCGTGTTTGAGGGCGATTGCGAATACCTGAAGGAGAGAAAGAGAGAGTTGCTGAACGAATAAAAAGAAGCTGGACGGGTGGTAATACAGTGCTGAGCGGACGAATGGAGAGCAGGAACGAGACCGAATCAAATCAAGCGAGTTTGTCAACGAGTGAGGATCTCACTTGCGACGGTTCTGCTGCATGCCAAGAATCTGGACCATGCGAACAAAGATGTTGATAAAGTCGAGCTCGAGGCTGATGGATTCGGCAAGAGGATCACCCTGAGTGTAGCCAGCTCGGACAGCTTGTGCATGCTTCAAGATGCGCTGAGTGTCGTAGAGAACAAAGGCACCAAAGACAGCAAGACCACCGTAGAGCGAGAGCGACTCGGTGACTGCGAGGGTACGGAAGGCGGTGCGAGGCAGAATCATGGGAGCCAGCGACGACAGGGCGACGATGGTGACACCAGCAAGCAAAGGACCGCCCATCCAGAGGTACTTGTCTTCCTTAGCAGTAGCACCGACGTAGCAAAGCGAGCCAACAAGACCGGCGGTGTAGAGGGCAGCTCGCGAGAGGACGGCAGGGTTGAGGAAGAGCAATGGGCTGAGAACTGCGGCCTGGGAAGCGTTGAAAAGCAACCAAGATGGGACCTTCATGGGGTGACCGGGTGGCAGCGAGGTGGCACCAATCATACCACCGATGCTAGCAACGAGGCCGACACCGAGCACAAGCCATGGGTTGGCCATCATGACTCGCTGAGAGACACCGTAGCGGTGAAGACCGACAGCAGCAGCGCCAGTGAGGGCCAAGCCACCAGCAAGATACATGAAGGTGCTGTTCAGGTAGCTTGCCTCGACTGGGTGCAAAGCATCACGGGTCTCGCGGTTGAAGAACATGTTGGCAGCAAAAGCAGTACCACCGATGATGCCGAGACTGGCCAAGGCGCGAGTCCATCCGCCGGGCTGCGAAAAGCTGGTAGGGGCATTAGCAGCTGGTGCAGCGTGTGGTGCTGAAAATGCAAGACGACCGCCGAATCCAGTAGCGCTATCGCCGTTGGGACGAAAAGGGCTGGTGCGGACACCTCGAACCTGTTGTTCAACATGACGAAGCGGTGTCGAGGATGCGGACAGGCCACCGCGAGCCGTGGAGGTGAGAGCCGGCTTGGCGGCAGAAGCTGCGGAAACAAAGGATCGCAGGGGCTGGGCAACAGCACTGCTGGTGGTGGGAGTGGATGCCGATGCAGAGGATCGAGCCACCAGCAAGGAATTGCGCAGCGAGCGCTGAAGCGTCTGGAAAGACGGCCTCAACATGATGGAATGTCTGTGAAAGGTACTGATGTGTAGTTTCGATCAACGAGTAACTGTGATATGGATGGTGAGAACGAGGTTAGTCGATGGGACGGCTGATAGCAATTCGAGGTGCTGAAGCTGAGGAAAGGTATCCCAGAGTTTGTGAAGAAAGAAAGGGCCGGGCCATGATGACGCTTCGTTGATATATATACCCTTCAAAGCTGAGAAGACAGAAGAGCGACTGAGCCACGAATAAGCTTGACTGGACTAATTTTCCTTACTCACACCTCCACCTTCCGCCTTCGGACGAATGAGCCGTGAGCCGTTCTGTGCCAGCATTTGCTGCGGAGATGACGCTGAACAGAGGCTGCTAGCAATTTCCACGTTGCAAATCCTCTCAATCGTCGATCACGGCCTGACTCGTGCGATACAGCAAGGCGAGCTCACACGCACACACACACTCGCACGCACGCACGCACCACACACAACAAAAGCAGCAAAGCGCCCCCTTTTTTTCTTTTTCTTTTTCTTTTTCTTTTTCTTTTTCTTTTTCTTTTTCTTTTTTTTGTCCTTTTCTTCTCAAAATTTTCTAATTCTTCTCACAGGCGCTCACTCGACTGTGTCAGTTGACTTCTCCTTGTCAGCAAACAAGAAGACACGCTTCTCTAGGCCAGAAAAAGTGTTCTTCTGGATCGTGTTGAATTTTTTTCTTTTTTGCTTGCAGACAGAACCGAGCTGGAGATCTTCTTCCTCGTGTCCTCACCCTCACCTTCTTCTCCACCTTCTATCCACCCTACAGACTCTCCTTCTCCACCATTTTACATTCGTTGTAGTATCTGCCTGTTTCGCAGTGACTGTCAGCGTTAGTGCAGCTCGATCTCGCACACCTTTCCATCGCCGTCCTGCACGGAGGGCAACCCTCATCAGCGTCACTTGACGACGTTTTCGCTTGACCGAAGCTACTCGGATCTCCCCACCACAACCATGGATGTAAGTGTTGTTCTCCATGCTATCCGCCGTTCGCTTTCCCAGCCATAACCAACATTGTTCCGCACCCAATTGAGCATCTTTGACTGACCCGTACATCCTTGATACTTTCGCAATGACAGGCTTCCTACGTCCAGGGCCTTCATGAGCTTTTAAAGCAGAGCTGTGTCCCTGACACCAACACTGTCAAGGCCGCTACCGAGTCGCTCCAGAATAACTACTACAAGAACCCGCAATGTGTTCCCGCACTCTTCGAGATCTTGGCCACCTCGCCTGACTTTGCCGTTCGACAGCTCGCTGCCGTCGAGTTGAGGAAGCGTCTCGCAAAGAGCGGAGGTAAGGTCTGGACCAAGCAGTCGCTCGAGATCCGTGATGGTATCAAGGCTAAGCTCCTCGAAGTCGTTACCAACGAGCAGTCCGGTCCAGTCCGCAACTCGATCGCTCGTGTTATCTCCGAAATTGCAAAGCGCGAACTCCCCGCTGGATCATGGCCCGCTCTCCTCCCCTTCCTCTTCCAAGCTGCCGATTCGCCCAACGCCACACACCGACAGATCTCGCTCTTTGTCTTCTACACTGTTCTCGAGACCTTCGTCGACGGTGGTGAGGCTCTCGACACGCACCTCCCTCAGATCATGCAGCTTTTCGCCAAAAGCCTTCAGGACCCCGAGTCGCTCGAAGTCCGTGTCACCACCGTTCGTGCCCTCGGTAAGGTGGCCCAGAACCTCGAGAGCGATGCTTCCGCTGACCTTGCTGCTATGCAGTCCGCTGTGCCCCAGATGGTCGGTGTCCTCAACCAGTGTCTCGAGGCAAGCGACCAGGACGGTGTCCGTCAGATCCTTGACGTGCTCGAGGAGATCTGCATGCTCGAACTTCCGATCATCTCCAACCACATTGCCGAGCTGATCGACTTCTTCCTTGCCAACGGTGCCAACAAGGACCATGAGGAGGATCTCCGACTCATGTGCCTCAACTCGCTCATCTGGATCTGCTCTTACAAGCGCTCCAAGGTCCAGAGCCTTGGTCTCGCCAAGCACATGATTGTTCGCTTGATGCCCATTGCTGTCGAGCAAGACTCGGACGATGTCGACGAAGACTCGCCCTCGCGTCTTGCTCTCCGTGTCATTGATGGTCTCGCTACCGAGCTCCCTCCCAGCCACGTCTTCCCTCCTTTGCTCGAGCAGATGCAGGCATACATGGGCAACCAGGACCCTCATCACCGCAAGGCCGCTATGATGGCTTTTGGTGTCTCTGTCGAAGGCTGTTCCGAGTACATTCGCCCCCACATGAACGACCTCTGGCCCTTTGTCGAGGCTGGTCTCAAGGATCACGAGGCTGTTGTCCGCAAAGCTGCCTGTGTTGCCCTCGGATGCCTCTGCGAAATGCTCGAGGACGAGTGCGCTGCCAAGCACGCTACTCTCTTGCCTGTCATCATGGAGCTCGTCAACGACTCTGCCACCCAGCGATCGGCTTGCACCGCTCTTGACTCGTTGCTCGAAGTGATGGGCTCCGACATCTCGCAATACTTGCCTGCTATCATGGAGCGTCTTGCTGGTCTCCTCGAGACTGCCCCCATTCCTGTCAAGGCTACTGTCACTGGGGCCATCGGCAGTGCCGCTCACGCCTCCAAGGAGGGTTTCATCCCTTACTTCGACCAGACCATGCAGCGCATCAAGCCCTTCCTTACCCTGACCGAGGAGGGCGATGCTATGGACTTGCGAGGTATCACCACCGACACTGTCGGCACCTTTGCCGAGGCTGTTGGCAAGGATGCTTTCCGTCCTTACTTCCAAGACTTGATGAAGCTTGCCTTCGAGGGTATGGACCTCAACAACCCCCGTCTTCGCGAGTGCAGCTTCATCTTCTTCGCCGTCATGTCGCGTGTCTTTGGCGAAGAGTTCACTCCTTTCTTGCAGCACGTTGTACCCAGGCTCATCCAGTCGTGCCAGCAGTCTGAGCACGACCCGGTACCTGGTGCTTCCGGCGACGGCACCGTCAATGGTATCGGCATCCCCGGCTTGAGCGCTGGTGATGGCGACGAGGATGATGATGGCTTCGTCGACATTGACGAGCTCAACGACGCTTTCCTCAACGTCAACTCGGCCATTGCCATCGAGAAGGAGGTTGCTGCCGACTCGCTAGGTGAGATCTTTGCGCACACCAAGTCGGGCTTCCTGCCTTACATCCAGGAGTCGGTCGAGCAGCTGGTTATCTTGCTCGAGCACTTCTACCAGGGCATCCGAAAGAGCGCCGTCTCGGCCCTCTTCACCTTCATCAACACACTCAACGAGCTGAGCAACCCTCAGCCATGGCAGGCTGGTGTGCACGTCAAGGTACCCCTCAACGCCGACGTGCAGAAGCTCGTCAACGCCGTCATCCCTGCCGTTATGGAGATGTGGGAGAGCGAAGATGACCGGTAAGTTTCCATTCCCACATCACATCACACTATACCCTTTGTTTCCCATCGATACCCAGAGACAGCCGCAGACTGCAGAAGACAAGGATGCATAGACATGCGCTAGCTGGACAGTGCACGTCGGCCACCTTTGAAGGATGACAAACTTTTCTCAGCTCACAATGACGACCGTTATAGGAGCGGTCGACGTGACTATAACCTTTTTTTATATAACCAAAACTGATACTTGGCAAGAGTAATAGCCATTGGTGGTTGTGGTCTATGCATCCGTCTCTGCACGTCGGTGGATACCACTTGCGACCCTGCACTGCGTTGAGCTTTGACACTGACCCACCTCTTCTCTTGATGGGCCCTGTATATTAACAGAACGGCTGCCATCGAGGTCTGTCAGTCGTTGGCCGAGTGCCTGAACAAGAACGGCCCAGCGATCGTTGCTCCTGACCATCTCGACACGGTTTGCACTTACACCATCATGATCCTCGAGAAGAAGAGCCCACCTCAGCTTGACTCGGAGATCCCCGAAGAGGAGAATGAGGAGGCTTCCGAGTACGAGTCGGTTCTCATCTCGGCTGCTTCGGACCTTGTTGGTGCTATGGCCAATGTTCTTGGTGGCGACTTCACCGACCCATTGAAGCAGTTCATGCCTCAGATCATGAAGTACTACACTCCCGGCCGATCGGTCAGCGACCGAGCTACCGCAATTGGCTCGCTCGGCGAGATCATCACTGGGATGAAGAGTGCCATCACCCCCTTCACCCAGGACATGCTCTCGCTCCTTTCGCGTGCCCTCTCAGACGAGGAGGCTTCGGTGCGATCCAATGCTGTTTTCGCCTCGGGTGTGCTGATCGAGAATACGCAGGCCGACTTGAGCTCGCACTTCCCTGCGCTGCTCAACGCCATCCAACCTTTGTTCGAGAAGGGACAGAAGGAGGCTGACGAGGTGTTGACTGCTCGCGACAACGCTTGCGGTTGCATGTCGAGGATGATCATCAAGAATGCCGAGGCTGTGCCATTAGACCAGGCTCTTCCCATCTTGTTCTCGTCATTGCCTTTGCAGAAGGACATGGCCGAGTGGTCACCCGTGCTTCACTGCATGATGAACTTGATCCAGAGCAACAATGCTGTTGCCTCGCAGAACATCGAAACCATCCTGCAACTCTTCGCTCACGTTCTTGCTGGCGACGAGGATAACCTTGGTGCTTTGTTGCGCGGACAGGTGTGCGGTTTTGTCAGCCAGCTCAACACTCAGATCCCTGACAAGGTTCAGGCGGCTGGTCTGCAGCAGTATCTCGTGTAAAATCTTCTCTTCTGTCTCTCAGGATACGGCAAGCCTGTCAATCATCATTGCAAACATACCCGAGTAGTGTCTCTACGCATTTGCTCAAAACTCTCTATCTAGCATTCCATCCTTTCTCGCATTGACATGTTTGCAGGTTTTCCGTTTCTTTCATCCTTTGTTTTCTCATCTTAGACATTACGAGTGTTATTGTGTTCGCATAGATGTGTCAACTTCGAACCGCAAATGAGACGAGGCTGTAGATGTGATGAACGGGTCATCATGATCAGAAGAGAAGGAGAAGTGTCCAGGTCTGATTGGCTGAGCAAGGATCTGAGAGCAAGCGGCAGGGGAGCGAATATAATTGACATCCGGATTATTTCAAATGAGTGGAAAAGCACGACTTGTTTTTTATTGTTTCTTTTAAGCTGTCAAACACAAGATGAATACAAATTGGAATACGTGTCGGCGCTTAGGAAGCCAAAAGGCCGGCAAAGAAGCTTTTAAATTTCCAGAGTGCAACACTTGTAACACCTTTTTAACTTTAACTCTCGCCCTGTCCTTCTTGGCCATAGCGCGTCTAAAAGAGGAAGCCTTGAAATTTCGCGTCTCTCGCGCCTATCAGTGCACGACACGGTTTTGTGTGTGTGTGTGTGTGTGTGTGTGTGTGTGTGTGTGTATATGTGTGTGTGTGCTGGCGCTGCTGTTGAAAATGAGAGTAGGGGGTTTCATTTTATTTTTACTTTCAAAAACTCAAGTTATTTTTGAGTTTTAAATTGTGTTGAATATCTATTACTTACATAAGCTCTGCCATTTTGACAAATGCTCTAGTTTTTGAAAACACTGCTTCAGCAGTACCATTGCAGCATAGTTTTCAAAATTGGACCTGAGTTTTCACTTGTGTGATGTTGCACATGATGTTGCATGTGATCTACTTGCACAAATACCTCCCTGTTTCCTGCACAGCTTTCTTTGCATGAACCCTTTCTTCTGCACAAAACCCTTTCACTTGACTCCTCTCCTTGTCCCTTTCTGCACAGAGTAGAAGTCACTTTTTGTTTAGCCACCACCTTGTCAGCAGTCATGTGCCTGGAACCTGAAAGCTACTGGTTTGGGTGATTTCAACCAGTTTCAGTGAGCACTCTTGAGTATGCACCTGTCAGCCACTTTCACTGAGACTGCTTGAAGGATTGTTTGTTCAACAAGTTTTCAGCTAACTGCTGTGAACACTCAGTTCAGTGGTAATGTGGCACAGTCAGTTCCTGCTTAATGCAGAACACTTAATATATGGGATGATAATCTGTCAACTTGACACAAGTGTTTGAGGTGTTGATGATCAAATGGCAAATCAGTGAGAGAAGCCCAGACTGCAGTATGAGTACTGCCTTCAGAGGGATGATTATCTGGACTGCAGTAACTACTACCTACAGACAACATCAGTGAGGGGTGATATGACACACCTGCTCAGATTAGTAGCAACAGCCTACAATTGCACTATGTGATGGAACAACTAAGTATACATTACAGTAGAGTATAGTTTAGTTAAGAATAGAGTGGATGCCAGATCCACTCATTCACTATGATGGGGGGGTGTATATATATGTTTGTGCCATGGTGTCAACTCCACCATGGCCCCCCTCCTTGCAGGGGTGTGGCCTCTCCATCCACCCTTGTCTATCTGGCTCCTTTGGCATCCCAGTCCTTCCTGCTCCTACTTCTCTGGCTGAGGCAGCAATCCTCCTACACCACCTTCATTGTACTCAGGGGTTACTCTCCCACCTCATTGGGTGGTGAGGTCTTCTCATCCCCTATTCCCAGTGGCTGGCCCTACAGTCTTACTGGAGCATCTTCATCTTGTTGTGAGACTGATTGATCCACTTCATCTCAGGCCAGTCTCAGTGAAACTTCCCACAACCCACTGTCTTGACCATTCTTGATGAGGTTTTGCCCCCAGCTCTTTGTCTGACCATTCTTGATGAGATTGGTCAGAGCCCCTGGGTCTTGACCAGTCCTGCTTCCTATGTGCCAAGCTCATTTCGGTGGCTGCGCAGCATGGCTGCTTATGATCTCTGCGCTGGCCCTGTGACACACCTCACAACCTCTTTCTCCACCCTCAACTTAATCATGTCCACAAATCGTCACATGTCCACCAATTGTCGCATGTCCACCAATCATCACCACAACACCAGATATGTCAATCTGTACCTCTTGGAGATGGACCTTACCATTGAAGAAGGTTTAGCAAATCTGTCTCAGACACCTGAGCTGCCCAGCACATCTACCACCTCAAATTGTGCAAGATGTCATGGGCCTGAATGCGCAGGAAGCAGGAAGACCCATCAGTTCATATGAAGGGAGCACAGGAATCGAGGGATTGGGCAGATCATGGGAATTGTAGCAGAATTCAGTGAGATCTGTAGTAGGAACAGTGCTATGACAGATCTCATTGAGATCTGCATGAGCAATGCTGATATCACGAATTCTGCCAGAATCTGCAGTAAGCTTGATGGTATGGCAGATTCCACAGAGATCAGTAATAAGGATGTCCATATGACGATTCACATGCAAGGAGGACCAAGCTCACATATGAGGGAGACCAAGCTCTGCTGAGACAAGGACCAGGCCCTGCCAAGATGGGGACCAAGCTCAGAAGCATGTAGACAGTTACCACTCAGGGGTTCACAAGATAGGAGTCAAGGGGACCATCACTGGTCAAAAGAAGGAGAGCTGTGTCAGGGACACCAGCAAGCAGGACATGAGGAAGAGGAGCAGTGTCAAGGGAGGTCGACACATAGCTCAAGGAGAACAGGGGTGGTACTACAGGGACCCCCTGTAAAGTACTCGACGAAGAAGGTACTTGCTGGAGAGAGAGGGCCGGAGCAGTGTCGCAGGCAACACTATGATGGATGTATATAAGCATACCCTCTCATCACAAGTGGTCGAGTGGATCCCCATCCACTCTACACACCATATAACTAGTTATCACTTCAGCATAAGTATACATTAGTTTTCAGTCAGCATAGTAGTAATTGATAGGTTACTCCTCATTGTAGTGTGTGTGTTGTATCACCACTCACTGACATCTGAAGGCAGTTCATAGCAAACCAGTGGTCCAGATTAAGATAGAACTGAAGGCAGTTGTCCACTGCAGTCTGGGGATCACCTCAAGCAATAGTTGACACACTGGACACTCATGCCAATGCCACCAACCTCATCATCAACAAGATACTCACACCAGACCTTGGTGTCATCACAAGTTCACATTGTTATTGATCATGCCGAGCTACCTCTGGACGGAGTGTCCACAGCAGTTAGTCAAGACCTGCAATAGCAAAGCCCATACTACAGTTCCGAGCAAGAAAGGGATAGAGACAACTCTATTACATATTTCACTGAGAATCGTAATACCACTAGTATTATCGCATAACTCGACAGGATCGGTAATAGTATCGACACTACTACCGATCTCAGGTTTCAGGTGCACGACTGCTGACACAAGACCAGCCACTAGAGCAAGCAAAACTCGAAACCAGGACATGGACAGCGGGAAATACTTTGTTTGGTCCTGTCACAGGACTGGATGGATGCACAGGAGGTGGATTCATATGAAGAGGCCTTGCGCAATAATCATGGATTGGGCAAAAAGAGAGTTCCAACAGAGTTCAGCAAGATTGGTAGGACCAATGGCTCTATGACAGAACTTGTCGAGATCAGTAGGAACAAGGCCACTACTACAGAGTTCAGTGGGAATGGTAATATCATGCTTGTACAACAGACTTCATGGAAATTGGTTCAAAGATGCATCTATTGCCAATGCCACAAGAGGATGATGATGAACATGGGAGAGGTTGCCACTGGATGAGGAAGGGGGCCTTGCATGATGATGAAATCAGTGCCAAAGATGGGCGCCAGCACCAGGAGGTAGATGAAAAGGGGGTGCACTGCCACTAGGATGAAGTGGGGTGACCCCTGTCAATCATGAAGTGACAGTTGGCAATCCTCGACCACAAAGAGATGGGAGGAGCAGGGCTCAACAAAGAAGGTACTCTCTAGAGAGAGCTGGAGCAGAGTCGCAGGCAACACTGTGAGGATGTATATAACCATACCTTCTCGTCATAGTAGTCAAGTGGATCTCCATCCACTCCACACATTACATTACTAGCTATAGCTTCACAATAAGTATACTTAGTAGATTCGTTGTCAGTAGCAATTGCAGAGCATTGCTACTACCATAGTGTGTGTGTTGTATCACCACTTGATGCCATCTGAAGGCAGTTCATACTGCAGTTCAGCTCTCTCGATCATTAGAACCAAAGGCAGTTGTCCACTGTGGTCCAGGGATCGCTCAATCAATCAGTTGACACACTGGACACTTGTATTGGTGCAAGCATATTCACACCAGACCTTGGTGTCACCTCAAAGTATCTATCAACTAGCAATTGTGCTGAGCTACCTCTGAGCAGAGTGTCCCCAGTGGTCAGTTGAAATCTGCAATAGATATCAGTTATGACATATTTGAGCAAGAGAAGTCATAGAAGGCTTCTACAACAGATCTCAGCAAGAATAATAATAATAGCCTTTTACCACAGATCTTGATAGGATCAGTAGTAGTTGTAGTACTACTACAGATTTCAGGTTTCTGGCACACAACCTCTGACAGCTTCTTCTTCTCCTTGTAGTATGTCTCTTGCACCCACCTCAGCTTGGCCTTAATGTGATTGGGCTTGACAGATGTGCCTGGGAAAATCAACTTGAAGATCTCCCAAAAAATGGAATGTTTGCAAAGTTTGTTGCCTGGATTTCTCTTGGTCAATTCTCAAGATGGAAGCAGATCATGCTGGTAGGACTTGCTGTTGTAGATGATTGTGACAAGGTGGAGGATGTTGGCACTCAACCAAAGTGAAGTTCTTCTTGCCTGTGGCAGATCCAGAGACTCAATTTGGACAGGAAGTGTAACTGTCAGGGGTGCTTGTAAAACCAGATCAAGACAGTGCAGGAATGTTTCTGGTCTGAGTTGCAGAGCTTGTAGGTGTAGTGGACTGCCAGAACAACTGTGCAGAAATGTCAAGAGAATCATCAGTGGTGGTGGTCATGTTGAAAGAGTGCAAGGAAGGAGAGAGTGAGCAAAGAGTGACAAAAGTGAGAAGAGGAGAGAAGCATTGTGGAGTGAACTCGGTTTTGCATTTTTGAGAATGCACGAAAAAGGTGCATTTTCAAAAATGCGGTTTTGTTTTTCACTTGGCACAGCTTATGAGTTGAAGTTTTTGAGAAAATGCTTGATGATATTACTTTAAGGAACACTCAGCTACATAGATATATATATACTTCAGCATGATCTCTGGGTATACTGCTTTGTCTTGCATTGATCATGTGTTTGCCACTGTGCCCTCCTGGTTGTCCTCTTATGCTTAGCTCCTGAGTCATTGCCATGACAACCAATGTGCATTTTGCATGCATGCCATTCATTCACAATCCTCACTTCCTACGCACCTCGGGTAAATCAATTTCCTCAACTTTATGTAAGCTTTTGCAATTTTTTTTTTTTTTTGGAAAAACGCGCTTTTCAAAAAAAGCCCGGGTTTTTAAAAATACAAAAACTTTGATACCCCCTCTAGTGTGTGTGTGTGTGTGTGTGTGTGTGTGTATATATATGTGTGTGTATATGTGTGTGTGTGCTGGCGCTGCTGTTGAAAATGAGAGTCGAGTGAAAGTGTGCGAGTGAGAGTGAGTGAGTGAGTGAGTGAAAGGGACCTTGGCCCCTGGTGCTGCCTGTTGGGATGGAATGTCCGTGCTACGTTGCGTGGCATTTCTGTGCGTGTGTTTCTCCTTTTGGCCTTCTCGCTCGCTGTCTGTCTGTCTCTCAAAGTCTTTGAATCTGGCTTTGGCTTGGCTTCCATTCCTTCTCGCACAGCAAGCGTCGGTAATAGCTTCTCACTTGTGCTTGTCCCTTGGCTTCTCTCTGCATCTTACTTGCTTTCTTTACGCTCCACACTCCCTTCTTTTCTCACCCTCTCTTCTCTTTCCTTTTCATCCTCCCGGGCTTGTCGAGCTTGTCGTTCTGATTGTCCGGCTGCTTTGAACACCAGGCAAGACTCGGTCGCTGCTCCCTTGGACTCCTTTCCCTTCTTTTGCGAGAGCAGGCTTCTCCATTTCGCTAGACCAGCTCTCGACAGTGTCGCTGGCTTTCTCCTCTCACCTTGGCTCAGCAAGCTACCCCGGCGGTCCTTTGCTTCGTATCACATCTACGCTGCGACGTCCAGCGGTAGTGTGTTACACCGTCCGTCTTAGCTGCCACAAGTCGCAGTGACACAGGCGTCACGCCGTTCCATAGCAGGTAAATCTTGCTTCCGACGCCCCCGCAGAGACGACCAATACCATCATGGCGCCCGCTGCAACCGACCTTCTCGCCGCCTTTGTGCTAGGCACCAAGGCTTGGTTCCCTGACAAGGAGCTTGGTTGGATCAGTGCAACCCTCGCCAAACCTCTCGCTAAATCTGTTTCCGGCGAGATCGCCCTAGAGTTTACACTAGACGACACTGGCGCTTCCAAGACCGTCACCACCACCGAGGCCAAGCTCGCAGCCAAAGATGGCGAGGACCAGCTTCCACCACTACGCAACCCGCCACTTCTCGAGGCCACAGACGATCTTACCAACTTGAGTTACCTCAACGAGCCTTCAGTCCTCCACACCATTCTCAATCGATACTCCCAACGAATCATCTACACCTACTCTGGTATCGTCCTCATCGCGGTCAATCCCTTCTATGCGCTCAGCCTGTACAGTCCCGAGATCATTCAAGCTTACTCGGGTCGACGCAAGGGTGAACTCGAGCCACATTTGTTCGCTATTGCAGAAGATGCCTACCGATGCATGATTCGCGATGAAAAGGATCAAACCATCGTCGTCAGCGGTGAGTCTGGTGCTGGTAAGACTGTCTCTGCCAAGTTCATCATGCGCTACTTTGCCACTGTCGAAGACCCAGATCGACCAGGCAGCAGAAAGGCCGGTCCTGGAGGCAAGGAACCCGGCGGTATGAGCGAGACAGAACAGCAGATTCTCGCTACCAATCCTATCATGGAGGCTTTCGGTAATGCAAAGACCACGAGGAACGACAACTCGTCCCGATTCGGAAAGTACCTTGAGATCCTCTTCGACAAAAGCCACGAGATCGTTGGTGCCAAGATGCGTACATATCTGCTCGAACGATCTCGTCTCGTCTACCAGCCCGAGACTGAGCGAAACTACCACATCTTCTACCAGCTCTGTGCCGGCGCACCTACATCCGAAAAGAAGGATCTCGGCCTCGAAGACGCATCCAAATTCTTCTATCTCAACCAGGGTGGTGCCGGCAGCCATATCATCAACGGCGTGAACGATGCAGAAGACTTCAAAGCGACTCAGAAGGCCCTCAGCACCGTCGGTCTCACCATCGAACGACAATGGAACATCTTCCGTCTCTTGGCCGCACTCTTGCATCTCGGAAACGTCAACATCACTGCAGCACGAAACGATGCCGTCTTGGCCGACGACGAGCCAAGTCTCTTCATGGCTACGCGCATGCTCGGTATCGACTCGTCCGAGTTCCGCAAATGGACCGTCAAGCGTCAACTCCAGACTCGAGGTGAAAAGGTCGTCACCAACTTGACACAGGCGCAAGCCATCGTGGTTCGTGATTCCGTCTCCAAGTACGTCTACACCTGTCTCTTTGACTGGCTCGTCGACCAGATGAACCGATCTCTTGCTCTTGGCTCATCCAAGTCACGCGAGTCCATGATCGGTGTTCTCGATATCTACGGTTTCGAGCGATTCAAGATCAACTCATACGAGCAGTTCTGCATCAACTACGCCAATGAGCGTCTTCAGCATGAGTTCAACCACCACGTCTTCAAGCTCGAGCAAGAAGAATACCTTCAGGAACAGATCTCCTGGACATTCATCGACTTCTCCGACAACCAGCCCTGCATCGACATGATTGAAGGCAAGCTCGGTATCCTTTCGCTCCTCGACGAAGAGTCGCGTCTTCCCTCCGGTTCCGACGAGTCTTTTCTACAGAAGCTCTACACGCAGATGGACAAGCGACCCGAGTTCAAGAATGCATTCAAGAAGCCGCGTTTCGGCACAACTAGCTTCACCGTTTGCCATTACGCTCTCGACGTCGAGTACTCGAGCGCCAGCTTTGTCGAGAAGAACAAGGATACCGTTCCTGATGAGCACCTCAACCTGCTTAACAGCACAGCCAACCCCTTCCTCAAGGAAGTCCTCGACACCGCCGTCAACCTGCACAAGCCCGAGGAGTCCAAAGATGAGGCTACCGACGCTGCTGGTGCTCCCGCCAAGCCTGCACCCAAGAAGCTGCCCGGTGCCAGCATCAAGAAGCCTACGCTCGGTTCTCAGTTCAAGACCTCGCTTGTCAGCCTCATGGCCACCATCGACAGCACCAACGTCCACTACATTCGTTGCATCAAGCCCAACGAGGCCAAGAAGGCGTGGGAAGTCGAGCCGCAAAACGTTCTCGGACAGCTCCGGGCATGTGGTGTGCTCGAGACCATTCGCATAAGCTGTGCCGGTTACCCATCACGATGGACTTTCGCCGACTTTGCCGAGCGATACTACATGCTTGTACCATCGGATCGCTGGAACATGTCGAACATGGACAAGGTCAAGGCATTGGCTACGCACATCCTCTCCACCACTATCACTGAGAAGGACAAGTACCAGGTGGGTCTCACCAAGATCTTCTTCCGAGCCGGTATGCTTGCCCAGTTCGAGCAGAAGCGTACCGACCGCCTGAATGCAGTGACCATCATCATCCAGAAGAACCTCCGACGTCACGTTCATCAGAAGAAGTACCAGGCAATGCGCGCCAACACGGTCAAGATCCAGTCGTGGTGGCGTATGCGTTTAGCGATGAAGCAGGTCGAGGCTCTCCGACAGAACACCGCCGCCACCAAGATCCAGACCGTCACTCGTGGATTCCTGGCCCGCAAGCAGTACCAGACCACCCGACAGGCTGTCATCAAGATCCAGGCCGTCGTCCGTGGACGTGCTGTCCGATCAACCTACAAGACCGCCAAGGTCGAGTTCTCAGCTACACGTCTCCAAGCCTTGCTCCGTGGTGCCCTGGCCCGAAGGCAATACCGCAAGGAGAGGCAAGGTGTCATCCACCTGCAGTCGTGCTACCGTCGTCGTCTCGCCAAGAAGGAGCTCGTCGCTCGTCGAACCGAGGCCAGATCCGTATCGCACTTCAAGGAGGTCTCGTACAAGCTCGAGAACAAGGTCGTCGAGCTCACCCAGAACCTGCAAAAGCGAATCAAGGACAACAAGGAGCTTTCGGCCAAGATCAAGGCACTCGAGGCTCAGATCCTCACATGGCAGGGCAAGCACGAAGAGGTTGAGAGCAAAAATCGCGGACTCAATGACGAGCTTGCCAAGCCCACCGTGGCTATGGCCGAGTTCGAAGCGCTGCTTGCTGCTAAGAAGGAGCTCGATGTCAAGCAGGAGACTTCACTCAAGCGCATCGCCGAGCAGAACAAGCGTATCGCCGACCTCACCGCCGAGATCGAGCGTCAGGCCGACGAGTTGCAGGCACGATCCGAAGCTCTCAACGGTGTCACCAAGTCGGCGGAAGACGACGTTGCCACGATTAACTCGCTTCGATCCGAAGTCGCCGGCCTTCGCGAGCAGCTCAACCGTGCCAACGCGCTCAACACACTGCAGAAGAACTCGCAGCGGATCGAGAATGCCGCACCACCTGTCTTTAACATGGCCACAGGCAAGGAGAATGGCTACGCCAACGGCAACAGCAAGCGTCGTCCTCGTCGTCACAGCGAGGCCGGCCCTTGGAGCGATGCACCTGCCGGTCGCGACGAGCACGAAGAGGCCATGATGGCTGCCAAGCGCAGCGCTGCTACGGCCAACCGCCACGTCTCGGTCGCATTTGGTCTGGACGGTCACCAGATTCCTGGTCTTGGAGGCCAGCGCAACGGCTACGACGACGAGTATGATGAGGACGACCCATCGGAGGAAATCATCCGTATTCTCGAGAACGAGGAGCAGCTCGATGAGGACGTCCTCAACGGTCTCATTCGCTTCCTCAAGGTGCCCGCGCCTAGTCTGCAGAACCCTCCTTCGCCCAAGGAGGTCTTGTTCCCTGCGCACCTCATTTCGCTGGTCACCAACGAGATGTGGAAGTATGGTCTTGTGCGCGAGTCGGAGCGCTTCCTTGCCAACGTCATGCAGACCATCCAGCAGCACGTCATGTCGTTCCAGGGCGAGGAGGCCATCATTCCAGGCATCTTCTGGCTCTCGAACGTACACGAGATCCTTTCGTTTGTCTGCATTGCCGAGAGCGACATGCTTCAAGGTATCGGACCTGGCGTCGATGGCGCTGCCCGTTCCTTCGAATGGGGCGACTACGAGCGTCTGGTTACCATCGTCAAGCATGACTTGGACTCGTTGGAGTACAACATCTACCACACATGGATGCAAGAGGCCAAGAAGCGATTGCACAAAATGGTTATCCCGGCCCTCGTCGAGAGCCAGTCACTGCCTGGTTTCGTGACGAGTGACCACTCAGGACGTCTGTTCAACCGATTGCTATCGAACAACTCGACACCCTCTCACACGATGGATGACATCCTTGGCATCTTGAACAAGGTGTGGAAGAGTCTCAAGAGCTACTACGTCGAGCCTTCGGTGACGCAGCAGGTGGTGACAGAGCTGCTCAAGTTGATCGGTGTCACGAGCTTCAACGACTTGCTGATGCGAAGAAACTTCTGCTCTTGGAAACGTGCGATGCAGATCCAGTATAACATCACACGTATTGAGGAATGGTGCAAGTCACACGACATGCCCGAAGGCACACTGCAACTCGAACACCTAATGCAGGCGACCAAGCTGCTACAGCTCAAGAAGGCGACGTTGGGCGATATCGACATTATCTACGACGTCTGCTGGATGTTGACACCGACACAGATCCAGAAGCTCATCTCGCACTACTACGTGGCTGACTACGAAAACCCGATCTCGCCTGAGATCCTCAAGGCGGTTGCATCGCGTGTGGTTCCCAACGATCGCAACGACCACTTGCTTCTGCCTCCCGAGGTGGACGAGGCTGGACCATACGAGCTGCCGTTGCCAAGAGAGGTGACGGGTATCGAGACGTACTGTCCTGCCTACATTTCGGTTCCGGCGATTCGTCGTCTTGCCAGCCGCGTGGCATAGAGACGCCTACCTCAACACATCATTACAGATACCATCCATCCATTTGTATATTTGTTCCTCATGCTTCTCTTGTTCCCCGCTGTCACGTCACTTTGCTGTACCGTCAACTCGAATATATCTATGGTTTCCCAGTATTGCTGTCAAATGTGACGTGTTTGATAGACTGTTCCTGAGATGCACAAAAAAGCTGCATGAGCAGCAGGTCTCCTTCCCAAATCGAACAACCTGCGACCAATGCAGATGTGATCCGATGGATGGCAAATGTCAAATTTTGGGCAAGACATTTCCATCATTTCAGACTTTCACTTGTTTTAGGAACTGTCATCAATCAGAGCCCAGATGATCCATTGCTCCCAAGGTACAGTCTCTCTGTTGAGACAGGCTGCCAGTCGTCCACAGACCCCCCAAGCGAGATCAAACATGGACCTGAGTGTTCATAGAATGACACAAGAGGGGACTAGCTCGAAGTGTGATGTTAGTGAAATCACAAGACCTCTCCTCTTCGTTCTAACGTTTCCGCCAACCTCGCTCACCGTCGTCACTCATCATCACCCACCAACACTGCTCATCGTTAGCCACCACCGTTGCCCAGATGCACATGATCACCCCCTTGCTCCTATTGTGATAGCAATCAATCCTACGTGTCACTTGATTCCAAGCACGCACACACTAGTCATCGGGAGGGATATATATATGCTTCTCATTGCCTTGTACTTAGTTGCTCTCTAATATCATTGCAATTATTGTCTGTCTCGCTGCTCGTCGCTTGTGTATTGCTCAACAACGTTGACCTACCCAAGGGCCGACCATGGCCGGATCGAGTCTGGAAAAAGAGTCGTCGAAGCTGTTGGCTCAGGATCATGCTCAATGACATACGAGATTTGAGGGTCTATCAAGCTAGCCGAGTCAGTCAGAGCTCGGACTCTGCCGCACACTCACACAGTTGACTCTGCGCTGAGCTGTTTTGAGAAATTGACAGCTTTAATCTGGCTTTTCCCTCCACACACGGGATGGAACTGCACTTTCATTCGCTTGCTCTGCTGCCCATCGGATTGTGCGGTAACGAAAAGCAACTGCTCGCCAAGCCGGCCGGAAACACCATGAAGACAGCCTGTCAGCCTCTGCCTAGACGAGGGCCAGAGATGAAGCATGAAAAAGGAGTCCCGCAAGTCTGCATAGCGGCTACTGTATGAGCATGCGTTACCCTCCGTCTGAACGCGGAATGAAAGCCGTCTGGAAACGGAGATGGTATGTATCTGTACGGAGACAAAACAGGCTGGATTGGGCCGGTATGGAAGCCGGAAGGTCTTGCTAACAGAAAGAAGAGCGAGAAACGGGCTGTGCTCGGAGGGGAAGCCAAGGTGATCCCCTCGTCGATCACTTCTTTTGCTCCAAAGTGGCGAAACCTTTTCAGGGACGCGTCATCCAGCCAAAGATTAGGCGACTGTAGAAAGACGCAGAAAGCCAAAGAGCGTCGACTTGCCTCTGTCGCATGGGAGGAGAAAATCGAGCCAAGACAGCGGTTTCGCCAGATCGACTCGACGTTGTGTGTCTGACTCGGAGTTTGGTGGGCGCAGCGGAGACACTTTGTCTGGCTTCTGCCATTGCGTACGGAAAAGGCTCAATTTCCAATCGGTCGCATTCAATAGTGGAAATCCGAATTATTAGGCTAGACACACACACACACACATAAGAGATAAGCAACAGCACAGCACAGCACAGCATCGACGGCTGGCGTTGTGGGTCGAGATTCAAACTCAGTTCTCGACTCGCAGCGTGTCACACAAGTCTCAGAGTCGCGATAACACACGCAACGCTGGCTAGGCTCGTCTGACCTGAGTCACTCAACTCACCCAATTGGCTATCAATCATTGCTCCACTCCTATAAGACCTTGCCACCACCCAACAACCTTTGTTCCCCTTCTGCCTCAACCATCAACATACCTAACACCGCTTCTGCGTTACTCACCCAGCCCCTAGTCGGCATCACCACCTTCGATCCTACTCGCCTCACCGCATTGCCGCTATCGTCAACCTAGCGCTGCACTCCTACACCCCCAGCTCATATCTCACCCGCAACAACCCAGCCAAGTTTAACTCAAACCCGCATCCGCATCTTGACCTCAAAGTAAGTCGCAATCCCATCGTTCATTGCGACGCTACCTCCTCCTTCCCTTTATAGACCAGCTTCTGACTCTGGTAACACCTCCTCCTCCTCCTCCTCCTCCTCCGCCACCTACCAACTCCACAGATGCAGATCTTTGTCAAGACCCTCACCGGCAAGACCATCACCCTCGAGGTCGAGCCTTCGGACACCATTGACAATGTCAAGGCCAAGATCCAGGACAAGGAAGGAATTCCTCCTGATCAGCAGCGTCTCATCTTCGCTGGCAAGCAGCTCGAGGATGGCCGTACCCTCTCGGATTACAACATTCAGAAAGAGTCCACCCTTCATCTCGTTCTCCGCCTCCGTGGTGGTATGCAGATCTTTGTCAAGACTTTGACCGGCAAGACCATCACTCTTGAGGTCGAGTCCTCTGACACCATTGACAACGTCAAGGCCAAGATTCAGGACAAGGAGGGTATTCCCCCTGATCAGCAGCGTCTCATCTTTGCCGGCAAGCAGCTTGAAGATGGCCGCACCCTCTCCGACTACAACATCCAGAAGGAGTCGACTTTGCATCTTGTCCTCCGTCTTCGTGGCGGTGCCAAGAAGCGTTGCCAGAATGGAGCAGGCACAGACGGTCAGTGTAAAGATGCAGCGATCAACCTTGTAGGAGAGTGCCCACACTGCAGCCTCAAATTCTGCGGCAAGCACCGTCTTCCCGAACAGCACAAGTGTGCACAGGTCGAGCAGGTTCGCAACGCTGCCTTTGCTGCTAACAAGGCAAAATTGGAGAGCGAGCGTACCCAAGCTACCCGTGGTCTTGCTCACTAAGTGCATCGCATCTCGTTGCACTTGCCACTGCATCGTCTCCTACTCTCTTCTTGTCGTCATTGTCTCTGCATAATTCACATACCACTGTCAGCACTTGTCTTCATCATACCTTTGCAAATTCTGTATTACTAGCTACCAAATAGAGATTCAAGTTCTCTCTGCTATCTTCTCTCTGCTATCTTCTCTCTGCTATCTTCTCTCTGCTATCTTTCCTCTTGTTATCTTGTCTGCGTTTCGTGTCTCAAGAGATTGGTCCTGTACCGCATCTTTACGATACCATTTCGTCCAAAGACAGCTTTCGTCACCCTTGAATGAGGAAAGCCTGACTCTTACCCGGCTGATGATCAGCGCTCCGCTCAAAACCTACCCTGACAGAACTTCTGGCCGACTTCGACCTGAATTTCAGCCAGCAGCACCTCGGCTTCTCATTTCTGCCCGATTGCGCTCTCTCTGTCTCGCAGACTCTCTATGACAGATTCGTCAATCTGAGCGTTTTGCGTTGGTAAGCTGTATTGCAGTACTAGGAGGAAAGCTACATATTTGGCGAGTGGTCATACTAAGGACATCCTATCCCTGCTCTCCCTGCGTTCCGCTTGCAAACAAATCAAGGCTCGATCGCTCAGTTGTAAGCAGCAGCAGCACTAGCCAGATCAGCATTGAACTTATCAGTCAGAGCCTGAGCATCCGCCTTCTCCGCACTGGGAGCAGCAGCTACAAGTGCAGCACCAAAAGCAGCCGTGTCCGTCTTCAAACTGTCAATGTCAGCCTTAACAACGCCTGTAACGCCCAACGAGTTGAACTGCGACTTGAGCGCAATGAGTCGATCAGTAGCACTCTTAACATTGACCTCGGTTCCAGTGAGAGTGCTGATGATTTCTTGCGCATCAGCGTCACTGGGAGTCTCAGTGAGGGATTTAACGTCCGAAGTACCAGACTTGATCTTGTCATCCACAGAGTTGGCTGCAGAGTTGATGGCCAGAGCGGAGAAGTAGTTGAGTGAGTCGGTTTGGAGTTGCTGATTTAGAGATCTTACGGCAGAGTCGATGGCCGAGACGTCGGATTTGACTTGAGCGACCGTGGTTCCGGAGGTGAAGAGGAGGATGAGGGCCGAGGTGCTGGCGATGAACTTCATATTGATGAAGGAGAGGAGTTTGAGTTTTGGGTTTGGAAGAGATTAGAGCGCTCGAAAATGGGCAAGGCTTTACAGGAAGAAGGTCAGATTGACTGGCTTGATGGTCAGAGAGGAGCTATTCAAGAATGGTCTGCGCCGCTTATATCTCTTTCGATCTGGTGAACGTTCTGCTTGAGCTCGTCGAAGTACATCTTTCTTAGCTGCTGGGGGATAGTTCTGCTGCGCGGACTGCAGCAAAAACGGCGAGCTAAAGCTACTTGGCTTCCTGAAAGAAATCTCACCAAGAAGCTTCTGAGACTTTAGACCAGCCTGGTGAGGAGTTGAGGTGATTGAGTTTGGGACCTCTGCCGATAGACTTTGCCCATCTGATCGACGGACGAAGATGAAGGACGCTAAACTTTCGCCTACAAGCTTTCATGATCTCAACATCGCTCAACACCACCATTCACCATGCTGAAGATTGTGAGCTTGTCAGAAAGGTTGGGGATCCGTTGTATAGAGCAAGGAACGTGTATAAACCGGGGCTCGGTTCTTTGAAAGGACAACAGAAAGGCTCGGACGGAGCTAGCCAGTCGATCCGTAGATTCTCTTCGAGGCGGCCCATGGGAAAGGTGTGACCAAGGGAACGGGCTTGCTTCATTGTCGAGGAAATGGGTGCTCGCAGACTGCGTAATGATCAATCGCAGAGACAAGGGCACAGAGGTAGGAACGGTGCGAAATGGCGCTATTGGACACAGGCTAGGAACACAGGAACATCAGATCCACTGAAAAGCCCATCAACAGTGGATGAAACAGACTCCGGCGGATCGACCCCGCATCATAATCGCATCATCTACCCATAAGCCTGCCGCTAAGTTACACCAGAGGTCCAGAACGCCGCGAACCGTACTAAGGTAGCCGAAAGATCGCTATTTGGATGGGAATGTCAGAGAACCAGAGTGTGGGGTAGAAACACGCTTAGTTCTACTTCTACACTTCGGCAAAGCGAATCGCGATGATCCAAGGAAAGGAATCTAACTCAGTGTGCTCCGCCTCATTTCTTAGCTCAAACAGAACGGCGGCTAACCGAACTCAAGTGACGCTAAGAAGATATGAGACGAAGTGATCCTACATTGACGTCGATTTCTGTGCTATACAGAATACCCTCGTCAGCATGCGAAGAATGCCACGACATTTTCTCGTCAATCATCATGACGGCCTAGTGCTTCCGCATCCGTTTTGATCCGCGATGAAGCAAGAAGGGATGAGGATGGCGAACAAGCTAGTGGAAAAGATGTTGACCCGTGACTAGATGCGATTTGTGATGCGTAGAATACAGAGCTGCGATGAGCATGCGAAACAGAGGGATGACGAGATTCGACATGAATCGGAACGAGACTTTGCCGTCTTGCATTGCGAAGCGGTGCCGAATCGTGTGAGAGGACTAAAGAGCCTAACGAGCACGTTTGCGAGGCTTGACATCCGGCTCTTCTTCGTCAGATTCCTCCTCGTCCTCTGCTGGCGCTGCTCGAGATCTGACACGACGTTGCGACGGCTCTCCTTGTTGCCCTGGCTCAGGCTTGACTTGCGTTGGCCTTCTCTGCGGCTGTTCCGCTTCTTCTTCGTCCTCTTCGTCTTTGTTGCCATCATCAGCCGGTTGCTGCTCTACCGTTTCATCATCTTCGTCATGTTCTCCCTCGTCCTCGTCATCGTCGTGGGAAGCCTGCCTCCTTCTTCTGTTTCTTGAGGTAGCTGCTGTCTGTGAGCTCTCGCCCTGTGAGCTAATGAACCCATCGTGGTCTCCGCTGGAGCTGAGGTTCAGAGCCTTAGGTCCGATGGGGCGTGATTTCCATGTACTTCGACATGCAGGGCAAGAGAAGCCTGCGATGCGAAGAAGCGCGTCGTCGTCGTCCACAGCAGAAGCAATTGTGCTGCGTGCGCAGTGCAGATGGTAGCGGACATTGCAGCCGTGCTTCTTGCGTCCGCAACCGATGCCGAGCGTCACGAGATCTTTACAGTGAGTGCAGGTGTGGAAATACTCGTCGCCGAATTCGTTCTGGAGGTAGTTGCGGAGCTCGAGCAGTGAGCGCGTTGAGAGCGTGTAGATACCATCGCTATATTGTCGACAGATGAAAGACGATGTGAAAGAGCAAATGGTCAGTAGTTGGGCAGGAGAATTAAAGTCAAGCGAGAAGATACGGAGTGTAGCACTTACGCTGAGTAGTCGATCCATCGATGGTCAACCAGATTCTTGAGCAGTTCTTCTGTCGCATCCCTTGTCATGTGTGTTCGCAGCTTGCTACCCAGCCTCACTGCCTCGAGCGCCGGTATCGAGTATGCTTCTCTTCTCGCCTTGAAGATCTCTTCAACCAGCTTCTTGATAAATGAGATCTCCAGCGGTGAGTATCGAGTCGCGTTTTGGATGACGTTGTCGTTCTTAGTGTTGACGAGCGCGAGCATGCGCTTGCCTGAAACCTGCTCGCGGGAGCTGCGGATCTCCAAGTCGACCATCGATAGCTGCTTCGATGCTTCGTCGACCATCGAGCGGTAGGCCGACTCGCTGTATGGGTATTGTGCGACTGCGCAGCATCGTTGATAGAGGTGCTTGGCAAAAGATTCGGGGACGATGCGATGAGAAAGGAGAGATTGAAGCCACGAGACGCGGGCCAGGATCTGCCCGTCACGTTCAGATAGACTGTCCATCGTTGAGTTGCGATGGTGACGACTGACGTCAACCAGATTCGAGGGTATATGACTGGAGATGGGATGCTGAGCGGAGGAATGATGTCGATGTCAAGAAGCTCATCACTTAGACTGAGCTTGTCGAAATTTCAAACAGAAAGTGTTGGTCTCTCCACACCAAGCACGCGCGACACACACACCTTCGAAGCGCGTTTATTACGATCGGGATTCGATCGTCTCTCCCGATTCTCTTCCTTCAGTCTGTTCGGGAATCTCAAAGCTGCCGCCTCGCAAATCTCCATTCTTATTCTCTTTGACGTTCCGATCATTTGACCGAGGTCGCATGGTGACAAGCGACCGAGCGCATCCGCACTCCGCTCCGCAGGGAATGACGGCACTGAATAGCCGCCGACAGTCTGCCGCTGAATCCCCTGCTTTGGCAGGCCGGGATGATGAACCTTCGTCGTTGCTTGCCTGGCGTCCAGACAGCGTCATCATTTACAAGGGGAGGTCTTCTGACGGATACAACATTGCGATAGCCTCACGAACTACAATCAGATTGACCGAGCTAGAAGTCGTGTAATGACCACACACAAAGTGCAATTAATGTGAGGCAAGTATCTAGTACTTCCGGCGGAGAACGTGACCTATAGCAGTTGCCGAACAAAGAGTTGGGGGAGTTGGGGGAGTTGGGGGAGTTGGGGGGAGGGGGACAGGGGGATCGAATCACTTTATTGCATCGGTACACATTGTAAAATTCGCCGACCAAATGATTAAGCGAGGACTCCATTGTGGCATGCCGTCCACAATACATATGGACAAACCATGATGGATGCAATCCTGTTGAGCTCGCTCGAGTTCAGGATTGCGGTGGGAGCATGAATTCGACTGATGAGCACAGCTACTCGATTCTGTTTTTGTACCGGTGCCGGTCCTGAGCGATATTGTCCGGTGAGATCTGGGCCGTACTACTTAAAAGCATCGAACGTCTTTCGCTTCGAAGCAAGACATCCAATCACCATCACTGCACCATGGATTCCCCTGACTCCCTTACGCGTGCTCCTGCAACGCTCATTGACAATGCTGACAAGCTCAGCAAGGACGCTTCGCCGCGTGATGTCTTCGAGACAAGCTCTATCTGCGGGATCGACTCCTCCGACTTTCCGGAATTGCCAGAGCCGTCCTGGAGCAAGTATGTGCCCAGCATCTACAGTGAAAAGAGGGTTCTTAATTTGTCAGCGTTTCAGATGAAATGGTCTGTTCAGGTCGTCGCCGGCATTGCTGTGCTCTTCTTCGGTTTCGGTAAGTGGAGCGTAATTCAAGCATCAGAGCGGACCGAATGTAACTTGATTGCTCAATGTCTCTTCTTTTTGCCCACCATCATGTTTGCAGACCAAGGCGTGATGTCAGGCGTAAACGAATCAAAAGACTACCTGCGCCTGATGGGTACTGCATCAGGCGTTGATGGCAACGAAACTCAACGAGACAGCGCAGCAATTGGAGGCATCGTCGCAATTTACTATCTTGGCACTTTGTTTGGCGGCCTTTTAGGCGGCTACATGGCTGATTCCGCCGGTCGTATGAAGGCCATCTTTCTCGGCTCGCTGTGGGTCATCCTCGGTGCATCTTTACAGGCTTCGGCTCAGAACATCACCTGGATGATGTTTGCTAGAGTGATCACAGGGTGCGGAACCGGAATCTACAATGCTGTGGTCCCTGTCTGGGTTGCAGAGCTTTCCAAGCACGACAAGAGAGGTCAGGCGATCGGTTTCGAGTTTGTCTTTAACATTCTTGGTCTTGCTCTCGTTTACTGGCTATCTTTTGGCGTTCGTAACTTGGAGACAGGAGGCTTCAATTGGCGCTTCCCGTTGGCCTTCCAGCTCGTCTTTGTGCTCATGCTTCTTGTATCGCTGCCTTTCTTCCCAGAATCACCCAGATGGCTGGCCAAGATGGGTAGAGTAGACGAAGCACGCCGAATTCTAGCTCGTCTACGCTCTACCCCATACAACGAGCACGACATTCACGTCGCTGAAGAGCTTCAAGAAATCCTCGATGTGGCTAAGCTTGAGCGTATACGTCAAGAAAACGGAGAAGATGGGTACATCAGAATGATAGCCACTTCAGGAGGGAAGCTTCATATTCGACGCAGGATTGTTCTCACAATCTGGCTTCAGATCTTACAAGAACTGGCCGGCATCGGTGTCATTACCGTCTATGCACCGACTGTTTTCCGATCAGGTGGTTTCAACGATACCTTGGCTCGTTTACTCTCGGGGTTCAACGATGTAAGTCTCAAAGGACCAAACCAGATGGAGACGTTGACCGCCACTGATCCCTTTTTCTTTTCTTTGGTTCTCCTCCCTCTCCACTCACTGGGGTCGTGTTACTGCCATCGTCTCAGGTGTCATACATGTTTTCGGTCTTCATCTCTGTCTTCACCCTTGATCGTACAGGCAGACGAAAGACGTTGTTCATTGGCAATGTTATCATGGGAGTCAGCCTGTTCATCGCTGGAGTGGCAGCAAAATACGCACTTCAGTACGGCCCTGACTCGCCGACGGCGGACATTCAGCTCGCCAAACAATGGGGTGCTGCACTTGCCACCATGATCTTCATCTACACCGCAGCCTTCGGTGGAATCGGTTGGCTTTGCGTTCCTTGGTTGTACCCTACCGAAATATTCCCCCTCTTCATCCGAGCTCGGGGTGGTGCGGTCAGTGTCTTCGGATGGAGCTTGGGCAATGGGCTGGTGACGGAGATCACGCCGTTCTTATTCAATGCTATCAAATATAACACCTTGTAAGTAGCAGGGTAGCTTTGAACTAGTTGTGCAAAGGGACCTCGAATGCCAGAGACTGACAATTCCCCTTTGTTCTGCAACTCGGGCATCCCTACCTTACGGAACGAGCAGCTTTTTGTTTGGAGCTCTCAACTTTTTCTGTATGCCCTTCGTCTGGGCTTTCTATCCGGAGACAAGCTGCAGGTCACTGGAGTCGATGGACGAGCTGTTCGCAGGCGACTCGGCTTTCATTGCTTTCGACAAACACTTGACAATGGTGCCGAGGACGAAGGAGGACCAGAAAACGAATGGGTAAAACGTTGTCTGACACATCTGAATTCCTCTTGGACAGCTCACAGAAATGCTTACATTCCGAGAACAAGCGTTAAGACCTTTCCACATGCTTTGTAGAAGCGATCGATGCATAGTCAAAGAGGACGGAGGCGTATATGTTATTTTGTTGCATTGCGAATGGTACTACTCTTGCTTGGCGGTAAGCTTCTTTGCTTGGCGCTTTGCTTGCTTCTTTTGCTGTCGTCTTGATCCTTTCATCTCCTCCGCCTTTGTTTGTTCCATTACGTCTGATTCCGTCTCGTCTGCCGCTGACGCAGGCGTCTGAACTACACTGCTCGCCCAGAAAACTGCGCATAAGGAAGCCAACGCACTGAAACCGACCATGTACCGTGGATCTGAGCCTTCGGCATAATACCCACTCCGCTTCTTGATGTCGTTCTCGTACGTGACGATAAGCATCGTGATTGCAAGCAGCGACAGCGACATACCGAAGATCGGATTGCCTGCAACGCCGAGCTTTGAACGAAAGAAGTAGTTGATCAGAGCGGCAAGATCTTTGAAGGCCACCATGAAGAAGGCTGAAAAGATCGTGGTAGCCGCAAGAGCGTAGAAGGAAGGCATGAGAGCGTCACTGGGCCATTTCGGTTGTGCGAGCTGGAAGATCTGACCGGGCTGGAGCGTTTGTTGTGCTTGAGGAATAGCGGGTGCTGCCGGTGCGAAAAGCAACTCGCGGAAGTTGGCCGGGAACATCGCTATCCTCGTGGGCGGCGTGATCTCCAACATCCTGATAAGACTTTGTTTTGAGAGATTCAAACAGGCTGACAGGGAAGTGGGGCAGATACATGGTTTAGGGGTGACACCAACGGCCGCCATGAAGCTTTACCAGGCCAATACGAAGTCTGTTGGTAGGACGAAGACCACGGGCGATGAGCTTGTCGGAATTCTATCGTGCGTGTTACTTTAGTTTCCGCTCGCTGCGATTGGACGTCATGGTGCTGCATGGCTATGTGCCAAAGTTTACGACGATCCGAAAAGGGACCCGAATCCGAACATCCCGTCAAACAGAGCATGGAACCGTTCAACATGTTGGAGCGCAACTTGCCTTGCAGCCAAACCCATTCGACTCAACACTCACATCCACTGAAGACAGGTTGACCTCAGCCAGCAAAACAGACAATGTCTTCTGCTGGCGCTGGTTCTTCTCCAACGGCAGCTCAGCCGTTCTGTCTGGTCAAGTCTTCTATCAACATCGACGAAACTTTCTTGGTACCACACATCGTTCGACCCGGTGAGACGATCTCATCCACAGGCCTTGTCTCGAGACCAGGAGGTAAAGGTGCAAACGTCTCCGCTGCCATCGCTCTCGCTGGAGCAAAGGTCTCTCTATCGGGTGCTGTAGGCAAAGATGCGACCTGGCCTATCCACCAGCTGAAATCACGCAACGTCATCACCGACGACGTTGAGATCCTTGACAACACACCCACTGGCAGAGCTTTCATCCAGATTGCCGAGGATGGCGAGAACAGCATTGTCCTTTTGAAGGGTGCCAACTTTTCGACAGACAGTCAGTCGGCGGATCCTGTTAAGACATGGCAATTCAAATCTGGCAGACAAACCACACATCTGGTTTTGCAAAACGAGATCCCATTGGAGACGACGATTGCATTCCTGCACCATGCCAAGTCGAACAAGGTCAGCCATCACGTCACTACCATCTTCAATCCCTCGCCGATGCTCAGTCAGAGCGAAGTGCAGACCTTCCCTTGGACAAACATTGACGTTCTCATCGTCAACGAAGGAGAGAGCCTCGAGTTGCTTTCCGTATTGCAGCCATCAGCTGCATCTTCGCTCGGATCGCTCTCAGAAGGCGAAGACAAGTCAAAGAAGGTGCTCGAAACACTCTCTTCGCTGGAACAGCTGTGCAACACAGCTTGGATCGTTCTGACTCGAGGCAGCAAGGGTGTGATGGCCAACGTTTTGCTTTCAGACAGTACAGACAAGCGTAGCTTCTTCAACATTCCGCCATTCAAGCCAAAACAAGTCCGTGATACTACAGGTGCAGGAGATACATTTGCCGGGAACCTGGTTGCAGCACTCATGGGTCACAATGTGGACGCCGATGAAAGTTTGCTCACCTCGGCACGTCCAAAGCAGGAGCGCTTTGTCAAAGAAGCGCTGGAATGGGCGTCAAAGGCAGCAAGTTTAGCTTGTGAGAAGGAAGGCGCGATGCAGAGCATACCTTCTGCAGATGAGGTCAAGTCGCGCAGTTCATAGACATTGGTCCCCCTCTGTAGCTTTCGGGCGTCAAAACAATCTCAGCGCAAATCAAACAACAAATGAGCAAGTCGTAGCCAAAGCGACAAGCACTCGAGCAGCAGAAACACAGGCTATTAAGATGCAAATGTGGGCGTGAAGATGAGGATGCAATTGCCAAAGAAAAGAAGACGATCGAGACATACAGATCCAGCCTGTCAGCTGGTCTACTTGTTCTCGCGAACGACCTTGTCAATCCAGCTGGCAACATACTCGACGTTGTTGGTAGTGAGACCGGCCATCGAGATACGCGAGTTGGCAGTAAGGTAAATGTGACCCTCCTCGAGCATGCGCTTGCACTGGTTGGTGTTGAGACCAAGGAAGGTGAACATGCCGATCTGCTTGAGAATGTGGTTCCAGTTGCCTGGTGTCTGGAACTTCTTTGTGAGGAGATCAAAGAGGCTCTGACGCATGGTGATAATACGACCAGCCATCTCCTGAACATCCTTCTGCCACTGGGCGAAGAGTGAAGGATCTGTGAGGATCATCTTGACGACGCGGGCACCGAAAGCAGGAGGATTCGAGATTTCGGAACGCTGAATGGCGGCAAGCTGCGAGAAGACGGCGGCGTTCTGCTCTGGCGTTGCCGAGACAACGTGGAGAGCACCAACACGCTCACCGTAGAGACCGGCATTCTTGGCGAAACTCTGGCAGATGAGCAATGGGATGCTCTTGCGCGAAACAAAGTGACGGACAGCCCAAGCATCGCGATCAAGGTCACCGGAGGCGAAACCCTGGTAAGCGCAGTCGAAGAAAGCAAAGTGAGCCTTCTCAACAAAGATGTCGGCAATCTGCTTCCACTGCTCCTGCGTAGGGTCAACACCAGTAGGGTTGTGGGCGCAGGCGTGCAGCAAGAAGACACTCTGGTTTTTGGCCTGCTTCAATGTGCTGGTGAAGCCTTCAAAGTCGAGGGCAATGGTCTTGGCGTCGTAGTAGGGGTAGTCGACGGGCTTGATGCCAACTGTGTTGAAGATGGCCTTGTGGTTGGCCCATGTAGGATTTGAGATGTAGATCTGTCTGTCGACGCCGAAGGCCTGGTATTGGTAGAAGCGTTGGAGGAAGACGGCGCCCAAGTGGTTGGCACCGGTACCGGAGATGGTCTGAACGGAAGCGACGCGGTTCTCGGCAATAGCTGGCGAGTCGGCGCCGAGGATGAGCTTGGCAGCAGCGCTAGTGAACTCCGGAAGACCGGTGATGTTGAGGTATTCGTGATCAACAGTCTCGTCTGCGATCAAGTCTGCCTGCGCTTTCTTGACGGAAGGGAGGACGTATGGCTTGCCATTGTTGTCACGGTATGCACCAACGCCGAGGTTGACCTTCTTGTCGTAAGTGTCGGCCTTGTAGGATGCTGTCAGCTTGAAGATGCTGTGGACGAGGAGCCGGGGCGAACAAGGAAGATAGTCAGTCAGCGATCGTTTTGCGGAACAAAATATCGCAGCATACGGGATTGTACTTACGCATCTTCTGGTGCCTGAGGGACGGCGCTCCATACCGCGAGAGCTGGCGTCGAAGAAAGTTCAGCAATAGAGCCCATGGTGAAGATCGTCAGCACGAGTCTCAAGCAAGGAAAGGTATGAGGTGGAGGAGGAAGAAAAGATGGTGATGCTTGGTGCTGAGTTGCTGGAAGGTAAGAGACTCTTGATTGCACGAACACTGTACGCAATGTCACACGGCCGTAATGGCGGCAACTTTATCATCCAAAACCCAAGAAGAAAGCAACACCACCCGGACCCTCGACTTCCGAGGCTGTGAACGGTATCTCCCTCATGAACTTAGCTTTGCGCTTCGCTCCCTCAATCACAGTTGCCGAGGATTGCGGGAGTCACAGTGTTGCATTGTCGGAGCGACTGTCCCTAACGCAACAGGCTCAGAGGAGCACAGGGCAAATGTATGGCAGCGTGAACCCCTGCGGAAGAATGCCGATACACGCTTCAAACCCTAACAGAGCGACCGGCGAAATTGAGATCCCCGCAAAGAAAATCTCTATCGCACGATACACGAAATCCTTCAAGGATTGTCTCTTCTCAAGGATTGTCTCTTCTCTGTGCTGAGTCAAGACGAGTCGGCCGGGTTTGTCCGGATGAGAGGCTCTTTGCATAGGACAGCAGCTTCCATGCATCTGCTGCCATCACCTCTGCTTTGCATGTTGACCTTGCTGACCTTGCTGAATAGCCATCCTACACGTCTCTGGAATTGCCGTCATGCTCTGTCGAGGTGGAGGGAGATGGATGGTGTGTGCCGTATTGCAACGACTTACCTGCTTGACTGATACCGTTGTCGCCAGAGATATGGCCCTGGATGTTGCCGAGACGATTCGCTGCCATGATTGCGATTGCTGCTTGGTGAGGGTGTATATTTAAATACAATTTGCTGTGCTGATGCGTTGGGGCCCAGTCGAAGGTTGCGGAAGCTGTTGTGCTGGATAAGCACCAGCTGTGACTTAATCCAGGTAGGTATAGGAAGGTAAGATGGGGAGGAATGACAAGGCGAGGACGATGTCAGCAGTATTCGTCGACTTCCGGCTAAGCAAGTGTCGAGGCGGGCAGACGACCATGAAGCCGAGACAGTCAGGTCTCCACGATCAGGACTCAAGCTGCAAGCGGATCTCTGCGAGGATCGCTCGCTGGATGCGGGGTTCAGCCGAAATATTGTCTTGTGAGAGAGCTGTGAGCAACACAAATTCGAAAATCGGACAACATCGGGCCCTCCTTGAAAAATCGGGAAACGCTCTTGAAAGTGTTCCGCACCGTTGCACTTGAACAAGCATGCCATTGTGGCCTCGTCTATCTCAACAAGACAAAGTCGTCTTTACTCATTGCACATGGTCACACCGATCATGCGGATATCGCACAGGTAGCATAGGCAAAGCTGTACAGTACAGAAAAGATGCAAACTATCGCGTTGGATTTACTGCGTTGCTTCAGACATTTCGGCGTCCTGCGCTTGAGCAGGAGCTTCTTTAGACGTTGCCGCGGAGGGGGGTATCCCATCCAGAGGTAGAATCAGAGTTGTCCGAGGCCGTCTCAGCTCGGCGCAGTATCCTTGGCTTGCGATGGCTGTGGCGAAGGAGGCATCGCTGGAATAGCTACGGGAACGCCAGTCGGATCGTCCTTGCTCAACGGCTCAGCCGCGCCACTGGCGGACTTGTTTTTGTCAGCTTCTGTCACTGCAGTTGCCGATGATGCTATCTTCGAATCCTCTAGCTCCCTCGTCTTTCCATCTCCATCAATGGCACCTGCCTCTGCATTCACTGAGGCAGACTGCTTCGAAACAGTTCCTGCTTCTTTTTGTTCTTCAGCGCCATCAGCAAGTTTGCTCGCCGATTCACCCCTCTTTGCTGCATTCTCTTGATCCGTTGACTCTTTGCTGACAGGGACCGGCTTCGGCTTGGGATTGCGCTCCTCCTCCATCGCCTTGAGCAGTCCTTCGATGTTCTCGGGTCGATCCGGCTTGCCGAACAGATGAAGATTATCTCGGCTTGCAACGCGTAGAGCCCTCCATGCTAGACTCTGCATCGTCTCGATCGTTGCTTGTATCCTCTCATCTTTGTCCAGCTTGTCCTTCTCTTCTTTGCTCAACTCTGCCTCTTTGGTGGCAGGATCGATGCCAAGCTGTTCCTTTCGCATGTCGAGCTTCATCTTCTCGCGTTGGATCGACTTGTTGTAGTGCTCTAGGCTGGGTATAGGTGGCAGGAATTCAAGGTCCTCTAGACCGTCGGTAGCAATTCTGACGTACTCGCCGATCTCGTTTTCGACTCTGCGTGTTCCCGCGACAGGCGGTTTGAGGCCATCTAGCCAAAGCTCGGAGAGCGCGGCTGTGCCGAGCTTGTGCGGGTATGGCTCTGGCTTGCGAAGCAGCAAGGCCCGCGCAGATGCGAATGCGGAGATCTGCTCCGGAGACAGTGGCGGCTTCTCGATCGATGGACACGACTCGGTCTTCCATCGAATCCAGTTGGCCTCACGTTTCAGCACCTCGAGCACCGACTCGAGAAAGAGGCGTCCATCGGGCTGAATTTCGCGAATCAATCCCTGGATCTCTCGCCATGTGGACCGAATCCATCGCTCGTCAGCTTCCTCCAGTGTGAAGAGCGCTTGCAAAGTCTTGTTCTTCCAGTCTTTCCAGCTTTCCTTGGCGGTCGGTGTGAACGAGAGCAGATACTGGAAAAGAACCAGATATTGCACCAATACATGCTTTCTGAACGATGTGTCGCGGATTTCGTACTCGAACAGCTTGCGACCTGTGAGGTACGTTGGGAAGAAGTGACCACTGCCGGAGGTAGCAACCTCTGCCGGTTCGGCATCGTCCTCGTCGTCGCTCATAGCTTCATCGGCTTCAGCAGCTTTGGCTTTGACACCGTCGATGAGATCGGGTCGAATGCGCTTCCTCGGTCGATTCTCGCTGCTGTTGCCGATCAACTGACCAACGAAGAAGCCGGTGCGCAGAGCTCCCTTCCCACCTTCGTTACGCCTTTTGCCCGAAACCGGAGTGGCGCTCCCAGAGACGGCTTGACTTCCGCCCTTGCTTCCTGCTTGGTTGCCTTCTTCGGCACTAGCCGCTCCAGCCAGCTCCTTTTCGCGTTTGCTTACCGCACCAAAGAGTTTGAGGATCTTTTGAGTACTAATCCGGAACTCAGCCATGGCGCCTTTCGCTCCGTCCGGCGCTGGATCTTCGTCAGCATTCGTGTGTTCCCCCCCGCCCGCATCGGCTGGCGTGGCACTCCGCGTTGATGGTCGTGATGTCTCATGTGCACCCATGAGCAGCGGCGAATTCGAAAAGAAGCGCTGCACTTTCCAGAAGAGCTCGTAAAACTCATAATCCACCTTGAAGATCTGGTCCCTCTCGTCATTGTCCTCCGCATCTTCAACTTCCTCAGTAGCGTCGTCGACGTTCTCCTCGATATGAGTCTTGTTCTCTACGTTGAAGTCGCCGCGTAAGTTGACACCGCTCCTCTCACCGAGAGGGAAAACTTTGGCGAGTAAGCTAAGGATACGACCGGCGAAAACAGTGTGCTGTTGCGATGGTTTGGACAGCCTTCGGAGCAGTTCGTTACAGGTACGCAGCAAGACAAGGCCTTTACCTCTTGTTGAATGCAGACCAATGGTGAGCGGCTTGACCCGAGACTCTATGTAGCCAAACAGTTGTGAGCATATTGAGATGGGTTGACCTTCGATGAGCTCTTCAACTAACGACAGAGGTAGTGTCGGGTCGATGAGATCGTAGAGTGAAAGGACGAGAATGGCGTCACAACGGTCGAAGGTCGATGGAAACGAAGAGTTCAGGGCTTCAAGGCCAGTTGTATCTCCTTGCGAAGCGTCGAGACCTGACGCATCCTCCAGCACGACTTTACGAAGCTCGTTGTTGCTAATCTCGAGACACAGGTTACGTAGACGGACCTCGGGGCCATCCTTGTCGACGGCAGAAGGATCTTCTATGGCGCAGAAAGCTGCCTTGATATCTGGTGAGCCCAAAATGGGCCCGAGGGCTTCCTGAACGTGATCAAAACGGAGAAGGAGCTGTTGCGGTTGCGCGCCTCGAAGGATGGTCAAGGTGTTGAGCAAGGATGGTACCAAGTCGGAGAGGCAACGGACAAGCCTATCCGCAGCAGCTTCTGACGCACTCATGCCGATGTTGCGATTGATGCAGGCATCTATCCCTTGTTGAAGTCGAACGTAGAAGCCGTTCATGACGAGGAAGAGCGATTGTCCACAGAAAGCTCGTTTTCGTGTTTCGAGGAGGAGAGTCTTCTTGTGCATTCTCGGAACACGGATTTCGGATTTCGGATTAAAAAAATAAAATAAATAAAATAAAAAATAAAAAAAAAGCCTGACCCTTTCTTTTCTCCACTTTGAAGAGCACAGGCCAAATCAGATTGATACATTCTTCCTATCTTTCCCCCACCATCCATACTACGACCTGCTTTGCATACTCCTCGTCCGCTCTCAGAGTATAAAGATAAGACTTCTGTCAGGATGCCAGTAGAAGAGGACGTCAATATTGACGATGATCGAGCTTTGGTGGACGTTGATGATGTCGAAATGGACGATGGTAGGCTCCTCTGCTGCAGCGTTGACAGCTACAGGCCAAGGTCTTCACTGACTTGTCCACCATCACCGTATCCATGTTACGCTGCCGAACACAGATCCAAACGTCAAGCGCAGGGGACGAGGCTTTGATCCTCGTGGTAATGGACCTGCATCGGAAGGCGTGAAGGCCGGACGATTCGAGACCCTTAACGAGACGAGGGATAGCAGCGCTCGTGCTGTCAAGTGTAAGCACCTCACTAGCTCTCACTATGGCGTTCTGTCAGTAAGTGACTCAAATTATCTCTCTATATACAGCCGTCGAAGGATGGGTCATCGTCGTGACCAACGTGAACGAGGAAGCGACCGAGGAAGAAGTCATTGATAAGTTCATCGACTTTGGCAAGATCAAGAGCTGTCATCTCAACCTCGACAGACGTACAGGCTACGTGAAGGTGAGATCCCGATGCTTCGAATGCAAAACTCATGAACCTCTGGCTGATCGTGCTTACCGACATGCTTTTTTTTTTTTTTTTTTTTTTTTTTTTTTTTTTTTTGGCACAGGGATACGCTCTTTTGGAGTTCGACACGCAAGAAGAGGCGCAAGAAGCGATACAGGCCTGCAAGGACGGTCTCACTTTGCTAGAAGAGGAGCTCAAGGCCGATTTTGCATTTGTCAAGCCGCCAGCTGGCGCCATTTCCGGTCGAAGCTCAGGACAGAGACGAGCCAATGCGGATCGAGATCGCAGCCATAGTCCTAGAAGGTAAAACTGCCTTCGACTCACAAGGTCAAATCATGATTTCCTATGTCGTTCTGCAAACGACAATTGTACTTGTACCGTCTTGAACCCAACTATCTCCCAGAATGCCGCTACTGACTGCCATCTCTTGTTGAGAACCTATGATGTTGATCGCAGCCAATAACCTCGAAGAAATCGGAAATGCGTCATAAATTAAGGTTGCAAAAACACTCGCTAAAACCATTGAGAGCCGGTCGCTACCTCTGACAAAAGAGTTGTAGACCAGCGCTAAGCCAGGGTCGATGCTGGCGAAGAGCAAGTGGCCATATCTAGTCTGGTCTCGGTGATGAAGAGCTGGTTTGAAACTCGAAGGTCGACAGAGGAATCAGAACGATGAGAATGGGGAGAAAGTTGCAGACGGTCAACCGGATGCTTACATAAGCAATATTGTGATCGCCCACCAAATAGTCGAGTTGAACCTCCACCGCGTTCGTTGGGCTTGGGCCGCGTAGCTCCAATTCAACCAACATCTTCTCACTTGACCCTTCGCGCAACTTCGAACACCTCTTTATACCACAACAGCTTCGAGGATCTGCTTACACCTTCCGCACATACAATCTGCCACCGTCATTACCGATCTTTCCATCAGAAATCGCCATCATGGACGAGGAAACGGTCCAGCCGATCCCCAACCTCAAGGTGCAGCAGCACCTCTTCCTGCTTGTACATCATTCCAAACACCGTGCGTCGTCAGAGACCCAAGCTTCGCAGAAGGCCCTTTTGGAAGGTATCGAGAAGGATGAGATGGCACCATACTATCAGCTGATCCTGAACGATGCTTCACTCAAGGGGCTGTTGAAGGAGGACAAATGTTTGCTTAAACGACTTGAGGCAAAGAACAAGGAGGAGTTGCAGAAGCTGGACGAGAAGCAAAAGGAAGTTGAAGAGAACGAGGGGGAGATGGAAATTAACGGAGTCTTGCGTCAACGCGCTGCATATCATGCAAAGATTGGCGACAAAGAGAAGGCATTGGAAGCACACAACTTGGCCGTCTGGAAAGGTGCAGGGCTTGGGTCGAAACTTGATTTGACGCTCACTAAGGTGCGGATCGGTCTCTTCTTTGGTGACACGGATGTTGTGGCAACGTCGATCGCTGAAGCCAAGAAGCTTGTCGAGGAGGGAGGTGATTGGGAGCGCAGAAACCGACTCAAGGTATATGAGGGCTTGCACCTGCTCTCCATCCGCGACTTTAAGGCGGGCGGAGAGCTTTTCCTCGACGCTCTCAGCACATTCACAGCGACCGAGCTAATCGACTACAAGGACTTTATCACATTGACCGTGCTCGCTAACGCACTCACACTCAAGCGAACCGACCTGAAGAAGAAGATCATCGACTCGCCCGAGGTGCTGCAAGTAATTGACGAGATCCCACATCTTCGCTCGTTTGTCACCAGCTTGTATGCTTGCGAGTACGGCAACTTCTTCCGCGCGCTTGCCGAGGTGGAGCAGGCGCACATCCTCACATCGCGTGCTCTTCACCAGCACGCGCGATACTACGTGCGTGAGATGCGCATCATCGCCTACTCGCAGCTTCTTGAATCGTATCAATCGCTCTCGATCGACAACATGGCTACTGCATTCGGCGTTTCAGGCGACTTCATCGACAGCGAGTTGTCGAGGTTCATCTCGTCAGGTCGATTGCCAGCGGTGATTGACAAGGTGCATGGTATTGTCGAGACGCGCCGACCAGACCACAAGAACGCACAATACACCAAGATCATCAAGGAAGGAGATGTCTTGCTCAGTAAGTTGACCTTTTCCACCGCGATTCGTACACTCGACTTTTGTTTTCAACAAACTGACTGTTTGCCTTCTCTGCTTGCGTTTTTCTATGCTCTTCGACTCACTAGACTCGTTGCAGAAGCTCTCACGCACCGCCTTGTAGATTGACTCTGTCCGTTCAAGTAAGCAGCATTTCATACGTGAGACCAAGCAAACCTAGGGTGTGATCGAGTCAGCGCGTTCCGTTGATCCTCCTGCACGCGATCTAGACATTGTGAAAGGCTGTTGATGGATTGCTTTTGAATGCTTGACATCTGCAGTGAATCTCGTCTAGGGGATAAATCTGGATTAGTCGACCTCAACAAGGCTGTTGACAAGGCCAAAAGGAATAGAATCAACGTCGGTGAGCGGCTCAATCCATCATCTGTGCAGAACAAGAGCGATGTCAGAGCAAGGTGTACGAGTACTTACTGGTATGATGGAGCATCGAGCTGATCGGCACCCTTGAGGAAAGGAATGGCGACGACAAAGACGTATTCGACGACCTTGCTTCCGCACTTGTTGACGAGCTCACCGGCAGCCTTGGCCGAACCACCGGTAGCGATGAGGTCATCAATGACAAGAACGCGCGAGTTGGGGGCAAGAGCCTCCTTCTGCATCTCAAAGACATCCTCTCCGTACTCCTTCTGGTAGGAAGCTTGGACACAGTCTCCGGGGAGCTTGCCAACCTTGCGAACGGGAACGAAGCCGCAGCCCAATCGCTGAGCGATAACGGGACCGAGAAGGAAGCCTCGAGCGTCGAGACCTACAACAGCATCGATCTTGCGGTTGCCGTACGACTTTGCGCCGGGCTCGAGAGGGGTAGACTGTGCCGGTGCGGGAGTGTTGTCGTCAAGCAAAGGGATGGTGTGGGTAAAGATGTGCGAGACAATGTTGGTGATGAGAAGCTCGAAAGCCAAAGGGTCACGAAGGACGGGAAGAATGTCGCAGAAGCGAATACCCTTTTTGGGATAGTCGTCGTAGAAACCTGTTGCCGGTCAGTGAGTTTCACAATGACAGGAGCAGTTAGCCGGACGGTCCCCTATTCGCTGATCCTGCTGCTGCAAGCTAATTAAGCGCTGCACTTACGGAAAAGAGACTTGAGGTGAGCGATGTCGGACATGGTGATGATGGCAACCTCTATTAGAGATGGTGTTGGTCAGAGACGAAACCGTTGGTCTTGATAAGAGAGCAACACTTCTTCTGAAAGCTTTTGATAACGCCGGCGAATTTGTCGGATTTTTGGGGGGAAAAAAAAATAAAAAATGTGCACGGACCTGCGGCTCCTGTTGCTTGCAGAGTGAAAGGTGCAAGTGTTTTTGGCGGCCTTGATGTTGTTAGGCCGAAAAGAGAACACAGTCTGGTGGAAAGTGGGGCAGTGTCGGGCAAGAATCCAGGCAACACAGGGCGACAATGCGGGTTCCATCTGTTCGCTTTCGGCTGCAATTGCAATCGCTTTCAGAACGCTTCTTCCATGACAAGAGGAGTTGGCGCTGTTATGCGTCGAGACTGTGACTTTTATAAGGAACTCAGAGAGATAGCTCGCACACAGATGTCTGTTGAGAGGGTGCCGGTTGGCGAACACGAGAGCCGGCCGGCCAAGCGAAGCGTGTCGATCCGAGTCGAGGGCTTTGGCTGGTCAGCAGGCTTTCGATGCACTTTCCCCCGTGTACATGCTTCTTTGCAGCTCTTGGATCAACCTTGCAAGCAGCCGACATCTCTCAGCAGCCGACTTTATCTAAGCTTCACTCTGATCACCATCATCCATCTCTCAGATCACCTCAAGCAACGCAAGCAACGCAAGCAACGCAAGCAACGCAAGCAACGCAAGCAACGCAACGCTTTGCCCCTCCTGCCTGGCCCTGTCTTGGTTTTGACTTCGGTGCATGTCATCGTCAATCAAGATTGCATTAAGCAGCTGACAGGAAGGACACAAAGGTCATGTCAATCGTCTATGCATCCTCAAGGGTATTCCGCCAAACCAATGGCATTGTATTCCTACATCCATCAGAACGAGTACCACGGTCCGAGCTAGATCGAAGAGATCGATGCTACCGTGCCAAACGAGAAGCCGAGTACGCAAGAGCATGGGCCGAAGATGCTACGCTAGTTGGATATATTATCTACGACACAAACGCAAGCCGGATCGCGGGCGACAGAGCAAGCCTAGGCGGTCAAAGCAGCATCCGCAGACGCAGGAGGAACAACAGTGTCGCACATCGACTCGGACGCACATTGAAGCTCAAGAAACTCAAGAATCTGTTCAGACATACATAGCTCAACCGCAGCCTACGCCCCATCTGATCTTCTCTACGGGATACAGGTGATGGGCCCATTGTTGTGGTGTTTGTCTTGTCATCCTTCTCCGCCCGCATCGAATCTTTTTTGTTCTCATTGTCGTTTAGGCTTGTCCAGTTCTTAGGCTTCTGGTCACGTAGTAATGTCACTTTCTTCAACTCAAGCAAGAGCATCCCTTCGGAATTACTTCGAGTCCATTAATTACAAGAAAGGGAATTATGGTATCGGAAGAGTTTCATACAACTAGCTGGATATCAACTGACGCCTCCCGGTGAGAAAGAGGGTCGGTGCAAAGTGCTATGGCTGACTAATCAAGGGATGGGAACGGGCTCGCCGTGCTCGTCCCTGACGACAACAACTTCGACATCGGCACGCTCGCCGTTGTCCATAAAAGTGACCGAGGTCATGTCAATAGGGTCGGTGCGAACACCACGCTTCTCCATGAAGCTCCTGCCAAGGATGACGGGGAAGTAGCTGTCCTCGGCAAGCATAACAGTGCAAGGAACGGCCTTGGAGCCGACCTGAACGGGCCACTTGCCAAGGTTGGTGATGCCGTTGAAACCGTAGGTGCCTGGAGTGGTGTCCTTGGGGATGAAACCGTGGTTGAGAGCAAAGCTTCGGCTGACGTAGACGTGTCGGTAGCCAGACTTGAGCATCATGGGGACATCCTGGATGGGACCAATGCTACCTTTGAGGAGACGAACACCGAGTTGCGAGTGGAACTCCTGGAAGGCGATCTTGTGGGAAGGAACGGAAGAGACGGCAGTCTGGTTGGTCTTGCGGGTCTTGCTGGTGTGTGTCGAGATGGCGTCGTCGTGGGTAGCCTTTGGTGCGGGAGGCTCGGGAAGGGAAGGCTTGCTGTAGCCGGGTTGAGCAGCAGGCTCGCGAGGGGGAGGGTACATGATCGAGTCTCGGCCGCCAGCAGTGACTCCTCCGGCTTCGCTGTAGTCATCGGCGGAAGGGATGTGAGGGGCAGCTACACGGTGGATGCTAACACCGCCGCTCTTGCCACGACCAGGAGTGCGGTGAACCAAGGTAGACTCGTCAACGAGGGGGACGTTGGGACTGTCATGTGCGCCATCGGCCGAGTGCTCTTCGGCGCGGTTGTTGGTAGGGATCTCGGGCGATTCGAGGTACACTGCAATGGTTTGAGTGAAGAAGGCGAGTGAGGTCAAAGGAAAACAGCGGGAAGTCAGCAAGGAACAAAGGCAAATGAGAAGGTTGGTGTGTGTGGTCAAGACTCACGATCAGCCTCCTTCTCGTTGCCGAAGCGTTCAAGGAAGATCTCCCAGTCATCAGCTGGAAGGGCAGCAAAAGAAGAAAGAGGTTGATAAGGTCAGCTTGTGAGCTTACGATCAAAGCTTGCAAAGTTGCTCGTCACTCACAGTCCTCGAGAGTGTAGGCTTGGCCGGACCAGCCGTACTTGATTACGAGTGGGATACCATCGTCGAGTTGAAGGCGGATCTTCTTGGCAGCACGAGACTTGAGGCTGTCAAGCGAGTCGTCCGACTTGAGACGGAGGGCGAAGCTGGGAAGCGAGCCAGCGTGAAACTGTGTAGCGTCGAATGGTGCCAAGACAAGGGGTGCAAAGAAATTTGGGAGATCAGCTGGATGTCCATGGTGTCTGTGGTGTCTGTGGTGTTGGTCAGTTCAAGACTTACATTGAGAATGGGAGCCATGATTGCTTTGCGAAAATGAAGAGGTCGACGATGATCAAAAGCCTTGTTGAATGCAGGTGATGGTGGGGTGTCAACAGGGTTCAGAGGTCGGCGCTGTGAATGAGAGACCTTACAATGACAGTATAGGCGAGCGGATGTGTTGGATGGCTCAAGTCACCAATTGGGTGTTGAGCAAGTAAAGATCTGCAAGCAAACCAGCAAAAGACAAAGAAAGCGTCATTACGCATATTAGCGGCACCACGTGACATTCACCTTCCGCCTGAAAGCTCAGCCAAGAAGAGCTGACACTCAAAACAAGACTCGAATTTCACCGCGTTCTTCTGCCGGCAAGTTGGCCTGATCATATCGCCAAGGCTGTTAGATCCTTTCTGCCAACATTTTCCCCCAAGCGGCTTGCGGCTCACATTTTCTGTTTTTTTTTTTTTTTTTTTTTTTTTTTTTTTTTTTTTTTTTTGGATCTTCAAAAAAATGGCGCACGTCCACGTCCACATCCACATTCACATCCACATCCACATCCACATCCACATCCACATCCACTTCCGCTGCGTCTCCACATCTGAATCGTACTTGTTCAACCTCGAAGCTTGATGCTTCTTCTCCACAGCTTCGAAAACGACGAATAATTCTCGCGACGTACACCACCACCACCAAGGAACCTTCAACTCTTGTCTCTGCCGAGGCACAAACGAGGAAAAAAAGAAAAAAAGGAAAAAAAAAAAAGAAAAAGAAGCCTTCGCCCACCATGGGGTTACGCACAGGGCTCATCATCGGGTCAACGTCCTTCCTGTTAGGTATGTTGCCAGAGTCTGCATCCACTGATGTTGCGGATCGATGAGAGACCGGCTAGCTTGACCGTCCCTCTGCTTTTCTTGTGTCATCTCTACAGGAACCTTGGCCATGCACTGGACCGCAGATCACTTGATACTCTGGCAGTCACCCGTCACGTTCGACTCGGTCGTTACAGCATACACTTATTATAGGGATACCATGATCGATATGCCTTCTCTATCCCGCAAGTTGCTTCATGCTATCGGGACATTTGCTGCGCTACTGCTCATTTCGAAAGCGCTCGGCGGTCGAGAGAGCAACTGGCTCTTTGACGGCGCTTCCCTCTTCCTCTTTGGCGCTTCAGGCCTTGTCTACTACCACAAGATTGAACCAAGCCTTGCTACTTTACCACCAAACGCTCCCTCGCCAGGTGAAGGCCTCGTTGATGGTAGAGATGCTGTCTTTGCTCCTCTTGGCGAGATCGCTACTTCACATACCGTTCTCGCCGTCGCTCTGGTTGGCGTCATCCTTCTCCAAAGCGGACAGTACTACAGCGAGCGTCTGGAAGAGCGCGAGCGCATCGAAGGTGACGAGGCCCGCATCCGAAGGCGTCAACGGAGGCGCGAGCAGCAAGAGAAACGCAAGGAGCGGCTACAGCCAGCCACCTCAGCTTCATCCTAAGCTTTCTTCGTCCGCATCTTGGGTCCAGATATCTTCACAGCAGGTCGTTCGCAGGCTAGGTGCACGGCACTTGACCGCCTCACCTTCAGCTCATCTTACTGTCAATAGAATACACTACAACAGGAGAGATGTGAGATTGCTTTGATCTGCCTTGTATTTTCGCGGTCGAGACTAGTGAGAGCTACTTGACTTGCTTTTTGATTTCGGTTTGGTGGATGATGGTACGGATCACCTCCGGAGCTCCTATCCGATGTCCGCGTTTGCCAAACATATCAACCACTCCATTCTCGTCCTGCCTCTTGATTTCCTCCCAATGGGCTAAGGTATAATCAAGAAGCTTCTGCTGGATCTCTTCATGTTTGAGAGCAAAGTCGTCGAAAAGTTCGTGGAGCACGTTGGCCGGGGTGATACAATTGTTGATCGCTGTGTAGGCCAATTGCTTAAGTTCTGTCAGCCCCAACTTACAAGCGGCGCGATAGATCGACTTGGGGCTGGTTGTAATCATTCCTGAAAACTGCTGTTGGCGCTGCGATGCTTCTTCTTGGTCAAGCTGGATCCCTTTGATGTCGACAGACGCTTCTACGCACAGAGACTCGTCTCTTGCGTCTGGAATGCTCCTAGTGCGTTCGCGTCTAGTACTCTCGAGAGGACCAAATGTTATATGCCGAGTTTGCAGGTACAGCAGCACAGCTTGGACCGTGGTGACAGCCATGCCGGAGATAGGAACAAACTTGCCAAGAGGTTGCTTGGGTTCTGGTAGATGCCAAGCATCTCGGTGGGTGAGTGCGCACAGTGCGGCCTCTAAGGTCGAAAAGCCGTTGTTGTCAATGTGTCGCAGCAGCTCAGTGGCTCCGTAGGCTTGTAGACTCACCCTGTCGCCATATACACATGCGTATTTGTTATCTGCCTTCCGACTAAGCACGACAAAGCAAGTATCGCCCCAGGTGCCAAAGACGGTTGCCTTGGCGATGGCATCCACAAGACCAGGCGGTGTGACAAAGTTTGTCTTTGGCACTGCATCATCTTGACGAATCTGGTAGGACAAGTTGATGATCTTGTTCGTCTGAGGCTCTCGACTCTCTTGGGCTTGTTCAGCTTGCTTCTGCTCTTTGGCAATCGAGATGCTCAACGACACCGAGTCAAGGCCAGCATCTAGCCGCACGATTTTGCGCTTCATCTCAATGCCACGTCGCTGGTCATCATCTGGACATTCCTCGACTGAGATGACCACCTCGAAGATGCAGTCAATCGCATCATTTTTTTTTGCAAGACTGACGTGAAAGATGCTGTCTCCTTTGCCGTAAGTGATCGTCATTACCCAGCCGTGCTCGAGCACTTTCTGCCACTGTCTCGGACTGCTGTTGGTCGTGACCGTAATGTAGGCGAAACCATCGCGATCCTGCATCGGTTGCTCGACCTCACCAGCAAAGAGAGTCTTGCTCTCCTTGCCAGGGGACATATCGCAAGGCTAGTTGAAAGCGAAGAGCTACTCTGAGTGGAAGCTGAAGGAACGGTGTGAGAGGTTTGTTGGCAAGATGAAAGTGAGAAATAGGTGTGAGCAAGAAAAGGGAGATGGTCGGTGATGACGGTGGGGGATACGAGTTGTCGTTGAAGGCGAGCGCTGATCAGGAGAAGGATCCACAGTCTTTATCGACACCGTCGTGTGTTAGTGCAAGGTGGGATTTCATCTTGAATTTCCATGTACATTCGCTTGCGTGCAACACTAGTAAGATGCACCTTCTGCGGGCTGAGGAAGTTTGCGGTTCGCGGGCGAAGCCATCTCTCTAGCGATGGAGGGCAGGTGTAGAAAGAAGAGCAAGACTTCAGGAGTCAGTTCAAGTGCTACGGCGCAGCAAACAGTCCACGACAGCGCTTTGAGATAGGCTTGAGAAAAGGGGCGTGCGCCAATTTAGGTTAAGCGCAGCGCAGAAAGATCAGTGCAATTGACCAGAGTGCGACTCACCTTCGAAGTGAGAGGAGAATGGTTTCGATTGTGCTTTCGCGGGACCAGTTGGAAAAGATGGCAAGTGCATTGTAGTCGATACGGCCGTCTGGCTTGACGCAAGGAAGATTGATTTTGGTGAGGAACTTGACCTCGGGTGGCTGATCTGGATAGCTTGGACCGCAGTGAATGCTAAGCGAGTAGATGCGGTTCTGGTAGACCGAGTGACCAGGGCCGATGATGGTTGCGTTCCAATTGGACATCACTGTGGTTGCCGGGTAGCGATAGGAGAGAAAGAAAGGAATACAGGTGGCCCAAGGCGCAGCCGACAATGAATGGTTAGCCGCTCAAGGCGTTGCTTGCTTTGGCGCTCCGTCTATCGGCCTAGCCATGCAACAGGCCTCGATGGTCTTGGCTTCAAGATACTCACTGAGATCGCTGCCATCGTCAAGACCGTAGGAGCAGCTTCCATCGCCGATACCCTTTTCGCCCTTTTCGAGCTCCTCGAGGAGTCGGAAGTTGCGGGGGACTGTGTGGTAGAAGAAAAGGAAGCAGATGCATTAGCGTAATCAGAAGGGAGTTCAATCCTAAGCGGGCAAGGTCCGAGTGAGCCGTGGAAGCGCGAACAAACCTTTGGCCATGATAGGGAAAGGGCCTGAAGATTTAGGTGCAGGAGACTATCTGTATCGGTTAGGTGCTGAGAGGATGAAGTCAGCTATGAAGTGTTCAGCGAAGAAGGGAAAGCCAAGCTGTTGTCAGCATCAGCTAAACACGGACACCAAAGATAAGACTGTGACGATTGTCGGGCAAGAGACAGAATGGCGCATAGTGCGAAATCGATGTGAGCTCTGGAAGCTGTACGCCGGCCATGGCAAGATGGTGGCCTTAGCTAGATGGCGACCTTGGCTCTTGACTGGCTTCTGTGGCTATGCCAAAATGTGTGCGCCTTACGGATCGTCGCGGAGGTGGAAAATGATCATTGTCGGTGAGGATAGATGGTGGAGATCGAGCGAAGAAGGCAGCTCGGCGGTGGCTGAATGCGACTGCCAAAGTCGTTGCTTTTGGAGAGCTGCAACTTACTAGTGCTTTACCTAAACTGATCCTGGAGCAGATCAAATGGTTGGTTTTGTGAGAGATTGAGTGAGAGGGACAGCCAAAAAGGTTGGCGGCGTCGTGTGTTGATAGAATGATGGACAAGAGAGGATGTTGGCGATGTGAAAGCAGCACATGAACCTTACACCGGCACAAATGGCTCGTGCGCGGTGGAGATTTCAGCTTTCAGGCTTGGACCTCGCGATCGGGATTGGAGAGAGAGTGCCGATTTGGAATCTTTGCGATTTTCCCGATTTCCAGTTGCCGGCGTGCCCGAAGAAGGTGAGATTTCCTTGCTCCTCCTCTGCTCTGAGTAAAGCAGCTTGCTCAATCATTCTGTCAATGAACGCTTGCGTGGAAGAGCGGATAGGACTGATCGCTCCTTCTGTGTTGGCCGAGGGAAGCTGCATTGTGCGTCGACGGCTGTGCTGAGGACCTGGTGAGAAGAAGACCGTGGCTAGCATCAAAGCAGCATTAAGCATGCCTGATGAGATGGAGACAAGAATGGGGCCTGTGCTTGCTGAAAGGCATCAAGAAGGTGAAAAAGAAAAGATTCATTGACCATCATCGTCGATTCATCTCGGACGATTATCGATCAGCGAAATGGAACTGGCGAGCTGGACAGAAGATCTTGAACGAGTTCAAGCGGATCGCTTTGCTATGCAAAGAAAATAGCGATAGACTGGTCCGATCCGCCTGAGCTGGCGATCGTCGACTGTCCACGCACAGCCGGTCAGATAGGAGTCGGCTTCGTTCCGTGTTGGCTTCGATGAGCGGCATGGTGAAAGCTTGTAAGCCAGCCTCGGCGATTCTGGCTCAAGCTGGATAGCAACAAGACATCTGGCTGATCCGACGTTGGTCTCGTGTGAAGCAAAGTTGGCTCTATCCAGGCGCCCGATTTGCGTTGTCAAGAAGCGCACAACTTGCTGCCACCGATGGCAGGCACAAAACCACACGAGCCAAAGATCTCTTTCTTACCTGTCCTGTCACCGCAGCTCGCCTATATGGCCAAAAAGAAAGAAGGCTCCGACTTCGGATTTGCCGAACAGCGTGTTTCTTCTCTCTTTCTCTGGCGCTTCTTCTCTCTGGCATTTCTTCCCAAATGTGCATTGAAATGGCCGGCAAAATAAGCTTAAGCTTTCGAATTTCCCACCTTTGACACGGGATCGCTTCGCATGGGTCGGGACCAGAAAAGTGCTCCAAGTTCCAAGCTCCAAGATGAGCGAGAGGAGCAGCAAGCGCTCCATCACGCAGGCACAGCGACGAGTACAATACGGCCACCGCCTGATGCCAACTGTTCATTCTCTCAGAGCAAACGCTTCATGCCTGTTGCCGATTGCGCCACGTTCTCACGGTTCTTCTCTCCTTACTCCTTATTTCTTCTTGGAAGGCACATGACCTTGGAGAAAGCCTCTCTCTCTCTCTCTCTCTCTCTCTCTCTCTCTCTCTCTTCTGCCGCTTCGGGATTGCCGACAGGGTCCACTCAGCTTTCCTAGCCGAGATGCCGTTCTAGCGGCGCAAGAAGCCCACGAGACTGTGGCTCTGGCTTGCCCCTCTTCAACACTTCTCCGCTGCCTCGAGGGCGCAAGGTATATAACCGTAACCGCCTTGAGGCCTGCTCCTGAGACCAGCCGCACCTCTTGTCGACTGTTGCCCTCTTGCTTTGGCATGCATATCCTCGTCTCTTCTTGACATTGCTATCCCCAACCCCTGTCCTCTTCCTACTCTGCTCACTTGGAACCGCATGGATCCTGTTCACGCCACTACCAATACCCCTTGGACATCATCACCACATTTCCGCTTAGCAAGCAAGCTCTCGAGACCGTTCATAACCTACTGACATCCCCTCGGCCAGCCATAGGCTTCTGCAGCTCCCATAGTCCTTGATCATGGCCACCATGACCACAGACAAGGTTTCTCCGGTGAGTATCTCATGCCACCAGCCCACTTTGGATGCCTTTTCCAATTCTTTTCTCGACTATTTGCTGCCGTCTCGTCCTGTCTTCCAAACACTCTCTGCTTCACAGCTCAAGTCCTTGGTCCAGGACAAGGTGCACCAGACCACAGATACCGCTCGTCTCTCAGCCACCGAGGTTCGTAAGCGGGCACAGTCGACCATGACGCGGGCACAGCGAAAGACCTCCTCGGCGTCCAACACGGCTGTCGAGCAGATGCAGTCGCTTCTCGACCAGCTAAACCGTACCCGAATCGTCAGCGATGTCAAGCTTCTCGGTCAAGCTCCTAATCTCATCCTCTCAGGTCTCTCGGCCCGAGGCTTGGACGATCGCAAGTTGCTTCTTGAGCAGCTCATCACGTTGCTTGCTAGCATGCCCGTCGCTTCCAACATCAGCCAGAAACTCTCTGATGCACTCATCGGCATCATCTGGGGCAATTTGCCTCATCCGCCTGTCTCGTTCATGGGTCGCGCCCATCGATTCCGACGGGCAGATGGTTCGGACAACAATATCATGAACCCAAAGCTTGGTGCTTCCAACCAGCCCTACTCGCGCAACGTTCAGCGAACTCAACCTCAGATGGTCAACCTACCCGACCCAGGCACCGTCTACGATTTGCTCCTGGCGCGTGACAGCTTCGAGCCCCACCCCACAGGCATCAGCTCTCTCCTCTTCAACTTTGCCAACATCATCATACACGACATCTTCTCGACTACACGAGAACCCGCTGCTCACTCGGCCATCAACCAACACTCATCCTATCTCGATCTGCAGGTGGTCTACGGTGCCAACATGGAGGAGCTGCAACGAGTCCGTACTGGCACACTTGGTCTTCTCAAAGCCGACACTGTCGGCGATTGGCGTATGGCCATGATGCCACCTGCCACCGCTGCGCTTGCCGTCCTCTTCAGCCGTAGCCACAACATCATTGCCAAGCGAATCTACGAAATCAACGAGGCCCACCGTTTCGATGACCTCGAAGGCGAGTCACTCGACGAAGAGCTCTTTGGCATCGCTCGCCTCGTCAACTGTGGTCTCTTTTTGCACATCATCCTCCGCGACTACATACCGGTCATCCTCAACACCAACGATGCCGAGTGGTACGTCAATCCTCTAGATCAGATTAAAAACTTTGGTGGCGTCGGCAGTCTGGAGCGTGGCATTGGCAACTCGGTCGCTGCCGAGTTCTCTGTGTTGTACCGCTGGCATGCAGCCGTCTCGCGCATGGACGAGGAGTGGATGAACGACTTCCTCGAGTCGCAATTCCCTGGTAAGAGACCCGAAGAGGTCTCTTCGCGCGAGTTTGTTGAGGCAGCCGCCGCGCTCAAGTCTCAATTCCATCACACCGATCCGAGCGAATGGAACCTTCACAACTGGGAGAGGGACGGCCAGGGCAAATTCAATGATGGTCTTCTCGCCCAAGTCATCAAGGATGCCGTCCAGGACGTCGCTGCTGCTTTCCGTGCTCGCGGTCACCCTAGCTGGTTCCGTCCTATTGAGATCCTCGGCATGCTCACGGCTCGCAAAGATTGGGCGCTCTGCACCATGAACGAGTTCCGACACTTCTTGGGTCTCAAGACCTACTCATCCTTCAGCGAGTGGAACCCTGACCCCAAGGTGTACAAGGCGGCCGAGATGCTGTACGGCGACATTGAGAATCTCGAGCTCTACCCAGGCCTCATGGCCGAAGAGGCCAAGCCCAGTATTCCTGGAAGTGGTCTTTGCCCCGGCTACACTATCTCGCGAGGTATCCTCAGCGACGCTGCTGCTCTCACTCGAGGGGATCGCTTCTACACGAACGACTTCTCCACCTCGAACCTGACGAGCCAAGGTTACCACTACTGCACCACGCCTCAGTCCGGCTCGCACGGTCTCATGGGCAAGCTCATCATGTCGACGCTACCCGGTCAGTTCCCGTACAACTCAATCTACGCGCTCTTCCCCTTCCGTGTACCGGACAGGACCATCAGCATGCTGAAGGAGAAGCGCACCCTCGAGCACTACGATACCTCCTACCCAGCTCCCGCCCGCAACTGGCACGTCATCGAATCGTACTCTGCTAGCAAGCACATCCTCGAAGACAGCCGCTACTTTGTTCCTCTGCCTTCGACCAAGTACGACGAGAACCTCATGACCTCGGCGATTCACTCGATCCCGCGTTGGCAAGACGAGGTGTCGGACTTCTACAGCATCAACACCGACACGCTCATGAAGGAGCACAGCGTCTCCTTCTCGCCTTCGGGTCGCCAGAGGATTGTCGATCTACTCGAGGTAGTCAACACCGTCTCAGCCCAGTTTACCTCGATCCTCTTCGCACTGCCCACAAGCGGCAGCCACGGAATGCAACTCGGAGTGTCGCCTCAGGACCTCTTTGCTACACTTGCCAAACCACTTGCCTACGCCATGTACGGCTCCTTTGACTTCCAAGGTCATCAGACCTGGCAGCTCGAGGAACAGGCCGAAGTCTGCACCCGTCGTCTCAAAAACCTCATCTGGGCTCGTCTCCACACCGTCGATGGCCTCCTTTCGCCCGTCTTTTCGCTCGTTCAGGGCATCTCCAACGTTGTCGGCGGACCCGGCAACATTGCTGTCAACGACCTAGCCAAGCAGTTCTACCACACTCTGTTTGCGTCCGGCAAGAACAACGACGAGCTCGTCAAGGACTGTCTGCACATGATGGTGTCGATGACGGCTACTCACTCGCTCGTACTGATGCAGGCTTTCAAGTGGTTCTTGGATGAGGAGAACGTGGAGCATCTCTCGGCCGTGTATACGCTTGCTCAGAAGAACGAGCCAGCCTCGAACGCAGAGCTGCGCAACCGCATCATGGAGGCTTACCGTCTCAACAGCATCACTCCTCCGCAGGGCAAGTTTGCCCTTCAGGCTGTTGGTCTTCCTGACGTTGATGGTAACAAGGTTCACGTTCAGGTCGGCGATGGCGTCTACATCTCGCCTTCGGCTCTCTATCGTGACCCTCATCTCTCTCAGGACCCTGAGCGCTTTTCGCCCAGCAGCAAGACTCCCGTTTGTCTCGGTCTCGGTGACACTCCCACACAATTGATCCTCGAAGTGGCCCTTCCTGCCATCGCCAAGCAGTTCTTCAAACACTCTGGTCTTGCTATGGCACCAGCTGGACCTCCTCCCGTCGTCAACGATGCTGGACCGACCGCGAACGAGAAGCTGCCGTACTTGGTTAGCAACCAGGGCAATGGCTATCCTCTTCCCATCAACACTTCGATGCACGTCATCTACGAGGCGTGATCAGAGGTTGTCAGGCTTTTTCAACCATCCGGGTCTTTCGACAACAGGATCCCTGCCGTGGTTCGTCTTTGTGTCTTGCCTAGTATCTCGCATCTTGTCTCGTTACTGTTCTGCTTGTTACGTTGTGCAAAGCTCTCATTGCAGATAGTCTGTCATTCTGTCACATCCCCGATCGTCAGTGATGCGTGCTGTAATATACGAATTGAAGTCGCTGGCTCATGGTGAAGGTACAAATACAAAAGACAAGGAAAGCTGATCTCTTGGGTCATCATTCGATGGTTTTCTGTGTCAAGTAAATCTATTGAAGCTTGCTTATGGCCGAAGCCAGCTTATCTGCCTGGTCCTTCACCTCGATTCGTCGACGCAATCTCTCTTCATGCACAAGCGCTTCTTCACGGATATTTGAGCTGGTTCTAGTCGTCGCTGCCTGATCGCTAAGGATCGAACTGCAGAAGTAGAAGCAGAGCTTTCGCTGCGCCAGTCTCAAGGATTTGCTCGACCACGTTAGGAGCGGGTCGTGAGAGGATGCATGCGCTGCAAGGTCCTCGAGGAAAAAATGCAGATCTGCGATCGCATTGGTCAGCGACGGCATCTGGGCGGCGATGAATGCCTGTTGGCAGGGCAGAGAGCAAAGCTTGGCTACTATGAGGAACCGTGGCTCGACGTCGTCTTGGTGAGCGAAAGTTGGTAGAAGCTGTTCGCGTGCAAGGAGTTGACTGAGATCTTGCAACAGCTGCAGATTAATAGCGTCGGCACCGCCTGGGCCAACTTCTGCGTCCAACGAGAGCCGTGAAAGCAGCCACATGGATGCATCATCCAGCGACGTGAAAGCCAGTTTGCTAGGATCCCTACCGGCTGGCACATGCTGTGAGTGCTCTTTGCGTTGGATGGGCTGGGATGGAAGGAATGGGACCAAGTGAACCAGCTTTTCCAGGGCTGTGGCGGCCAGAGACGCGTCGGCGTCCACTCGAGTTTTCGAGGCTGAAACAGGTACCAAGTCGACATGCGACGAGGTCGGCAGTGAGGCTGGTTCGTCAACCGGATCATCTGGCTCGAGCGGCGGTGGCTCGTCATCATCGTTGTTTTCTTGCAGTGACTCGAGAAGAGATCGGACCAGACATGTCGAGTCCGGAGTCGGCGCTGATGCAGACAAAAGCGCCGAAGCTGGTTTGCTGGATGCGAGGGGCTTTGTCAGGCCCGACAGGCTTGCGATGTCTAGATGTCGGAGCGTATACGCATATGCCATGAGCACAGCATAAAGGTTGTAGACCAGGTTGACGGGGGCAGGACCTCCGCTCCTCGTCGAGGCCGCGCTTTGCCCTCGCAAAATCTTCTCGAGCGATGCGCTGAACGCAAATACCTCGTCCGGGTCTCGACTGGAAAAGTCGGGACAGGCATCTGAAGTCTCAAACCATGGAGTGGACTGCCATGCCCTCTTGGGAGCAGGCTGGGTTGGAGCGCGATCGGGAGGCGACTGTGCGGCTATCAGGACACCTTGCTTCGTGGCTGAAGTCTCCACTGGCGCCAGACGATCGGCCTTCCTTTCCAGTCGCTGCATGAGTTGAGATGCAGTTTGTGGATCCTTGATGGCCTCCAAGAACTTCTGCTTTTCCTTGGGAGTGAGCATCGCAAGGAGAGCCTCAGACGAAGCAGATTCGATTTGGTCAGCCGTGATGTTGGCTCTTAGACCAGCAGCCTGGTCAATGTCCTCGTCATCGTCGCTTTCTTCTTCCTCTTGTGTATCCTCTTGTCTCTGTCGCGTCGCTCTTGCATCCTTCTCGAGACGATCCAGGATGCCGACAACCTTTTGCCGGTCGCCATCCTCTGCCAAGAGCTCAGGGGAACCGACAGCAAGGCTGATAGCAGACGAAGAGAAGGCAGCCGAGCAGTCTTGATGCTCGCGTCTGCGGAAGCAGATCAGCGAGCAGAACGGAACGTTGCATCTCGGACAGTTGTACGTTGCGGGTTGTGCGTAGCAGATGTTACAAAGTCGAGCTGATGCGGCTCTGCTTGAAGTTGGAACTGGAAGGAGGTCCTGCTCCCGCGCCTTGTCTCGACGGACAGTTTGTGAGATGTTGAACAGGTCCGACAGAGACATGCTAATCAATCAGCGTCCTGTAGTTTTGTCCAGCCTGGTGGCCAGGTTCGTGATCATAATCGATCTTATAGCAAGCGCTTGCCGTACTGACGATGTAGGAAGTGGCCCAGAAGGGTGAGGTTGCGGTGGTGAGGTTGTGGTGGTGAGGTTGTGGTGGTGAGGTTGCGACAAGTGAATCGGCTTTTTGACTTTTCAAGCTGGACCCTGCATTGCTGGAGCCTGTGGAGGGTGAACTCTGACTCGTGCGAGAAAGGGTTGCTCTACTGTATTTCGAAAAGAGTCGGCTCCGATTTTTTCGCTGGGGATTTGCCCTCTTCAGAAGAACCGCTTTTAGGGAAATTTTTGACTTTTTTGGACGTTTTACGCACAGAAACCTTTGGCTGACCCTGGAGGAACATGATCCTAACACCGAGCAAGCTTGCTCACCATCACCATTCCTACACCTCAGCCGCGACAACTCTTGACGACAGCAGAGCGGATCAGCATCTTCCTCGCTCCTACATCGATAACTTGACAGGAACCCGCATCGCACCGAAGATCCGCGTCACTTATTACTCACATATACGATGTCGTTCCGTGGAGGACGAGGAGGAGGTGACCGCGGAGGTCGTGGCGGCTTCTCATCGCGAGGTGGTCGAGGTGGCTTTGGCGGTGGAGGACGTGGTGGATATGCCAACGCTGGCCCTCCCGAGGCAGTGCAGCCCATGGGTTCCTTCCTTCACGCCGTTGAGGGCGAGATGCTTTGCCAATCGACCGATGCTAAGCACGTCCCATACTTCAATGCTCCTATCTAGTACGTACATCTGGCGCAGATTCAACAGCACCCTCAGAATTGTCAGAGAAGCCCTGTCGGCTCCCTTGGCTCGCCTTTCACTGCTTCTTTTTGCGGACTTTATGCTGACTTTCACTTACAATCTTTTGCTCTGAACTCTCCTCTTTCATGCAACCCAACAGCCTCGAAAACAAGTCTCAGATCGGCAAGGTCGACGAGATTCTCGGACCTATCAACGAGGTCTATTTCACAATCAAGATGGACCCAGGCATGGTTGCAACATCATTCAAGACCGACGACAAGGTCTACATTTCCGGCGAGAAGCTCTTGCCAATCGAGCGATTCTTGCCAAAACCTAAATCATTGACAAAAGCACCAAAGAAGAAGGGCGGGCGAGGCGGTGCTGGTGGTGCTCCCCGTGGTCGTGGTGCACCAAGAGGCCGAGGTGGCTTTGGCGGTGGACGTGGTGCTCCCGGCGGACGTGGTGGTTTCGGTGGTGGACGCGGCGGCGGATTCAGCGGTGGTCGTGGCGGAGGTTTCGGCGGCGGACGAGGTGGTGGATTTGGAGGTGGACGTGGTGGTGCTGGTGGTCGTGGCGGTGGATTCGGTGGCCGAGGTCGCGGACGTGGTGGCTACTAAGCTCAAGCAATCTGCTACTTGTCAGCTCTACCGTTCAGGACTCTTACATCATCACCACATTCGTTCCGGCATTGTCTCTTTTCATCTTTTGTGTATTTGTGTTAGTATTGACCCGCTCCTTCGTTTCGGCATCAGATTTCATTCCCAATATCCATGGTTTGTGGTCACGACATGGTCAACAGCGAACCTGCCATTCAGACTGCGAAGCGTTTCACACCGTGCATGAAGGAATGCGGTCGGCGTCGATGGAAACAGAACTAGAAAATGGATTGCAAGCATCTTAAAAAGGCAACAAGAAAGTCTATGTAGGTCTGCAATGTTCGGCATCTTGCAAAGGGTTCGCGGCCCAATGCGGAACCGGAGCGTACTTGAGCAGTGTCAATGTCAGCACAAAGATGGTTAGAGCATTGACACTTGCACCGGCATCCAACGCTGCTGAGAAGACGTAGTTGAACTTTTCGAACCAGACCGGGTGCTTTTCGCGGAGATGCTTCTGTGAGAGCCAGGAGAAGAAGAAGCCAGTCATGATGACATTTGTCGGCACAGCTGGAGGCAAGGCGGCCGAATGCAGAATGATGGGAAAGGCGACCTTTGGCAGCCACTTTGTCTTGTACTTCTTGAACAGCAAGTATGGAATGAGCGGCAGAAGCGCACCAACGAGGAAGCCAGAGTAGAGTTTGCGATAATCGCCAGAGAAGAACTCTGCTGGTCCGACAAGACCCCAAATGACAGAAGCTGAGAAGAAGATGTGCACTTTTCGTCCATCCCACTGACCTGAAGGGTCTTCAATTGTGCCATCCAGGAAGGCGCGGTAGCCTGAAGCGGGATCGAGAACAATGTTGACGACGATCAAATTGACCACGCATCCTACCATGGTTCCCCACAGCTGTGTAACGAACATGTGCTTGGGCGGAATCTTGATGTAGTGACCGAGCTTAAGATCGTTGACCAAGTCAAGTGCTTGGTTGAGGGACATGTATGCCATAGTCTTGAACAAGATGTTACCGATCGGGTTGCCCGGCATGATGTATCCGATGACAAACTCAGAGATGATGTTGAGACCAACACCTGTATCCGAGACCGCTCTGAGGATGCCAAGAGGAGCAATGAAGAGGAGGCCCATGAAGATGGCAAGCAGGAGGGCCCACACTGGCAACTGCAATGCTGGCGTCAACACAACCAGCATAATGGAGGCTGTAGTAGAGAGCGCAAAGGTGGTGGCGTACCATTTGCGAGGGACAGGTTCGTAGGCTCGCATTAGGCGATTATGCACATCATCGTGGACGGCATTGCTGGCAGCCTTCTTAATGTCCTTCCAGTGCCACAGCAAGACGTGAGTGACAGTGCTTGTCAGGGTTGCAAAGCCAAGACCGTACGAGAGCGCAAAGTACGGTGTGAGGAGCATAGGTTTCTGCTCTACCCACGCGTTTGCATTGAGGGTGTTGTCCTTATTGAGCAGTGTATCGACTGCGAACTTCTTGTGCTCCTTGTCGTACAGCCCAGCGCTGAGGATTTCGGGGAAGTCCTGAGCATTCCAAAAGTTAAAGCCCCAATAGAGGATAGGCATGACGATGTACATCATGCCTGCGAATCCAGCAAAGAAGTTGAGCGCTGCCCACCATGGCTGGTAGAACGGTCCGCTCATACCAGCTGCGTTCCAGTCAAAAGTGAGATTGAGGAAGCCGAGACCATGGTAGCCAGAGCTGAGGAATCGGAAGGCTGGGATCTTGTTGTCGACCAAGCAGAGCATCGCTACGCTGGACAAGGTGGGTGCGATCAAGGCTGGCAGGAATTGATACATGTAGATTCCGACAAAGGCGAATGCGAAGAGGCGGAGTCGAGCGCGGGTATTGGGTGCCTCCTTGTCGTGTAGTGTGTGGAAGAGTGAAGTAGTAACGAGGGTGCTGGGCCAGATCATTGAAGTCGGCTTGACGAGCAAATTGGTCACCATCCCAGCAAAACCAAAGCCAAGCACCTGGGTAGTGATGAGAAGGGTCAAGGACGAAAGCCAATTCATGTGCTGATGGTAGAAGAGTTCCTGGATGTTGATAATATCACTGGCGTAGGCTGATGTGGCGCCGGAAGAGGCGATGATGGCGACAAGCATGTGCTCCTTGATGCTGAACGGTCCCGGGTTAAGCTGCACTGACCACTTGGCGACTCGAATCGTTCGTTCTGGTAGACGATTTGCTAGCCATCGGCCCATTGGCAGGGACGTCAAGATAACAAAGTAGCTGCTGAAAGAAGGCGAGTTGGACTTGTAGAAGAAGAGTTGTGCTATCGCAGCACCGATGATACAGAAAAAGGTACCGATAACAAGTGCTCTCCACGTTAGTGCCGGAAGGGTGGGGTCGTCATGCTCGGGCACCGCCTTGCTGACAAGGTGCATAGGATCATCAGGATCATACTTTTCAGATATCGAACCTGTCGAGACATGTCTGCGGCCAGCACGATGTCTTGACTTGCTGCGGCCTAGCTCGTATGCCTCTTCATCCGCACCTGCTCCCGACGCTGACGCGGGTCCGAGCATAAGAGCATTCTCGCCTTGCTCATGCTCGTCATCGTCATCTTCAACGGCGTCTGCATACCGCTTGCTCGGCCGTTGACCTAGCTCGTACTGGTCCATTTGGATGGTTGTGGCGTCCTCGTCCGAGTCCTGACCCAGAGCACGTTGCTGGTGGCTGCTAAATTTTGATGAAGAAGGACGAGACCGCGACCTTCTGGCGATGTAAGGAAGGGTATGATTGACCTCTGCGCCTCCGGGCGGAGACTTTTGCGAGGACTTGTTGTGCATATCAAGACGTGCACATGGGGGGGGGCATGGGTTCAAGAATCAAGGAAAGTGCTTGTACTGATGACCCTATGAGGTGGGCTCGAGCGAGGCATGTAAGAAAGCTGGCACTCACCAAAACTTGCTCAGGGTCCAACGTGGCGGTCCAGATCTTGCAAAAATTAAGCTTGGCACCGCCCGATATTCGGACTGTGAGATCGACACTTTCAACAATTCAGAGCAAGGTTGAATCGCATAGTCACAGGTCGAAATCGCCGATACGTTCGACGCGTCTCGCCTCCCACACCACGCTTGATGACGCACTTGTGAGCAGCATCCTTGTCGCCACCAATCACAACAGCAAGAGCGTTCAAGTGGCAGGATCGACGGCCGCTTACCACAATGTCTGACTATCTGTAGCCCGCTTTCGACTGCGGCTGCTATTTTCAGCTTCGAGCTTTTCTTCTCACCGTCCGGCGACTGATCTGGAGTAGCTAATGACGTGAGGCCGCTCTTCTCTGTGCAGCTGCATTGCTGAGTGGTAGCCGCACCGGATTGCATTGCTTCGCTTGTGCCCTTCCCTAGCCGACTGCGAAGCCAAAGTTAGAAACGTTGCTTCCCGAGCCTCACTCCGGGTCCACAGCTAGGTGCTTTGCTGCTGCAAGGCAGCGTATAGTCCTGTCTTGTCCCGCTTCTGGCTCCTAATCTGAATCTTGTCTGCAGAAGCATGCTGCCGAGCGTCAGCGTGCACGCCCTATGAGAGAATTACTGGCCTGGACGTATATATAACTTCTGACTGATTCGAGTTGTATTTCTCTTCCCACACCACATCTTTGTTTCCAATATACACATCAGCAAACATGTCGACCAAGGCCCAGTACGAGACCCACACGTAAGTATATCGACGAGCATCCTCTTTGCCAGCTTTCCATGTTTTGAACTCCCATGTTCACGCCCGTGTCCACTTTGCCTCTTCTCGATCTATAGCTCCGACGGTGACCAGCGCAACGCCCCTGGCCCCAACCCCGATGTCGGTATGCACCATGACGACAACCGAAAGGACCACGAGAAGGGCCAGCCGGAGTCACACCAGTCTCTCGACTCGAAGGACGAGAAGTCGCTCAAGAACAAGCTTGCCCAGGCCGGCAAGGAGGAAAAGGAGGCTCGTGAAGCCGAGCAGGCCAAGCAGCAGGAGAAGCCTACCGATGCAGCAAGGAAGCATGGTAACTCCCCTAGTCGTGGTGCCAAGGTTGATGAGCAAATTGAAGAAGAAGAACGCAAGATGCTGGAAGCCAAGGGCATCAAGACCTAAGCCTCTTGTCTCGCAACCTAAACGCTCGTCATCGAGCTCGTGTCATTCCCCACGCCTTGACCAACATTGTCAGTGCTTAGCAACAGCGACACGGTCACACTCATTCCATTGTATCAGTAGTAATGAAGAAAACATTGTCCTCATAATTAGACGTCACAACACAACATACTCCGCGTGTGTGTGTGTGTTCTGGTCGTTTGTCTGTCTTGAGTAGGAAAGATGAGCATTGTAGTCGGTTGCGATGATGTTACAGATGACAGAAGAGGTATAGGAACCAAAGACAGCGACATTAGGCTGTGGGAGCGCGATGAAGCGAATCAGAGATTGAACCTGCTCGAACCGTGCCCCGTACGAGAAGCTGATGGTGTTGGACGTTCCGACTCGGACTCTACTACGATCGGGTTGTCAGCTGTTCCTGCAGCATTGGTGGGTGGAATGTTAGTTGTGCTTGGAAGGGCAGAGTTGCCAGATGGCGCGGCGTTGCCAAGTAACGGGTGCTGTGCTTGTTGTACACCGTTGACATGGACAGAGCTTCCTTCTGGCGTCGAGATATGGACGGTTTCATTGCCGTGATGGTCGACATTACGAGTGACTGTCTCTTTACGGCCGTTGACGATGCGAGTGGTGGTGCTTTGGCTGGTGCCCGAGAAGCCTCCGTACATGGTGCTCGATGAGCTACTGCTCATACCGAAGCCATGGCCGAAGCGAGTTGCTGACTGCATTCCCATGGGCGGGCCCGAAGGGGCTCGTGATGATGCAGACGGCGCTCCAAAACCAAAGGCCATGGTATCGGCCATTCTACGATGGTTCTGGAAGAAAGGATGGTTGTCGCCAAACAGGCCGCCACCCATAGGCTGGCCCGGGTTGTTCATTCGGAAAGGATCGCTGCCTCCACCTCTTCCACCCATGTTGCCGCCCGTAGATCCAAACTCTTTGTTGAACATCATGTTGAATAGTTCGAAAGGGTCGAAGCCTTCCGCACCAAACGGTCTTCCCGCACGTCGGCCCGCCTGAGCTCTCCTTGCTGAATCCGCACTGGACTCCCACATGAAAGAGAAAGGAACGCCATTAGGGCTAGTACCGAAGTGTTTGCGGCTCGCGTCGTCTTCGTAAGCTTGGAAGCCTCCAGCGCTTCCTGGCCCAAAGGCATCATACTCTCGTCGTTTGCGATCATCGGAAAGCAGCTCGTATGCTTCTCCGACAATCTTGAAACGGGCTGTTGCTTGTTCCTTTTCCGCAGGTGGTGCTCGATCTGGGTGGTTCTTGAGTGCAAGCTTCTTGTAGGCTGATTTGATCTCGGATGGGCTGCAACCCCGCTGAAGCCCAAGCACGTCGTAAGGGTCAATCTCTGGGAAGCGGTTCATCGTGATGGTAGATGGTAGATGGTAGATGGTAGCTGGTAGCTGATGTTGCCCGTAACTGAATCGTACCGTTGATGTGCAAGGCTATCGCGTTGCTCTATGATGGTGTGGATGTGTGGATGTGTGGATGTGTGGATGTGTGAATGTGTGGATGTGTATCACTGCCCTCAGGACAGGTCTCTTGTCGTCATTTACGGTGTTGGTCGAAAAGATAATGTTGAAGAGGATGATAGATAACAAAAGTGGTGTGTGGCACTGATAAGCGCATGCGGAGATGGTCCAAGCTTTCTTTCGAAATTTCGGCTGGCTTCGGACTCAGGCAGCAGCTCACTCAGTCAGCTGCTCAGCTCCAGCACCGACATTGACCGCTGTCGAACTTGGCGAGCTGAGCAGATAGTTGTCGTAACTGTGCCAATCCACACATCACATCGAGTCCACTCACTGTCTCAATCGCATCCGCACAAATTGGTCTTTTCAGTGCTAGTACAGCCAATCCAATCTTGGAGGCCTCTTGATTGAGACAATGGATGGTATAAGAAGACACATGTCTACGCTCAGTGGCTCTCGGAGATCCTTACCGTCGGGTGTTGTTCTACAGAGAAGTGTTTGCGGTTTCCTTCTCGACCTTGCCGTTCTTACCGACAATGTCCTTTCCAATACCTCTCAAGATGTCGGCAAGCTCATGTCTCGACTCCCAGATAGGCAGAACGCCCACCGCTAGCGTCGTCCATAGTAGCCAGATGAATCCGAGCCAGATATAAGCCGCCAAGCCGGTTGAGTTCCAAACCTTTCGCGATGCAAGGCAAGCTGGGATCAGAACGCAAAGCGTGAAGCAAGCCGCTACGCTGACCCAGCTGGTGAATCGCAGAGTCTTGCGAAGCTCGTCGGCATCCAGACCAGCAGCTTTGACGTAGTCAATGGTCTCGAGAGTGTAGGCTACCTTCTCGCTCTCAAGTGGAGATTTTTCCGCATCAGGCGTACTGGGAGAGGCGAGTCCAGAGTTGGCCGCCATTCGCTCGACAGCGTCTTCCGGGGCGTTAATGCTACGTGTCAGAACAAAGTGGTCTTCCGTCTCTGGACGGAGCAAGCTGCCAACGACCGTGATGATGGCAGAGACTCCGAGGGATACCACGTTTCCAGCTAGGGTGGGATAGTCTTTTCCTGTAGTAGCGACCGAGACTTGGTTGTAAAGGCAGCTTGCAGTTACGAGCCATGTTACCACACCGCACAGGATACCAACCATCATGGCGACAATGCATGCCAGCCTGTTGGTACGCTTCCAAACCAGACCGCAGAAGATGGGCACGACAGCGGGAGCGATAATGATCCCCTGAGCCAGGTAGAGCCAACCAAGAGAGATACCGGCGTAGTGGAAAATGGTACCAAAGAGAGACATTACTACGGCCCAGATGAGCACACCGGCGTGGCTCATGATGAAGATTTCGCGCTTGCTTGCGTTCGGCCTGATGTAGGGCTTGTACACATCGAAGGTGAGCACCGACGCAACAGCGACTTGCTGGGCGGATGAGGCTGAAGTGACAGCAAGGAAAAGGATGATCAGGATAGCAACAGCACCACCTCTTCCCGCCAAAGCGACACCCGCTGCTGGCGCAGAGAGACCCGCAGTGATGTCGTCAGCACTCAGGGCTGGCATGAGCGGGTCACCGGAGAACAGGAGGCCCCTTGCGCTCAGCCCCATGGTCATGGAGAACAGGAAAGGAATCGCAAACCATGCCGAACCTCCCAGGAGGAAAGCTCGAGCTGCTGAGGATGGGCGTGAACTGATCGAACGTTGGTGATACGACTGATCGCAGAAGACCGTCCCTAAATTCCCTATTACGTTGATCACCCCGAACACAAGCCCGGGTGTACTTCTGAAGGTCAAAGGACTACCAAAAGCATTACCATGAATGGTGTTTGATGTTGATAGAAGCTTGACCATTTCAGTCACGCTTCCGATGGTTGGCGACGTACACCAAACCTTGAAAAAGAAATAAAAAATAATGATTAAAAGGCCCACGGTGTGCGTGTAGTCGGCAAGCAAAGTAGCGCGCATTCCTCCAACAAGGACGTAGCAGGCAACACCGAGAGGGATGAGCCAGATGGCTGCCAGAGTAGGGATACCGGTAAGAGTGCTAGCGACGGCAGATCCACCAACTACCAGCTGGGACGAGACCAGCAAGTTGGTTGCGAGCGCGAAGAAAAGAAAAATGCAATGCGACAATTTGCCCCATCGTACCTTCAATACTTCGAGGAAAGTGCTGCAAAACGGGGCGTTCAGCTTGATCTGGCATGCCATGATTGAACATAACAGGATCTGTATGGTTGCGCCAGCAGCATACCAGTAGCCGCCCGAAACCCCGAGTTTTGTAGTAACTGCGGTGGATTGTAGGAGAGTCGACGACCAAGTCCAGGCAGAGCAGATACCCGCTGCGACCAGGCCCGGTTTGACGGATCGAGAGGCGGAGGCGAATTCATCTGTGTCCTTGATGGATCTGTTGGTATAGCGTTGCTGGATGAAGGAAAGGAGGACCATGAAAGCAGCAAAGAAGAAACCGAGGCCGCAAACGACGGCCCAGCCGGCTCCCTCGGGGAGCACTTTGATAGTTGCAGCCATTGCGTGCAAGCCTGAAGAGAGGAGGAAAGGATAGGGTCTGGAGGTCTCTGTAATACGCTTCTACTGGGTACCTTCAAGGGTTGACGGGACGAGAGAAATTGTAGAAAGCCAAACTTATATACAGACTCATCTCTTGGGAAACAGGGTAACCACCTGTGGCTGGACGATCCTGACAGATATCAATTGGCTTCTACAGATTCTCTTTGGCCAAACGATGTGTCGAAGCAGCGACGATATCTGGGAAGCGTTGGAATCAAATGCTTATCAGTGGATCCTTATCTCATCGATCCGTCGTCCTGGCTAAAGCTTTCTCGATCAAACCGCCTTTCCTTGGACCTTGAATCCTCCACAGTCCCCGCAATCGACCGACGGAGCAAGGTGCCAGGAAGCGGAACTGTTCAAGATGGCCAATTCTTCACTTTAATTTCTGAAGCTGTAGAGATAAGAACAGACGGAGCACGGCCGAGTTTGCCACGCCCGTGAAAAATATCGCTCCAATCACGCTTGGCACAGATAAGCAAGATCGAGAGTTAAAGATGCGATGGAATTACCAGGAACTTAACTGACACGTGAGAAAGCCAAGTCACCAAGAGGCCAAGGGACATGCATGCATGGTCAACATGTGGCAACCAATCAGGAGACATTTGTGGGAGACAATGCTGAGGCAACACATGGTGCATTCAGTTAGCCAGGTGACAATAAAGTTTTCTCATGGATGGAACAAAGGCATATATATAGGCAGTCTTGTAGTCATAGTTAACACAAAATTTCAAGCATTGCATCTACCATACACCTGTGCAAAAGGAGCTAGAGCGTAGCCCAGATGAAGTGGTGTCTTGCATAACTTCAACTGATTAAGAGTCTGAAGCTACATGTCATGGGATGGATGGATGCACAGGAAGAACGGAGCTCATATGAAGAGATCTTGCGCAAACATCATGGATCGGGCGAGAATGGAGTTCCGACAGAGCTCAGTGAGATCAGTAGGATCAACAGCTCTATGGCATAACTCGTCATGATCAGTAGGAACATGGGTCTTACTACAGGAGTTGGTAGGATCAGTAGTATCATGCTCGCTACAGTAGATCTCACAGGAATCAGTTTGAGAGAAGCCTCTATTGCCGATAGGGCAAAAGGGCAACAACAAACAAGGAGAGGTCGCCACCAGATGAAGAAGGGGCCCAACCAGATGATGAACTTAAGACAGGCAGGTGGGCGAGATGAGTAGGAGCATGCATCAACACTCAGATGAAGAGGGAATGGTGTCATGGGCCTAAATGCTCAGGAAGCAGGAGGGTCGCTGGTTCATATGGAAGGAGCACAGGTATCGAAGATCTAGTTGACACCAGTAGAGAGCATGGTCGTAGTGCAGTCTCCATGGAGACCATGGACTCCTACAGACTCACATGCAAAGGAGGACCGAGCCATATGTGAGGAGGGCCAGGCACAGCCATGAGGAGGACCAAGCTCAAGGAGCAGGCACAGCCACGAAGAGGACCAAGCTCAGATGGTTACCACTCAGGGGCTCGAGAGACAAGAGTCAAAGGAACTGTCACTGGTCAAAGGAAGAGGAGCAGTGTTGAAGGAGTTGACACCAGGTCATGAGGAGGAGGAGCAGTGTCGAAGGAGTCGACACCACTCAAGAGACACAGGGGTGCCAAGCAGGAGAGGCCCCTGAGCAGTACTCGATGAAGAAGGTACTCTCTGGAGAGAGAGCAGGAGCAGCATCGCTGGCGATGCTGTGAAAAGGTATATAACCATGCTTTCTCATCATCATAGGTCGAGTGGATCCTCATCCACTCTATTCACCATACAACTAGTCAATACTTTAGAAACATAAGTACTCATTAGTTACAGTCAGCATAGCAGCAATCTATCAAGGTTGCTCCTCATCGTAGTGTGTGTGTTGTATCACCACTACCTGACGTCCGTAGGTGCCCATAGTAGGTTAGCAGTCCAGATATAGATAGAACCGAAGGCAGTAGTCCACTGCGGTCCGGGGATCACTTCAAGCATCAAGTCAACACACTGGACACTCGTGTTGATGCCACCAACCTTATCACCAACACCATCAACCTCATTCTCATCAACACTCACCAACCTTATCACCAACATCATCAACCTCATCATCATCAACACTCACACCAGACCTTGGTGTCATCATAGCATTGATATTGATCATGCCGAGCTACCCCTGAACGGAGTGTCCACAGAGGTCAGCCGAAACCTATGACAGTATATACAACGAACACCACCTGCTGTCACTGCACAACTTGATAGTCACCGATACCGAGACAATAGCTGTCGCACACAGACCGACCTGGGTTTCAGGCGCAAGACCCCTGACATTAGAGTGGATCGTTCAAGCAGCTCCTCATGATCACCATGATGGACCCAGACCTCAACAATAAGCTCAATAGACTACTCACTCTATTGGAAGCACAGCTAGAGCTTACCAGACAGGGTCATCGAGAGGAACGATTACAACGAGCTCAACTGAGCAGGGAGGAGACAATAGACCTCTCTCACTCAGAAGACCAAGCAGGAGGAGGAGATGAGTCTATGATAGGAGACCCACATACTCCTACTCTGGCTCCATGACCAAGACGATCAGTCTCATTCAACCTGGATGAGCAGGAGGACATCAACTATGAGAAGTATGCTTCACCTACTGGGCCAAGATATGTCAAGACTAAGCTGGACCCCTACAGCAGGACCAGGACGGACCCTTACCCCCTGGACCAAGAGGAGGACTTTAGCATCATGGCAGAGCTTAACCGGTCAAAGCCCATCGCCACCCCCTTTCCAAAGTTCAATCCCCGAGACATGGAGATCTTCATTCTAGAAGCCAAAGCATGGTTTAAGTTCAACCAGGTGTATGAGCAGACTAGGATGATCAACCACATGGGCGCTCAACTGGAAGGGACAGCAAGAGAGCGGTGGACCTCCAAGCTCTGTATTGATAGAGCTAGAGAAGGAAGGTTGTTCAATGATTGGCACTACTTCACAGAGTGACTGTCAGAACAGTTCAACCCACACAATGCTAGGATGGAGGCATACAACAAGCTGTTGGCTCTCAGACTCACAAGTGATGCTCCTGGTGCCGCCACACATCATGTAGAGCAGTTCAGAAACTTGGAGGGACAGGTCAATCTAGATGACAATGAGCTAGTGATTGATCTCTTCAGAGGAAGTCTCACTTGCAGCATACAGGAGAAGTTCGAGAGGAATCCACCTGGGAAGAGATGGGAGTGGTACCGAGAGGTTGAGGAGATTGATTGACAGAGGATGTTACTACAGCAGTCCTCAGCTAGACACTCACTTCCAAATGCCACATCACCTCCACTAAGGACTGGGTCTCAGCCAAATCAAAGTTCGATCCCCATCCATCAACCCACTCAACCTTATCCAGCTCGATCACCAGCACAAACAACTACACAAGCAACTATACAAAACCTAAACCAACCAACTAACCAACCCCTTCCTCATCATCCCACCCAACCCTCGAAGCAAGGAAGCCCTGCTCCATCAGGTATCAACACCTGTCATGTATGCAAGGGTATCGGCCATTGGGCCAGAGACTGCCCCAGCAGGAGGGTAGACCCTTGTCATGGGCCTGGATGCTCAAGAAGCAGGAGGGTCACGGGTTCATATGGAAGGAGCACAGGTATCAGAGATCTAGTCAAGATCAGTAGTCAGCATGGTCGTAGTGCAGTCTCCATGGAGACCATGGACTCCTATGGACTCACATGCAAAGGAGGGCCAAGCACAGCCACGAGGAGGACCAAGCTCAAGGAGCATGCAGATGGTTACCACTCAGGGGCTCAAGAGACAAGAGTCAAAGGAACTGTCACTGGTCAAAGGAGAAGGAGCAGTGTATAGGACACTAGCAGGCAGGTCCTGAGGAAGAGGAGCAGTGTCGAAGGAGTCGACACCAGGTCATGAGGAGGAGGAGCAGTGTCGAAGGAGTTGACACCACTCAAGAGGCACAGGGGTGCCAAGCAGGAGAGGCCCCTGAGCAGTACTCGATGAAGAAGGTACTCTCTGGAGAGAGAGCAGGAGCAGCATCGCTGGTGATGCTGTGAAGAGGTATATAACCATGCTTTCTCATCATCATAGGTCGAGTGGATCCTCATCCACTCTACTCACCATACAACTAGTCAATACTTTAGAAACACAAGTACTCATTAGTTACAGTCAGCATAGCAGCAATCTATCAAGGTTGCTCCTCATCATAGTGTGTGTGTTGTATCACCACTACCTGACGTCCGAAGGTGCCCATAGCAGGTTAGCGGTCCAGATATAGATAGAACCGAAGGCAGTAGTCCACTGCGGTCCGGGGATCACTTCAAGCATCAAGTCAACACACTGGACACTCATGTTGACGCCACCAACCTTATCACCAACACCATCAACCTCATTATCATCGACATCACCAATCTCATCACCAACACCATCAACCTCATTATCATCGACATCACCAATCTCATCACCAACACCATCAACCTCATCATCATCAACACTCACACCAGACCTTGGTGTCATCATAACATTGATATTGATCGTGCCGAGCTACCCCTGAACGGAGTGTCCACAGAGGTCAGCCGAAACCTATGCTAGTATATCCAACGAACGCCACCTGCTGTCACTGCGCAACCTGATAGACACCGATACCGAGACAATAGCTGTCGCACAGTTTGATAGTCACCGAGTATCTCGACAGACCGACCTGGGTTTCAGGCGCGAGACCCCTGACAACCCTCTTAGCTCTCGACCCATGGGACCAAAGGTTATGGTCACCACAGCAGACCCCTTCGAGGAGGCCACTGACTCAGGAGATGGCCACACAGGCAGCACTGAGACGGGTGACCCCGAGGCCATGGACCTCAGCTCATACCAGCAACCCATGGACCCCAATCACGAGGAGGAGCACGATGATGATGACGATGAGGGAAACAGCAGTGGGGTGATGCACTGATGGCATGCATTGCTCTACAAACCTCCTCGCCATCACTCTGTATATATCAAGATTGTCAAGTATGTTTCTCTACCAGTGGAGGCAAAGCAGTACTGGAGCTCTCTGGAATGGTTCAAGACCATCCTGCTCGGATACTAGCTGATACTGGTGCTGGTTTGTCCATAGTCTCAGATTCTTTCATTAGTAAGTACCAAATACCCACAAAACCCATAAAAACAAGATCGATCCATGGTGTCACTGGGCACCAACTCTCCATCAATAGTTCTGCAAGCATGCAGGTATCTATTGGTACACACAATCTGGGTGTGGTCGAAGCTTCAGTGGCCGACACTGCTGACTATGACCTCATCCTGGGGTTCACTGAGCTATGGAGGCTCAAACCCACCATACAATGGGATATGGGCCAGCTGGAGTTCAAGACTCAGGAGCAGGACCAACCCCTGAGGAGACCCCCGGAAGCAGCAAGAGCAGGGGACCTAACCATGAGGAGACCAACCCTTCATGGTAACGAGTTTGTCTCAGCAGAGTGCATACTACGAGCAGCTCTAGAAGATGGACCCATAGGGTTCATGCTGTTGGAGGAGCCACCATCATCACTCCCAGCCTTTGGTTTTGTACCTACAGGCGCAGACAAAGGAGTCGAGATGAAGGTGGAGGTAGACAAGGTGGTGATGGCTGCAGACATACCAAAGCCATACCAACACCTGCAAGATGTGTTTGATGAGGTGGAAGCAGACAAGCTGCCCCATCATACTGAGCATGATCTCCACCTCGAGTTGATAGAAGGAGGTAAGCCACCTCAAGGGCCCCTATACCTTAAGGGACCCAAGGAGATGTCCGAGTTGAGGAGGTACTTGGATGAGAACCTCAAGAAGGGGTTCATAAGACCATCGAAGAGCCTGGCATGATCACCAGTGCTCTTCATACCAAAGAAGGATGGAGGTCTCAGACTCTGTGTGGACTACCAAGGTCTCAACGAGATCACTGTCAAGAACAGGGCACCATTGCCCCTCATTGAGGAGCAGCTGTTCTTACTCAGGAAGGCAAGGATCTATACCAAGCTAGACCTTAGAGCAGCATACAACCTCATCCAGATTGCTAAAGGAGATGAATGGAAGACAGCTTTTGGCACTCAGTTGGGACTCTATGAGTACCTAGTGATTCCCTTTGGCCTAGCCAATGCTCCAGCTCACTTCCAGTCATTCATCAATGACATCTTCTGAGACATCATTGGGGTATATGTGGTAGTATACCTAGACGACTTCCTGATCTTCAGTGACACTGAAGAAGCACATGTGAAGCATGTCACCGAGGTCCTCACTCGCTTAAGGAGCAACAGGCTCTTTGCTAAGCTGTCGAAGTGTGAGTTCCACACCAAAACAGTCGAGTTCCTGGGGTACATCATCAAGCCAACAGGCATAGAGATGGACCCAGAAAAGGTGCGCACTGTCAAGGAGTGGCCAATGCCAGAGTCAATCCATGACATCCAGAGGTTCCTGGGTTTTGCCAACTTCTATCGAAGGTTCATAGCCCACTTTGCTCGCATAGCCAAGCCCTTGACAGCAATGGTAAAGCCTATAGAACGGTTCAAGAAGTTCGAGCTACCAGAGGAGGCCCAACAGGCCTTCCACAAGCTCATCCAGGCCTTCACATCAGCAGGAGTGCTTCAGAACTTCGACTACCACCTTCCAACAAGGTTGGAAACTGATGCAAGTGACTTTGCTATAGCAGGAGTACTCAAACAGGAGCATGAAGGATGATGGCATCCAGTGGCCTTCTACTCTAGGAAGATGTCTTCTGCCGAGAAGAACTATGAGATCCATGACAAGGAGCTCCTAGCTGTGGTCGCCTGCCTCACTCAGTGGCGACACATGCTAGCTGGACTACCGAGCCAACTGGTCATCCTCGCTGACCATGAAGCCCTCAAGTACTTCAAGTCACAGAGACACATCACAGGTCGACAGGCTCGATGGGCAATACTACTAGCAGACTTCGACTTCATATTGCAGTATTGACCAGGAGACAAAGGTGGTGAACCCGATGCTCTCACCAGAAGGACAGACATGCAACCAGCTGGTGAAGAGCAGGATCACAATGTAAGGCAACTACTGCCTCCTCGAGTGTTCAAGGAGACAGCAGACCATGACTCGACCCTAGTGGCCCCTATGCTCTCGATGGAGTCCATAGCATCAAAAGGTCTCAGAGACCTGGTCAAGATCTTCCAGCCCTTAGACCAAGAGCTACAGGAGATACATAGGAAGAAGCCCTTCAAGGTCAAGGATGACCTATGGTACAGTGGAGGGAGGTTGGTTATCCCCAAAGTGATCATGCCAGGGAGGACCAACAACCAACACTCAAGGAGTGCCAAAGAGGTAGATGGACAGTCTCTCTCTGTAGAGCATCTGCGATTCATGGTGATGACCCAATGCCATGATGGTATTACTGCTGGACACATAGGAAGAGATGCTACCATCAAGGCAGCCCAATGACACTACTGGTGGCCAAACATGACAGATTGGATTGCAGACTATGTAGCAAGTTGTCCTGTATGTGCTAGGTACAAAGCTCCTCGTCACCGTCCATATGGTTTGCTACAGCCACTAGCAACACCAGACAGGCCCTGGGGCTCCATATCCCTCGACTTCATCGAAGGACTACCACCATCGAAGAAGTATGACTCCAAGACCTATGACTCTATCTTAGTCATTGTCGACCGGTTAACCAAGTTTGCCATACTAGCTCCAACCCATAAGATGGTCACGACCAAACAGACTGCAGTGTTGCTATATGGACACATGGTTAGACTCTTTGGATATCCAGATCACATGGTCTCGGACCGAGGCAGGCAGTTCATATCAGGAGCATGGAAGGCATTTGCAGAGCAAATGGGTGTGAAGCACTCACTTAGCATGGCTTACCATCCTCAAACTGATGGTCAGACAGAGAGAGTCAATCAGGTCATAGAGCAATACCTCAGGATGTACTGCAACTATGAACAGGATGACTGGGCCAACCTGCTGGACACTGCAGCCTTTGTATACAACAGCATGGTCCACAACAGCATTGGTGTCTCACCATTCTTTGCATGCTATGGATGGAACCCCAAAGCTCATCCTGACATCCCTCAACGACTAGGAGTCAATGACCCAGGTCGCTTCGAGTACCTCATGGATGGAAAGGAGCATTGCAAGTACCTCCAGGAGCAGATCAGAGAGGCACAATGTAGATCAGTAGACCAGTATAACAGGAAGCACAAGGACATTGAGTTTAAGGTGGGTGATATGGTCTATATCAACCATCGAAACTGGAAGACAAGGAGACCCACACCCAAGTTAGATACCTGGTTTGCAGGACCCTACCCAGTTCAGGAATGGGTAGGACGCCGAGCTTATCGAATCACATTGCCAGCAAACCTTAGGGTGCATGATGTGTTCCATGTCTCCATGCTCGAACCAGCAAGAACCAGTTATCTGTCATGGGCCTAGATGCTCAAGAAGCAGGAGGGCCACTGGTTCATATGGAAGGAGCACAGGTATCGAAGATCTAGTCGATACCAGTAGAGAGCATGGTCGTAGTGCAGTCTCCATGGAGACCATGGACTCCTACGGACTCACATGCAAAGGAGGACACAAGCCACATACGAGGAGGGCCAGGCACAGCCACGAGGAGGACCAAGCTCAAGGAGCATGCAGATGGTTACCACTCAGGGGCTCAAGAGACAAGAGTCAAAGGAACTGTCACTGGTCAAAGGAGAAGGAGCAGTGTATAGGACACTAGCAGGCAGGTCCTGAGGAAGAGGAGCAGTGTCGAAGGAGTCGACACCAGGTCATGAGGAGGAGGAGCAGTGTCGAAGGAGTTGACACCACTCAAGAGGCACAGGGGTGCCAAGCAGGAGAGGCCCCTGAGCAGTACTCGATGAAGAAGGTACTCTCTGGAGAGAGAGCAGGAGCAGCATCGCTGGTGATGCTGTGAAGAGGTATATAACCATGCTTTCTCATCATCATAGGTCGAGTGGATCCTCATCCACTCTACTCACCATACAACTAGTCAATACTTTAGAAACACAAGTACTCATTAGTTACAGTCAGCATAGCAGCAATCTATCAAGGTTGCTCCTCATCATAGTGTGTGTGTCGTATCACCACTACCTGATGTCCGTAGGCACCCCATAGTAGGTTAGCAGTCCAGATATAGATAGAACCGAAGGCAGTAGTCCACTGCGGTCTGGGGATCACTTCAAGCGTAAAAGTCAACACACTGGACACTCGTGTTGATGCCACCAACCTTATCACCAACACCATCAACCTCATTATCATCAACACTTGCCAACCTTATCACCAACATCATCAACCTCATCATCATCAACACTCACACCAGACCTTGGTGTCATCATAACCAAAGCATTGATATTGATCGTGCTGAGCTACCCCTGAACGGAGTGTCCACAGAGGTCAGCCGAAACCTATGATAGTATATACAATGAATGCCACCTGCTGTCACTGCGCAACTTGATAGTCACTGATACCGAGACAATAGCTGTCGCACAGTTTGATAGTCACCGAGTATCTCGACAGACCGACCTGGGTTTCAGGCGCGAGACCCCTGACACACTGCTCCCTGACGTCCGAAGGCAGTTCTTAGCAAACCAGCAGTCCAGATAACGATAGAACCGAAGGCAGCCGTCCACTGCGGTCTGGGGATCACCTCAGCATTAGTCAACACACTGGACACTCATGTTGACACCACCAACAATCACTCTCACACCAGATCTTGGTGTCAGTACAAGTTCACACCATTATTGATCATGCCGAGCTACCTCTGGATGGAGTGTCTGACAGTGGTCAGTCGAAATCTGCAACAGCATTACCACAACTACAGATTCAAGCGAGAAAGGTAATAGAGACGGCTCTACTGCATAGCTCGTTAAGAATCGCAATACCACAAGCGCTGTCACATAACTCGACAGAATCGGTAATAGCATTGATACTACTACCGATCTCAGGTTTCAGGCACGCGACCTCTGACACAAGGGACTGGACTGCAAGTGTTGAAGAACACTGCCTACAGTAAGGGCACTGGACCGCAAGTGTTGAAGAACACTGCCTACAGTTGTCAACTAATGGTGATACAACACACATGTTGAGAGTCGTTGCAAGAGCACTGCTATTGCAATGGTATGTAACTGAGTAAGTAAAGTAGATAGAGTAAGTAGTAAGTAGAGTGGATGAGGATCCACTCATATGCTATGGTAGAATGAGAGTATTTATGCATTTGATTGGTGTTGCCTGTGACACCTATCCTGCTCCTCCTGAGGGGCCTTCATCCCCTTTTTGACACTATTGTCCTGCTGGCATCAATCCCATTGATACTGTGCCCCTACCACTTGCACAGTGTAAGGGTTATGCAACACTGCCCTCTTGCCTTCATGCTCTCCTTCTGCCTGATGATGTGTGATGACCCCTTTCAACACAGCTCCTTCTCAACCTTGTCTTGTGAATCCCTTTAGCCTCTTGTTGAACCTCATGGCCGAACCCCTTGGTCATGTGGTCACCCTTGTGCTTGGGCCTGTGTGACTTTATGCACACACCCCTTGAGTGGTAACTGTCTGAGTGATACTGAGCTCAGTCCCCTGCTTCCTCCTATGGTTATCTCTGAGTGCATCTCCTTCCGATGCCAGTACCTTCCTTTCTGAGTCTCCTAGTACTTGCTCATATTGGCTGACTTGTTGAGGCATGCTGATCTGACTGATTCCAACTGATCCCTGTGAGATTAATCTGGAACCCTGGGGTTCAATCAATCTCATAATTCATATGTGCTGCCAGCCCAATTAATCTCATTGATCCCCGATGGTTTGGTGCCGATCAATCTGGTGCTCCCTTCATATATTGATCCATTGCACACCCTTCATATACTGCTCCATTGCATGACATTCCCATGACTGCCATTGATCAATTTGGCGCACTCTCTTGTGCTATCCTTCTGACCCTGTGACAATCCCCAGACCGCAGCAGATGACTGCCTTTGGTTCTATCTTTATCTGGACCGCTGGTTTGCTATGAACCACCTTCGGACATCAGTGAAAGGTGATATGACACATGCACTGCAATGGAAGCAATCTACTTGTCATTGCAACTTCACTGACTAAACTAATGTATACTTGTGCTTGAAGTGATAACTAGTTTGATATGGTGTAGAGTGGATGGGGATCCACTCACTTGCTACAACGAGGAGCATGGTTATATACCATCCTAGCAATGTCACCTGTGACACTGCTCCTGTCCTGTGAGGCTTCTTCGACTCCATGTCTCCTCCTCATCTTTCCCACTGTTTTCCCATCCACACTAGATTGCTGCTCATGTCATATCCCTTGACCTCTGTGGATGGATGGCCACTTGCTGCTTCATCCCTGTCAGGGGCCATCCCACTTCATCCAAGTGGTGACTCACCCCCCCCCCCCCCCCCCCCCCTCTCATTACTCCCTGTCATTGGTGCCCACCTGCTGGTGCTGACTTCAATGTCATGTAGGGCCCCTACCTCATCTGGTGGTGACCCCAGGTGTCCTCCCCTTTTAGCCTTTTATCATACAAACACCCTTGCCATTGATCTCTGCAGGACATGTCATATGATCCAGTGTACTGCAGATTCTGGTGTGATTTGTGATACCCTTATTGCTTGTACCAATCTAGATGAGATCTGCCTTAGAGCCACTTCTCCTACAGATTTTGGTGAACTCTATTGCAAGTCCTATGATCTGCCCAATTCCTCAATTCCTGCACTCCCTTCATATGACTTGACAGATCTTCCTGATTCCTGTGCATCCTGTCCCATGACAAACTGCTCTGGGTGTCCAACACAGTACAGCCCGACATCTCATTTGCCATGGGAGCCCTGGCCCACTACATGTTGACCCCAACCATCAGAGCATGGGGTGCAGCAATCCACCTACTAAAATATCTCAACCAAACAAACAAATGTCAACTACAACTAGGAGGACATATGATGGAAGACATGAACCAACTGGTGGTCACATATACCAATGTGAACTGGGTGTCAGACCCCACAAACAGGTGCAGGAGCACATCAGGCACACTCACATACATTTACAGGTGTCTGGTAAGCTGGAAGTCACATGTTCAAAAGTGCATAGTGTTGTCAGCAGTGGAAGCAGAGTTTGCTGCTGCATTGGAAGCCACATGAGAAACTCTATTCTTCTCATACCTGCTCAGAGACTTGGGGATACTGGATGTCAAGCCAATACTTTGTACTGATAGCCAAGGGTGCATACAGGTAAGCAAAGACCCAGTAAAACATTGGAAACTAAAACACATTGACACAAGATACTATTTTGTTAGGGACCATGTACAAGATGGATGTCAGGGGTCTCGCGCCTGAAACCCAGGTCGGTCTGTCGAGATACTCGGTGACTATCAAACTGTGCGACAGCTATTGTCTCGGTATCAGTGACTATCAAGTTGTGCAGTGACAGCAGGTGGCGTTCGTTGTATATACTATCGTAGGTTTTGGCTGACCTCTGTGGACACTCCGTTCAGGGGTAGCTCAGCACGATCAATATCAATGCTTTGGTTATGATGACACCAAGGTCTGGTGTGAGTGTTGATGATGATGAGGTTGATGTCATTGGTGATAAGGTTGGTGAGTGTTGATGATAAGGAGGTTGATGGTGTTGGTGATAAGGTTGGTGGCATCAACACGAGTGTCCAGTGTGTTGACTTGATGCTTGAAGTGATCCCCAGACCGCAGTGGACTACTGCCTTCGGTTCTATCTATATCTGGACTGCTAACCTACTATGGGCGCCTACGGATGTCAGGTAGTGGTGATACAACACACACACTACGATGAGGAGCAACCTTGATGGATTGCTGCTATGCTGACTGTAACTAATGAGTACTTATGTTTCTAAGTATTGACTAGTTGTATGGTGAGTAGAGTGGATGAGGATCCACTTGACCTATGATGATGAGAAAGCATGGTTATATACCTCTTCTCAGCATCGCCAGCGATGCTGCTCCTGCTCTCTCTCCAGAGAGTACCTTCTTCATCGAGTACTGCTCAGGGGCCTCTCCTGCTTGGCACCCCTGTGCCTCTTGAGCTGTGTCGACTCCTTCGACACTGCTCCTCCTCCTCATGACCTGGTGTCGACTCCTTCGACACTGCTCCTCCTCCTCATGACCTGGTGTCGACTCCTTCGACACTGCTCCTTCTCCTTTGATCAGTGACAGTTCCTTTGGCTCTTGTCTCTCGAGCCCCTGAGTGGTAACCATCTGCATGCTCCTTGAGCTTGGTCCTCCTCGTGGCTGTGCTTGGCCCTCCTTTGCATGTGAGTCCATAGGAGTCCATGGTCTCCATGGAGACTGCACTATGACCATGCTCTCTACTGATCTCGACTAGATCTTCGATACCTGTGCTCCTTCCATATGAACCCGTGACCCTCCTGCTTCTTGAGCATCCAGGCCCATGACAATGGAGACATAGCAATTGAATATGTAAGGACATGTGAGAATGTAGCAGACATGCTAATGAAGCCACTAAAGGGACTGGATATGTTGTGGCTAGCAAACCTAATGGGGCTGGGAACACCATCAAGGGGGGGAGTTAAAGATGTGATGGAATTACCAGGAATTTAACCAACATGTGAGAAAGCCAAGTTGCTGAGAGGCTGAGGGACATGCATGCATGGTTGACATGTGGCAACCAATCAGGAGACATTTGTGGGAGACAATGCTGAGGCAACACATGGTGCATTCAGTTAGCCAGGTGACAATAAAGTTTTCTCATGGATGGAACAAAGGCATATATATAGGCAGTCTTATAGTCATAGTTAACACAAAATTTCAAGCATTGCATCTACCATACACCTGTGCAAAAGGAGCTAGAGCGTAGCCCGGACGAAGTGGAGTCTTGCATAACTTCAACTTCGAGTCATAGGTTGGCAAACATCAACCGAAGCATCTTGACACACACAGGGCAACAAGTGCAACAGGGCAACAAGTGCAACAGGGCAACAAGTGCAACAGTCCAAAGCCGCAACGATCCAAGCATTGACCATACACCAGCCGAGCTTATCACCCAAGCTTGATTAGCGCCAACGATCAAGCATGCCATGATTGCAATTCCATCTTACGACTGTGCAGTATCTGAGGACAAGAGAACAATGAGATCCTTCAACAGCTTCGTGAGGTCCGAGTTTTTAGGCGAGCCGATGACCAACTTGTCATTTTGCTTAGCGTCTAATGCCGCTTGGGCCTCCAAAACCTGTAACATCGGGCCAACGCTCTCCGTCCAGAACTGCGAGAGATGAACATGAAGCGTGAGAGCAGCGAGGAGTCGATGTAGCGTTTCATCGGACTCTGACTCGTTGATGATCGCTTGAAGCAATGCAGAGGCTAGTTCAGATTCCCACGTTTCGCCTAAGCGACTGCCAAGCATGGGCGGAGCTTGAGGATCACGGTTGATCCAATCGGGCCGTTGGGCATGCTGATGAAGGGCAAGGTTGAAAGCGCAACTTGCTGCTGCGCTTCGTACTCGAGCATCTCGACACAGAAGAAGGCTGGTGGTCAGTTCGAGAACGAGACTGCGTACAGTCTCGTGCGACTCGATGACTTGGACAAAGGGAGTTGAGGCAGCCAAGTTGGTCAACAGGCGAGCGGCTATGAGAAACAGTGGCGTTTGACTTGCAGACGACTCGCCTTTGTATGCCACTTGAGAGACATGCGATAAGAGACGAGTGATGCCGTTGATCTCTCTACGATCCGCCGCTGTGGGATTGTGGAAGAGACGTCTCACATACGATTCCTGCAGGACCGAAAGACGGAAGAGGTCGAGCACAGGAAAGAGACTGTCGATCTGGAGAGATGCAGCAAGAAGCTTTGCAACTGTCGACGTGCCATCAGCAAGCGCATCTGGTAGCGGCTTGTTGGTCTTCTTGTCGCCTGTCGACTCTAGCGATGGGATCCAGGTGTTGGCAATCATCTTGCGTGCCTCTTGCAGATCAGCTTTCTCGGCGAAGCTCTTGGCTGAGTGCTGCGAGATGGCCGTGTCGATCTTGTGAAGCAACAAAGACAGGTTTGGGATGGTCGAGTAGAGATGAGGTTGCCAAGGCAGAGAAGCAAGTGACTCTAGTGGTTTGCAGAGACGTGCGTGCGGGTGCGGCGGATAGGCCTCAGAGAGCATCAGCTCGACAGCAGTCTTGAGCTGGCCAAGGTCAGCACCTCTAACCTGGTTGCTCTCCTTGCCAAAGGTGTGGAGCTTGACGGTAGGGGTTGCTGTCACCTGAGAGTGGGCAAAGAGGGTCGAGGTGGAGGCGTTGGAATCCACCTGGACGAAAGCTACACGTTTGTGATTGCCAGGAGTTGACTCATCCGCGTGATGATGATGCGCCAGATCTTGGAATGCGGGCTTGATGATGCGACATGGCGGACATGATTCCGAGGTGTACAGAACGGCGACACAGGGGAAGAGTGAAAGGATCTCGCAAAGCTGGGCTTGGCTGGTCAAGTAACGGATGGGGTCGGACGAAGATGGCTTTGCAGATGAAGATGGCTTTGCAGACGAATTGGCCTCGACAGGTGTATTGCCTGCATAGGCGCGAGAGGCCACTTGATTGAGCAGATTGTTGTCGAGTGGACTAGATGCAGCAGCAGATGGCGCCGTGAAGTCTAGCGAAGGCTGTCGGAACATGGCATCGATCTGAGGCTGTAACATCTGGCCGAACGGAGTGCTGAGGAAGTCTTGCGGAAGTGAACGGATGTGTGCAGGGATGTCGCTGGCAGTCAGGATCTGTGCTACCTCTTGGGTAAAGTGGTTGCAGTTCCAGTTGATCAGATGATAGTCTTGAGGACGGAAACGATCTCGCAAGTCAGGAAGCAAAGCGCCTTCGAATGTCTCGCGGTCCATGGAGGTGGTGCCAAGATGAAAGGTCTCGAGAGGAGCTCCATGGTGAGATGTTCCTGGATAAACGACCGAGATGCCTTGACCGAAGAAGTACTCTCTATCCCATGCCACAATACTTGTGTGCCAGATTGCATCAATTTGACGACCAGTCAACGACAGTGACATCTGTCTCGCCATGCCCCTCGAGAGGTCATAGACGTACAGCTTGACGGGATATTGCCCATCCTCGAGGGCTTGCGTAGTCGTCATCCTTCCGAAAAAGAAGAAGAAGGAGGAGAAGAAGAAGAGAAAAGAGAGATTTGCGTGGTTGCAATGGTAGCAAGATTGAATGCCACCAAAGACGAGCGTGTGTGTAAGGGTGTTTGTGTAAGGGTGGGTGGGTCACATTCGCACCAAGGTGCAAGTTCAGACAGGACAGAAGGTGAGGGCTGACGTCTCAGGTTCCCATGATCTCAAGCCAAGAGAGCAGACACTCACTCATCTTGAAGCCAACCTCGGCAGCGTGATTCAGCCATCTAGCAGTGTGACAGAACAACAGCAAAAGCTGAGTCGAGTGAGTAAGCCGCCAGGCTGCCACTTTGACCCTCTTTGGCTTCCTTCGTGGGCCCTTATTAGGTGTACACCTCGGCGAGTGAATGCTGACTGCTTCTCCTCCTCCCACAACTCACTCTCCCTAACGTCGTCATCCATCATCCATCATCCATCATCCATCATCATCCCTCCGATTCAACCCGGCCTCCACATCTTGACGTAAGGAACAGGATGGTCAAGGAGGTCTCTTCCGCCGCCGAGTTCGACGCCGAGCTCACTGCGGCGTGCTCCAAGCTTGTCGTGGTCGACTTGCACGCTGTTTGTAAGTACAAAGTGACAGATGCTATCGTATAGAGACCGCTCCTGACTGTTTTTACACCTCCTTGTCCAACGTTAGGGTGCGGACCATGCAAAGCAATCGCACCCATCTTCCAACGACTCGCTTCACAGGTATGTATATAACTCGCAGCACAGACCTGCGCTCATGTTGGATCCTTCAGCTTACCCAACTCTTTTACCTTGACCTCGCTTTGCCCGCTGTCCCTTGGAACTTTGGCGTCGACAGTATACCAACACCGTCTTTCTTAAGGTCGACGTCGATCGAGTGCAGCCCGTTGCGCAACGATACGGTGTTCGTGCCATGCCCACCTTCCTCTTCCTCAAGAACAAGAGCCTCGTCGATACGCTTCAAGGTGCCGACCCTAGCCGACTCACTGCCCTCGTCAAGCAACACTCCTCGGCCGCTTCCTCCTCCGCTTTCTCCGGTTCCGGTCAGACGCTCTCTGGCACCAGCTCGGGCTCTTCCAACACATCCCGTGCCCCTTGGCTCGCTGGCATCACTCAAGGCCATGTAAGCTTCGAGAATCTCCTGCCTCTGCTTGTGCTCGCCGCATACCTTGTATACCTTTTCTTCGGCTAGTTGCAACTAGAATTCTGTCCATCTTCAACAATGCCTCTTCAATACAACTCGATCGATGCTGTCTTTGTCTGCTTCCGCAAAAGTTCGGCCTGACTGACTCAAATCCTTCGCTCGTCTTTCTTTGCTGCTTTTGGGCATGTGTTGCATCTCACAGACCTCGCTTCTCGCAACCGTCGAGCTAAAAAGATGTTCAGCGCTCAACGAAAAGCCCGATCGACGCTTGCAAGACATCATCTCTGGCCCCAGTGGTGGTAAATGGCTCGAGAGCGATGCTGATGAACAGCTCCTCATTCATATTACAGTGGGTTCTTGCCATCCAATGCAATGCGCTTTGGCACAGTCTCGTCGCTTTGGCACAGTCTCGTCGCTTTACTAACCCAATTGCCCTTCTCACCTGTGTTCCTTTGTCACGACCATATTCAACTGATTCAGTTCAAGGGCCAAGTCAAGCTCTCCGGCATCCTCCTCCGCACGCTGCCCTCGCATTTCGCACACGCTCCCAAGCAAGTCAAGATCTTCGCCAACCGACCAGGACTTAGCTTTGACGACGCAACTTCCGATCCAGCAGATCAACAGGCCGAGCTCACCGAAGAGCACGTTCGAGGTGGTGAGAATGGAGGTGGAGGCAAGCTTTTCGCTCTGCGTTTCGTCAAGTTCCAGAAGGTCGATTCGCTCTCTATTGCCGTTCTGTCTAATCAACGAGACGCAGAGACCACACGAATTGATGCCATTGATGTGTTTGGCATTGCAGATCAAACAACCGACATGAGCGAGCTTCAAAAGATCGAGGCTGGTGGTGCAACTCGCGATATGCATTTCAGCAAAGTCTCCAGAACAGGTCTCAAAGGAGGAAGTTTGTCCAGCAGCTCTCGAGGAGGATTCACTGCGCAAACAAGCTCGTCAAGCCCAAAGACCTCAACAGATGCGCAACAAGCCGGTCGACACAGCCGACCGCACTCGACATCCAGCCTGAACCCTGCCATGCCTAGATTTCGGAGATCAGGCTCCTCTTCTTGCGCTCCTCGGATGCAGCACCTCGACGAGGAAGACCAAGACGAGTATGTGGACGACGTTTCCAGAAGGCCATCTGCTCAGCAGCAGTCTGGCTTTGCTGCTCATGCGCCACCCTCTCTGACGGAAGAAGAGGAGAAGGAGTTCCAAGTTGCTCAGAATGCCGCACGTGATGCTTTCCGAGGCTGGCACTATGCACCTCTGGGGGTGGCACTGGCACCTCCACTGGGCGCACTTGTTGGTGGCCATTCCGACGCCTGGTCCGACGCCATTCTTCTCATCCTTGCCAGCTTCTGGCTCTACCAGTTCCTTCGGGTACCATGGGAGATTTACTACGCTTCCATGACCCGACACGTTCTCACACACGATGCAGACGAACAAGAGCAAGCAGAGCAATGCGAAGATGCCGACCGCGACACCTCCAGAGGCACAAAAAAGAAGCTTGTCGAGTCGCACCAACACATAGAGGCACGTCAAGCGGCGTCTGCAGAGCTACGACGCTCCGAATTGCTCAGCCTCATCTTCTGTGTGACGAGCCCGATTGTGGGTGCATACATGCTCTATTGGATGCGCGAGACCATGACCGATGGCAACAAATACCTCAACACCTTCAACATCCGCCTCTTCACTATGGCCGCTGGCATCAAGCCCTGGTCGCATGCTATTCACCTGATCCAGCGCAGAATGTTGCATTTGCAGGAACAAGTGCACTATCCCTCGTCCAAGGTGGAAAAGATGAGCCAACGTCTCGGTCGCATCGAAGCCGACTTGTCCAGTTTGCGAAAACTGTACGCCACCAAGAACGACATTCGTGTCTTACGCGAACACGAAACCCAACTTGGCCGAGCCTTGCGTCGTTCTGAGAGGAAGGAGGAGTATCTCCGACTGTCAGCAGAAGAGAAGTTCAGCATTGTGGAAGGCAGGCTGGAAGACTTGCTTCACGAGGTAGCCATCAATGCCGAGCTCATCGAGCAAGAGCGCAAAGAGAGGGAGCGAGCAGCGAGTCTCGGCATCTCCTTGTTCGAAGCCGTCAAGTATCTCGTTGGCTCTGGCCTCACTGTTCGACGTGCCAGCCGGAAAGATTATCTTGACGACCTGCCTCGCAGCCTACCCTCGACCGCGGCACTCGGAATTGGATCTAGTTCTGCTGACGCTGATGCCCACTTGGATGGTGCTATGAACGGCGGCGCTTCTCTGTCTCCTTCGGGCGAGACTTTGAGCCCCAATGGACCACCTCGTCCAGGGTCAATTCACTCGACTAGCGCAAATCGTGAAGGCTCTCCACCGTCCAACAAGGGTGCCGGCAGCTACTCTTCCGGATCGTCGGCTGGTGAAGTACCTCAGCCGCAGCGGTCTAATAGCGCTTCCGGTGCGCCACGATCTCGCTCTCGAGGGGCGATTCATCACGTCTCGGATCCTTGGTGGGAACGCGGCGTTGGATTCTATCTCTTCCTTCCGCTCAACGTCTCGAGTGCCGCGATCCGCTTTGCTGGTGAGAAAGTCAAACACATCCTGCAAGACTCGGGGAACGAGGTTGCCAGGAATCAGAGGAAGACGCTTCAATACCAAAAGCATCTTGCGGACGAACAACTGCAGCAGCAGCATCATTATCATCGCAAACAGCAACATTAGCAACAGCAACACTTGCTCAGCCCGCACAAGGAACCGTGGCAACCTGCCCACCATCAAGATAGCTTCCCCGCCCGCACCAAGCCGTTCTCGCTGATGAATGTGATTGACCTACCAACGTTTTGACTCATCTCTCATGTTCGGTCTCTTGTGATTCTCCCGATTGTTGGATAGGCTTTGCACTCGATTCGCACATACGTTCGGCCTGATTGTTCATGTGGAGATGCCGTTGGCTCGTGCGGTAAAGCTGTCAGATATCGCAGTCTAACAAAGTCATCGAATCGCACGATTGGTGCTCAGCAAGCCCCAGTGGGGGTCGGGAAGTTGCGCTGCTTTTTGGATACTTGTAGTTGAAGATGCGTCGGCATCTCAAGCAAGGTGCACGTGTTACGGCCGAGACATCGAGATACGGGAGGCTCACATAAGCGAGGAGCACAATGAGGTACGCAATTGTTGTCATGGTGACAGCACAGTGGCACCCGGTATCATAGCAACACAGGGGTACAAATGAAGGAACACATCCTGCCTCGGATGGGATCAGAGCAGTGAATGGAGTATATATATGTGTTTGTCATTTAGTCTCACACTAAGAAAACTAAGCATTACATAGAACATACGGCTGTGGCAAAGGGAGTCTGATCGTGACCCCGATAACGCCGTATATTAATTGTTATCTTCAATTGATTAAGAGTCTGAAGAAGCTATCACCGAGCTAACCGAAAACTCGCCGACAACCATGGTAGAAGACACCGAAACGAGGACTAAAGGAAGCAGAAAAGGCAAGAACACCCAGGTTCGGGTCGACAATAATGCCACGAGCGAGAACGAGCCGGAGGCCATCAACGATGAAGCCGACGGAGACACCGATTCCGACTCCGACTTTGATGATGGCGACAAGCGATATAACTTTCGCACCCTAGCAAAGCTCCTTGAACCTGTGCCAAAGCTCACGTCACGAAACTACCATAGCTGGAGCGCTCACGTGAAATCTTTCCTCCGATCCGTGCCTCATGCGATGAAACATCTCGAGGGAACGTACGACAAGAAACACCCGAAATGGAGCCGCTCCCTTGACGATGCTTTAATTAACGCCCTGCGTGGAACAATCGATACTACCGGAGAACACAATGTAAACTACCTCGTTCTAGATGTAATCAAGGAGTACCTTACTTTCAACCAAGTATGGAGAAAGATCGAAAACGGTCTCACGAATGAAGCCACCAAGACGTCCCACAGACTTGCGCTTATCTCGCAACTCAACGATGCAAAGATGTTTCACTCGGATGCCAGAAAGCTAATCCAAGAGATCCGGTCCATACAAACTGAAAGCAGTCTCCTCGGAAAACCATTCGCCGATGATACATTGTTCTCGGCCCTGCAGAAATGCACGATCCGGCATCCGGTGTACAAGGAGACGGTTGCCACCGTCCATCAAATCGACTTCAACGCCCTTGCCACCGCATTAAGCATCCGGCAGACTGCTGTCGAGAGTGTCCCCGCACAAAGGATCGACCCCCGACAAGCCAGCGCTAGAACCGCCGGCAACGACGATCAAAATGAACGGGCCGGAGAGACCGAAGCCGAAGCCGACAACAGCCACGCGAGCCCGAGGAACGCAAGCAAACCACGCCGAATCCGATGCTGGATCTGCAAGCGACCGGGACATGGTATCAGTCAATGCGACGCCTTGGTTACCATTCCCAAGGACTCTCCCCTCGCTGAACCCAAATAGGAAGCGTGGTGCTCCCTCACCCTCCCAATGAAATGGCAGGACCCCTCGAACCCAAAAGAAACAGCTCATTGGATCTTGGACTCGGGGGCGAGTTATCATATGGTGAACGACTACAGCATGCTCATTCACCCGAGAACTTGCCGAAAGCGGATAATTACCGCCGGAAGCGAGGTCTTGGAAGCGGCAGCTATAGGAGATGCGAGCATATCAACAGATTACGGGGAAGTCTCTCTGCAAAATGTATTGTATGTAAAGCACCTTAATGTTAACCTTCTGTCAACAAATTCATTAACGGATGAAGGAGCACGAGTGATATTGGACACAACCAGCGGCCAAATTTTTCTAACAAACGGCATGACACTTAAGATTGCAAAGAATCGCGAGCGAGGACTTCTGGAGTTCCGAGGCGACACATGGCAAGAAAGCGCGATGGCCACATCAGCACCATTGTTTGAAGGTGTTGATGAGGAGTTCGAGCATATTAAGAATGAGCCGAAAGTTTCAAAGCAACAACTATGGCATGAGCGTCTCGGGCACCCAGGAAGAGATAAAGCTAAGGCGATCACAAACAAGTTAAAGGATAAGCATACCATGAAATTGGATCCAAACACCGCTCTGACATGTGAGCAGTGCGTACGATCCAAGAGCACAAGCGCTCGGATGGGGAAAGGTAGTGGCGAGAGAGCCGTAGGGCCCCTGGATCTTATCCACGTCGATCTAATAATAGACTCGTCCCACGTGACGGAGTACACATGCACGTTGGTGCTGGTCGACGATCATAGCAAGTATGTGTATGCACAGCCATTGACACGAAAGAGTCATGCCTTTATGCAACTTAAAAGGATTGTTTCGTTCCTGGAGACACAGACGGATCGGAAGCTAAAAGCGATCCGATCCGATCAAGGAACAGAATGGAAAAGCAATGATGCATTAGAATGGTCGCTAGAAAAGGGCATAGAGTGGCAAACCACCGTAGGGTACAACAGCAAACAAAATGGACGGGTAGAGAGAATGAACAGGACCCTTGGAGAGAAGATGAGAACGTTGCTAATGCAGAGGAGACTACCGAAGAAGTTCTGGCCATACGTGATCAGAGCTGCAGCGTTCAAAATAAACCTCACTCCGAGCGTCGATAATGAATTCCCTTATCAAGCGATGTTTGGCAAGTCGCCGGAACGAGCTTTAAAGCTCCTACGAGTGTTTGGTTGTCTGGCATGGGTAAACATACCCAAAGTTAAACGGGACAACAAGAAACTGGACCAGCGAGCCGTCGCATCCATTTTCTTAGGGTACAGTCTAGAGAGGAAGGGCTGGCTTTTCTACAGCCCGGACTACAATCCGAACATCTTCTGGAGCAATTCAGCAAAATTCATGGAATCAAAGTGCTGGTCAGACAGAACAGAGTGGCGACCGGTTGATACAAAGGCACCCCCAATGACGATGACAGAAGAAAATCTCGAAGATCTAGGATATAACAAAGAAAATATATTCGACGAAACAGATGAAGAGCCACTACGAGAATACATGGATATGGAGTCAGACTCGGAAGAAAGATTACGCGAAGGAATAGCAGAGGTGATGGAACAAGGACCAATCGCCGAAACTCAAATTGACAGCGAATTCTATGGACTCGTAGCGACGCGACCGGAATGGAGAAAGAACCTGGACCCAACCATACATGAAGCAATGAATGGAGAGGACAGAAAGCACTGGGAGGAGGCCATGCGAAAGGAGCTGGATGGATTAGAGGCGATGGGCACATGGGAGATAGTTGACCTTCCAAAGGGTGCAAACACCGTCGACACACGTTGGGTACTCAAGATCAAAACCGATGCAAACCTCGTGCCGACAAAGTTCAAAGCCCGGCTCGTGGCACGAGGTTTCACTCAACGCGAGGGCATCGACTATACAGAGGTCTTCGCACCAGTAGCACCTATCCAATCCATTCGAGGGGTGATCGCGGTCGCAGCAGTACGAGATTGGGAAATGGATTCTATTGACGTAAAGCAAGCGTACTTGAACTCCACTATACACCATGATGTATACCTCAAGCCCCCAGTAGGAATCGAAATACCACCCGGAAAAGTGTTGAAGGTAGTGAAAGGACTGTACGGTTTGAAACAGTCGGGCCGAGAATGGAACATTGAGTTAGACTCACACCTCCGGACGATCGGATTTCATTGCATGCCGAGCGCTCCATGCCTATACTCAAGAGGGACAGGCGACAAGATCACGATCATCACAGCATACGTGGACGACATGCTGATAACATCACCCAGTCGTGAGGAAGTAGACCGCGCAAAGCGGGAGATCATGGACAAATGGGAGACGCAAGACAATGGAAGGATCAAAGAATTTCTGGGTATCAAGATTATACGTGATAGAAGACGGAGGAGGATATCCCTGAGTCTAACGGCATACATCAAGGAAATGGTGAACAAATGGTTAGGAGGAGCAAACGAGAAATCCTGGATACCCATGCTGAGTGTAGCGAACACCACCGGAGGCGAGCGATGTGAACCTAAGCGAGCAAAGAGGTATCAAGAATTGGTCGGCCAACTATTATGGGTCTCCAACACAGCCCGACCAGATATTGCCTTTGCCGTCGGCGTATTGGCGCGATATATGTCGATCCCGATCAACAGTGCATGGAAGGCAGCTGTCCACGTGGTAAAGTACCTGAACCAAACGAACGAATATCAGTTGCACCTAGGAGGAGAGACAAACGAGCACTCAGATACACCGGTAACGACGTATACCGACGCAAACTGGGCATCCGACCCCACAAATGGACGAAGAAGTACCTCGGGGTCGATAACATATGTGTATGGATGTCCGGTGAGTTGGAAATCACACGTTCAGAAGTGTGTGGCACTGTCGGCAGTCGAAGCAGAGTTTGTCGCCGCTTCCGAAGCGGTACGAGAAACCTTATTCTTCTCATATTTGCTCCGGGATTTGGAGGCCACGGGCGTTCGGCCCGTACTATACACAGACAGCCAGGGGTGCATACAGGTGAGTAAAGACCCAGCCAAACATTGGAAGTTAAAGCACATCGACACACAGTATCATTTCGTCCGCGATCACGTACAAGAGGGCGATGTGGAGATCAAATATGTCGGAACGGCAAACAACGTTGCAGATGTCTTGACAAAACCCTTACAGGGTCTTAACACCTCACGATTGGCTAGGATGATAGGACTGGAGATCCCGCCAAAGGGGGGAGTTGAAGATGCGTCGGCATCTCAAGCAAGGTGCACGTGTTACGGCCGAGACATCGAGATACGGGAGGCTCACATAAGCGAGGAGCACAATGAGGTACGCAATTGTTGTCATGGTGACAGCACAGTGGCACCCGGTATCATAGCAACACAGGGGTACAAATGAAGGAACACATCCTGCCTCGGATGGGATCAGAGCAGTGAATGGAGTATATATATGTGTTTGTCATTTAGTCTCACACTAAGAAAACTAAGCATTACATAGAACATACGGCTGTGGCAAAGGGAGTCTGATCGTGACCCCGATAACGCCGTATATTAATTGTTATCTTCAATTCTTGTTGTCTCGGGTGGCGTTCTTTGTTGCCTCTGGAACAAGAAGATGGTTTGATTGGATGGTGGAAGAAGCAGAGTGGCTGTCGATGACTAGTAGCAACAACGTTCGCTGCGTATCTCTTCAAATGATACCAGCAAGCTGAAAGAATGTGATTGACATCTCAAACTGTATGTAGATCAGCACGAACCTCTGTGCAGGTAAGTGAGGTCCGTGATGGATGTATTGTTCGTGGTTGGTGGCAAGGTTAGCCGCCGTGCACCTGAAGCCCAGCAAAGCGGAGTTGGAAGAAAACAGAGATAGCAAACAAGAATACCGTGCCGAAGCACTCGCAGGATGAAATTCAAGTGATTGCACTGCCAGCGTTTTAGCTGGAGTTGGACGCTGCTATTCAAGCGAACCATGACAAACCAATCGCCGAGAGAGGGCCAAGCGAGGGTAAAGCTCGGCTGGAATAGCAAAGCATTTCGCTCAAGGTTTGCGGTGTTATGCGCACACACCTTGAACGCAAATCGTGATAGAGCGCTTCGCTGGGATGATGATCCCTTGGAAAGTCGTAAGCTACGGTTGGCATGGTTTGAGGAGGGCCACCAGCACCACTACCGCACACGACTGCTTCTGTCATGAACGTGCGGCTGCAGCGAGAGAGAGGATAAGCTCTAGGAGACAAAGTAGCATCAACGGAGAAGAAACAAGAAGAAAAGCAAGAAGGAAGCAAACAAGGCATGCTCTCCTGTCTGAGTATTCTTGTTCTCTTGCAAACCCACTCTAGCTTGCTGCTAGCGCTTAAGCGTGGTGCAGGTCAGGTCGAAATGGCACAAGTTAGCTAAAAGATGCGATTGAAGCGTGCAAGCAGGGCAAGAGAATACAATTAGACGCCCTGATAACAAGGCTTGCTCGGACGAGAAGAAGCGAAGAGGCCGTGTTGTAATGGCGACAAAGCACAATGAGGGTTTTTGGCAGGGACAAAGCGCGAACAGACCCTATCGGTTGGCACCTTTGCTGCATCCCTTCTCCTTTTATGCGCCTTGCTTGTCTTTGGTTCGAGTCTGGTGTGTGTCGGGCTTGCGTCGTCGGTTTGGTTGGTGAGAAGAGCTGCTTGGCGCTCTCTTCCCGCTTCTGCTGCGTTCATGTTGGAGAGGCTCTCGTTCGAAGGAGCAGAAGAATTGAGACCTTGAAAGTGAGTGTGGCCAAGTGAGTGTGGCGCCTTGGGTTGGGATGCGCCTCTACCATGTAGGCCACTCTGATCTCGTCGAAAATTGCCACCTTCTTGCCATTCGCCCATCAGAATAGCAACCGACGGCATCTCCTCCTCTAGCTCAGATAGCTTGGAGCTACTCTATCGGTCCCGCATATTCGCCTCGAATCGAACATGTTTGTTGTATGCGCGGCAGATTGACTAGGCTGTAGAGTAACTTGATTCGAGCATCATACGAGATTGCCTTCAAGGCGATGCCTCGGTTAAGAGCAAAGGAGTTGCAGGTGTTACTTTTGACGATCCAATTCGCGATGCTCGGCTAGCCATTGGAGCGCACTGAAAGGACATTTATACAGTCAGTAGACACGAAGGAGCATGGGGGAAAAAAAAGGCTCAGGTGAGGTCCGCTGGCTGGTGAGCTCAGCTGGCTGGAATCTGTCAAAATATTGCAACCCAGAGGCGGGCTGGCGGGCTGGCGGGCTGGCGGGCTGGCGGGGGGCAAGGGCTGTTGGTTTTGCTTGCTGGAAAAGTTTTCGGAAAAGCGGCGCGCTTTGGCGAGGCGAGTTGCAATCTGCATGCATGTCAGGCAGATCTGTGCACGCCTGCAGGAGAAGGTGCAGCAAGTTGGCTTGCATCTTGCTTTCTACTCTCGATAAGCTTTTCCTCCCCTTTGTGCTTGTATGCTGTATAGTGTGTGAATAGAAGAAAAAAGCAAGTTCGAATTGGGGAAAAAAGAAAGAAAAACAACAAGCACAATGCTCAGACTTGCAGCCGGGCTTGAGTGGCAGATGTAAGCGGGAAAGCCGAAGAGCAGAGAGCAGGAGCAACAAGTGTGTGGGAAAGTGATGTGAGAGAGTGTGTGTGCGTGGGAAAGCGAGTGTCAGTCGGATTGATCAACGCACATTGCCACTTGAAGCTCATCGGCCCTTCCGAGTGATGACGACGACGACGACGACGACAGCAGAAAGGCAGCAACTTGCCTCTAAAACGCTGTCTGCCCTCCCGCCTCCTTGCTGCCTTGCTGCCTTGCTGCCTTGACTGTCCTTCTTCTTTGCCTTCTTTGGCCGATAAGCAGCCGCAGATGGAGGCCTCGGCAGCCATCCGACGGGTCGACCGAGAGCAAGGTCGCACGCTGTTTCTACTAGGCTCTTAAGATCACAATTTGCCCTTGTCAGTCTGTCTGAAGAGGCGGTCAGTGCTGCCAAGCCGGACGACGCTTAAGCCCACCAGTTTGTCACAGCAGGGGAAAGCACTGAATCGCCACCATCTCAAGATCCGCTGTCTGTCTATATCTATGCTGTGCCTGATGCGTGGATGCGCACTCGCAGAAAGGCAAAAGCTAAAGTGACAGAGCAACACCTTAGCCTGTTCAGCTAACTTATCCTGGCCTTGCTCCCATTGCGCTAACCTTAAAGCTCGCAAAAAAGCTCACAAAGGGGCATCTTTCCAACTCCCCCCCCTGATCCTAACCGCTGGCTGGTCACCATCGCCTTCTCATAACTCTCACTTTGTCTCTTGCCTTCTCACCCTCTCTTACTTGACCCTCAACTGTAGCATTCTTTCTACTGCTCTTGCCTCTTTCTTCATCTCTTCCCCCCTCCCCCCCTTCTTCTTTCAACTTCATCTGCATCCCGCTCCTCTTAACTTGATTCCGAGCTACATCGTTGAGCAACAGTCTTTGACACATCGCACCGACAGCTTCTTTTTCATCTCGTCTCCTCCTTTCCAACTTGCTACTGCTCCTCATCTTGACTCCTGCCTCGCACATATACCTGCATATCTCGTCCTTTTTTCTTTTCTTTTCCCCTCTCCTTTGCTTTGCACACAGGCAAGCCACACTTGACGCACGCACAAGGTCTGATTCCCGCAAGCATACCCAACCAACCTCATCATCTGCCGCCACCTTCATTTCGCTTTCAAAGCAACCCAGCATCTTTTTCAACCACGCTCGCCGCAGGGGCGTGCTACATTTCATCCCACCTGTCGCCACCTCTTTCCGCACAACCTCCTTCCGCGCATCATACCCTCTCTTACCAGAAGAACTCGCTCTTTCTCGCTGAATTCAAGATACCACTTTCCCGCAAGCATTGGAAAAAGAAAAGACAAAAAAAGAAAAAGAAAAAGAAAAAGAAAAAGAAAAAGAAAAAGAAAAAGAAAAAGAAATCGAAATCCACCACATCTCGTTTCTTCCCGCAATCCTGCTTTGTTCTTCTTTCCGCTCCTCGCCTCCAGTACAGCAACATGTCGAGCATCAAGACCGAAAGCATTCGAGGCCGATCTCCTGGCCCAGCAGCTGATCGACGCCAGTCGAAAATCAGCCAGCTCAGCATGCAAGATGGACGCTCTGCCACCTCGAACGCCGCAACTCAAGGCAGCGCGCCTGCAAGGACAAGCAAGCGACGCAAGCGATCCGAGCTCTCGCCCTCTTCCAAGCAGACACACAGCATCATCGAAAAGGAACGCAGAGAGGCCATGAACGAAAAGTTCTCTGAACTTGCTGCCAACATTCCCGAGCTTGTCCAAGCTCTTGCTGCGGGCAAGCGTCCCACCAAGGGCGAGATCGTCAAGGCGAGCATTGCCAGACACCAAGAGCAAGAACGACGAGTTAGCGAGCTCATGCATCAAGTCCACATGCTTCGTTCTGGCAGCAGCAATGGAACAACTCCTCAGCATTGCTCGGTCGAGACGCCTAGCTCCATAGCTACCATGACTCCTGAGCCAATGCTTTCGACACCGTCTCAGACGCTGTCGATGCCCTACCAGATCCAAGCTTGCCAACCCATCGGCGTTGCCATTCCTGGCTCGGCGCAGGGCGATTTGTGGGTAGGCCAGCTGCTCAACAAGAGTGCCAGCCCACACGAGCAGCTCACATTGTGCCATGATCCAGCTCCACCCATGTCATTGTTGCCAGACATGTCGCAGCCTGTCTCGCCCTTCAAGCAGACCTCAATGATGAACTGGAGCCTCTCTTCGCCGCCCCAACCTTTGGACCCCGCTTCACTTAGCATTGGCTTCCCCACGTCCAACTTCATTAAGGGATTCATGGACAGTGGTACGCTCGAGTATCTTGGTCGTCGCAACAGTGGGGCAAGTGGGCCCACACCGACATCCGGCTTCTCTTCGCCTACCTTCACCTCGTCAGACAGCGATTCTTCCTTTAGCACCGACGCGCTCGATCCTAACCTCGACGAGCGAAAGTTCTTGGCCGATAGCATCAGCTTCGAGCCCTTTGCCATGCCAACAAGCAACCTTGTAGAGCAGACGCCTCTCACTTCGCTTGTAGGTCTGCCTGAGCAACAACAACAACAGCAGCAAGGAGGGGCAGGGAACAAGAAGCCAAGACGCAGCATTCAATCTCGTCGATCGCGAAAGGACGAGACCAAGGAGCAAGGTATTGCGGACAACAGCTTCTCTTGCAGTTCTCTGTCGGTGTAAGCATGAAGAAGTGAAAAGAGAAGAAGAAGTAGAAAAAGTACAAGTAGAAAAAGTAGAAGTAGAAAAAGTACAAGTAGAAAAAGTAGAAGTAGAAAAAGTACAACTGTTAGCATTCCCTGTACCAGATAATCAATCAAGCCTTGACTCGTTGCCCCTTGTATAATCAATGCATTCATCCACTCGAACCTCACTTTGTTTGTCGCTTCCAGTGTGCTTGACAAGGAAGAAACAGTGTGAAGGACAACTGGGTCAGTTTGAATGAGTATGTGAAGGAGCGAGTCAGACAGCTGAGAGGGCGAGGCTGTTGTAAAAAAAAAAAAAAAAAAAAAAAAAAGGTATATGAGTGTAGCATAAAGGATGCGGCTAGTGTGACAGTGGAATAGCAAAGGGACATGATTACTCGTCACCGTCATCAACGAAAATCTCCCTGTACTTGTGCAAAATGGTCTCGACGGCTCTGCACTGAAAGGTCATATCGTGAAGCTGAATTCCCCCTGCACTAGCGTTGGCAGCGGTAGTAGTGCGATCCTCATAGCCAGCTGGAGGAGGCGATAAAAGCGTTGGACCAAAAACAATGGCCAGATTACTGGCTGACATCTGATTCAAATGTTGCAACTCGGTCACCTTGTGCAAGTGACGGATGAGATACTTGAGTGTCGCATAGTTTGCATCCGGCAGTTCATTAACTCGTTCATGTAACCTGATATGCCTTAACCTGTCGTTATCGATTTTTGCCGCCTCTATGAACGAGGAATACAACTCGTGCGTCAATAAAGGCTCCGGTAACTCCCGGAACCATAACTTGAGACATCCAGCAACAATGTTGATATCCTGCATAGCTTCATCCTTGAACAGATCCACTTGCCTCCAATCCGCATCGAAACTCGCTTTGAGTCGTTGAACTTTAGACGTCGTCCCGGAAAGTCGATAGATGCCCATGTTTTCGATTCCCATTTCTTCGATTGCTGTCGCGCATTTCTCCAGGATCGCTGGAACCTCGACCTTGTCCCGAGCCATCTGTTCTGCTAGATCAACGCCGAAGATAGGTCGATCAGAGACGATGGAAGCGCGATCGTTGCCTGCACCACCACTTACATCACCACCACCACTTACACCACCACCACCACCACTTACACCACCAGCGGAAGATTTAGCCGTACCAGGAGTGTTGAGAAATCCTTCTTCATAGGGACCTTGCCTTCGAGGAGCCTTATAATCCCTTCCATGCGCCACCTGATAGTTGGCCATATACTGTTTAAAATCAGCTCTATTATCGATCCTCTCCACGGCACGCTTCAAGCCACTACTGGCCGCCACCTCGCTGCCAACGGGACTGATGGCCATACCATCGTTCAACACGGTACTCTCATACAAGAAGGCATATCTAGCCAAATGATACTGTGTGCCATTGTCAATCTCGTCGGCATTCTCCTTCAAGGTCCTCAATATCCTGGGCAACTGCAGATTGAAATACTCCTGCCTGACGCCTTGGGTATTCAAGACTTCCCTCCTAAACGCATCACTCGCACTACTCGTCCTCGCCCTGATCTCCTCTTCTTGTTTGAGAATCTGCTGCGGATTCTTATTCTTAAACAGCAAGCCACTTTTACCTATCGCTTTGCCAAGCGTTCGCTTACCACTCCCGACTCCTCCTCCTCCTCCTCCTCCTCCTCCTCCTCCTCCTGAACTCTGTATCTCTCCAGTCTTGGTACTCTCTCCACTCTTTAACAAGAGTAGGCGCTCCAAATCTTCAGCTGCTGTGTCGAACCTTGCTCTCGCCTTGTCCACGCCTGTTTCTGCATCTTGTAGGTTCTTCTGCAACCTCATTCCTGTCTCGCGCGCTTGCTTCCTACTCTTATCCACCTCTTTGGCCAAATTGCTGAGTTCATCCGACATCTCGCTAAGCTTGCCTGCAAAGCGCAACCTGTTGTCTGAAATGGTCTCGTGCGTTTTAAGCATGCTATGCCAACTTTTGACGAATGTTCCCGCTTTAGCATCGGAAAGGGAATAGGTCTCGAATGTGCTGCGTGCCAGTTTAGCCATACTGCGAGCATACTCTTCTTCAATGAGAGCTCTTTTCTTGAGAAATAGCGAAGCTTCTCTTGCAGAAAGCATACTTTGTTTGATCCGACCAAAGAGGAGAGGCATTGCACAATCAATGTCGCAGAGAGACCTAAGCAGGCCTTCGTCGAAAGATGTGGGTACGATGTCTTCCATTATAGGCCCAGCTAAAGTGGTAGAGGAGGGGGCAGGTTGGTTGTTGAACGTCGAGGCGGTGCTGGAGGTGGGTATGCTTGTGTCGAATGGAGCCGGAGGCAAGGTGGAGGCGGATTGCGTGCTGTACCGTGTAGTGGAAGAAGGAATGTCGGTGGAGGAGGAGGTGGCATTGGTAATGGCGCTGTTGATGTAGCCTCGAGAGTGATCGTAAGCTGCTTGCTCAGCCATGGTTGGTGTGGTGAGTGCCGAGGAATGTTGATATCGTTGGGCAGGAGCAGAGCGAGAATGTACCTGCATGTTGATCGCATCCGAGTAGAGATGGTTTGCTGATGGATTCTCATAGCCTACCATCAGGATGGCAGAAGAGTAGATAGCGAGGCGTCAGCAAGGACTTGTCCAGAGGTGGCCTGTGATGGTCGGTGGAACTTACCAGCAGCACTCGCATCCGAGAGAGCGTCGTTGTTATGATGAAACTGCGCCTCGTTTGAGAGATCAGAGGCATTGCCCGGGCAAGTTGCGTACTGAAGAGCGGCAGGATTTGGACTCAAACTGCTGTGATGCACCGCTCCTCCTCCTAGCCACACGCCCTCTTGAGCATTCCTATTGAGGTTGGCAGATGAATCCATCTTTGTCTCGTTCTTGTTGCCGATCCGATTGGAGATGATCAAGATGATAGCTATATCCTTGAGGGCATTGTGGATGATGGATGGTATTGTGCATCGAGGTGTGCAAGCTGTCACAAAGCGAACAGCCAAAAAGCGATTGAAATTGCGATCTTTTCTTTTTTTCCTCTGTTAAGTTTGCAGATTGAATTCTGGCCGCTTTCCCGTGCGAGAGTGTTAAGCGTGGCCGGAGATGAAATACAAACTGACCTGCTGGCAAGCAAGAAAGCAATACAAAAGGAGGAGCGCAAATTTAAAGTCGCATTACCGGCACAAAAGGGGTGACAAGAGAGCGAGAGAGCGAGAGAGCAAGACACAGGGAAAGTGCTTGAGGCGCACAAAAAACCTCAAAAGCTCGGCCTTTTCCTTGTTTGCTCTCGATTGACCGGCAACCGAGACTTTGGATGAGCTGGTTGTCTCATCTCTTTCTTCAACAGCATACTAACCCTCTTTACTCGATCTTTTGCATGGCTTTTTACACTCAGTCTGCTCATCAAGTGATAGCAAGCAAGCAAGAAAGCAAGCAAGAAAGCAAGCAAGAAAAGAAAGAAAGCAAGAAAGCAAGCAAGAAAGAAAGCAATCTTGGCGCCCTCAAGCTTCTCCCTGCTCAAGCTTCTCCCTGCTCATAAGCCTCTGCTCGGTCTTCCTCTCCTTTCTCTCTCTCTCTTCGGGTCTCTACTAGCTAGCTCAACCTTGCAGAACGAGGTAGGATACAACGCGCATCTGCTCTCGACGATATCATCTCGGTGGCTGCTGCCAGTCCAAAGCTCATCTCCGCTGCCGCACCAACTTCGGATCCTGCAATCCTAGCCGGCTTTTCCCTTGCTTTTTACAACTTGGCATCTCAAACGATCACGCTCAACATGCATCAATCGCCTAAACGCTCGGTGATCAAACATCCGCACGACTTTCATGGCGCACAAGTCATGCCACGCAGTGCAGACCCTCTCGCTGAAGCCACTGCTGCTCAACCTTCTGCTTCCGCCTACCAGCACTCTGATCCTTCCGCAGCTACGCCCAATTACTTGCACAGCCTCCAAGGTGTTGCAACAACCCATGCCACTTTCACTCGTCTCGCTGGCCCATTCGACTTTGCCGATATGACCCTTGTCCCCCAGCGCAGTGCACCTCCACCGCCCAGCAACCCGGGCCCAGGTTCTTCCTTTGTGCATCAGCGTGCTTCTCCTTCCACTTCTCCATCCCCAACTACCGCCTCGACTTTCACTTTTGCAAACCACTCTTCCTCTGCTACAAGATCCCCTAGCTCTGCCGCCGCATATCCTTCCAAGCCAACCCTCAACACTTCGCTCAGCTCCCAACAGGGGCCCAGGTCAGGATTGCCAGCACAGACAGGTCTTCCCTTCAACCTCTCCAGCTTTTCCAATCCACCAGCCGCATCGCCGCCAACAGCTCCGAATTCTGCCCTACCATGGTCCGCTAGTCCTCAAAATCCCGCTGCTCCTAGCACAAGCGCCACTTTCCCGCCGAGACCTGTACGATCCCATACATCAGGTCCAGACGCGCTTCACACCCTCTCCACTCTCAGCCCATCACACCACGTCGCACCCCTCATGGCGCAGCGCTCTCACTCCAGCATTGGCCCTCAGCAACACCAGACCATCGGCTCGCCTACTCTCAATCAGTCCTCACCAACGCTCGAGGGCGAACCCACACCTTGTCTCACCACACAGAGCCAATTCCTCCACGGCACCCGCGATCGAGAGCGAAGCCGTGACGGCAGTACCACACCCGGAGGCAGGAATACTTTCAAGAGCGTCTTTGGCGGCTTTGTCAACTCCATGAGCGATGTCTTTTCCGCACAGAAAAAGATTGAGATCTCGACACCGTACGATCCTGTTCATCTAACCCATGTCGGCTTCAACTCGGACACCGGCCAGTTTACTGGTTTGCCCAAAGAGTGGCAGCAGCTCTTACAGGACTCAGGCATTTCCAGGCAGGACCAAGAGGCAAATCCTCAAGCTGTCATCGACATTGTTGCTTTTTATCAGGACGCTACCCAGAGCAACGCTGAGACGCATGTATGGAAGAAGATGGGTCATGCCAAGGGCAATCACCCACCCGCAACGCCACGCACAGATACCAGCAGCGATGACAGCTTCAAGGCTGCTGCGCCTACACGCCCTATCTTGTACGAGAAGCCACGCGCTGCACCCGCACCACCAGGTACAATGCATCCAAAGAGACCAGCAGACATCGGCAGCCCAGATTTGCCACAAGCACCAACCGCCAGCGCTGCCGAAGCATCTCTCAAGGCCTCACGACCTGCACCCTCGCCAGCTGCCGCACAAGGTGCCAAGCTTGGCTCACCCTCGCTCGGATCCAAGCCCAGTTCTGCCCCCAGAGTGCCAGATACTTGTGCCGCTTCTGCCTCGGCATCCAAGACGTCAGCTACCGCTCCTGGTGCATTCGGTCCATCTTGCTCCTCTTCCTCTTCGTCCACATCCACATTCGCATCCGCATCCGCATCCGCATCCGCATCCGCATCCGCATCCGCATCCGCATCCGCATCCGCATCCGCATCCGCATCTGCATTGGCCGCGAGTAAGAGCATCAAAGCACAGGGACCAGGAGCTGTACCACGCAGACGCGAAACCAAGAAGAACACGATCAAAGATGCCGACGTGATTGCCAAGTTGCAAGCCATCTGCACCGACGCTGACCCAACCAAGCTCTACCGAAGTCTACAAAAGATTGGTCAAGGTGCCAGTGGTGGTGTGTTCACCGCCTACCAGGTTGGCACCAACCTTTCCGTAGCTATCAAGCAGATGAATCTCGAACAACAGCCCAAGAAGGACTTGATCATCAACGAGATTCTCGTTATGAAGGAATCTCGTCATCGCAACATTGTCAACTTTATCGACTCGTTCCTCTTCAAGGGCGATCTTTGGGTCGTGATGGAGTACATGGAAGGAGGCAGTCTGACGGATGTAGTCACATGCAACATCATGACCGAAGGTCAGATTGCCGCTGTCAGCAGGGAAGTCTTGGAGGGGCTGCGACACCTGCACGAGCATGGCGTGATCCATCGAGACATCAAGTCGGACAACGTGCTGCTCAGCTTGCAAGGCGATATCAAGTTGACCGATTTCGGTTTCTGTGCGCAGATCGGTGAGTCGCAGGCCAAACGTACAACGATGGTAGGCACGCCCTACTGGATGGCGCCAGAGGTGGTCACACGCAAAGAGTACGGTGCCAAGGTGGACATCTGGTCCTTGGGTATCATGTGTATCGAGATGGTGGAAGGTGAACCGCCTTATCTCAACGAGAACCCTCTTCGTGCACTTTACCTGATTGCAACCAACGGTACACCGAATATCAACAATCCCGAAAACCTCTCGAATACCTTCAAGGATTTCCTCAAGACCAGTTTGGATGTTGATCCAGAGAGACGTCCTGACGCAGTGGGCATGTTGGCGCACGCCTTCTTGAAGAGGTCCGAGAGTCTGAGGACACTGGCGCCATTGATCAAGGCTGCACGCGAACAGACTCGCAAGTCCTGATCTCTCGCTCTCACAGCGAGTCGTTCCTGTCCTTCCCACCTCGTCCCCTCCTATCATTCTGGGATGTAACACTCTATCCGGACATCGATATTCGATCCACGTTTCATGTTAGAAGGACAATCGCATCCACACGTACATTTCTCCAGATCCCATTGCGTGCTTGTTTCTTTCGAGAAAGCTTGTCTGACAGTGTCTCATGCTCACTTGCAAGATTGTTGGCATGCAGATCACATGGATATGATGCCTGTGTACCACAATAGCTCTTTCGAGTGCAATGCAGCAGTTGAATCGTAGTTCAGAGAATCTGGCACTTGAATCGTCGTTTAGAGACTCTGACACTCTTCTGCTTGACCGCATGATGACGAGAAGAGAGCAGCACAAGACGCAACCCCACTTTCCAAAGCCGAATGAATGCCAACAATGCAGACATCGAGCAAAGACCGTCCAGGAGACGAGATCTCAGCTGTTGTTCTGTAGCTTGCTGTATGTAGAACTGCTCAGTATTCTTCGTCTTCACATGCTTGCTCTTCGTTCAGGCTTTAGTGGTGCGTTGGTGGGATGAAGCTCATGAAGCAATTGTCCTTGTTTCTATTGTAGCAATCTTCAACGTTGTGGGAGAAAGTGCCTTCCAACTCATCGAGATCAGTAACCAGGTCTGAAAAGAAAGCATCAAGTGAAAACAAGTGAGCAAGGTGCGACTCTTTTCTGACACCTCCAACTGGATTCATTTACGTTGATCTCACTAGGTCATAAAGTCATCAAGGATACCACCGAACGAGCCTTATTACCCACATCGCAGCAATGAGTATAGCCGAGCGGCCTTTTTGAATATCAACAAGTAGCTCCCACCGCCAGCGTGCAAAATCGTCCTACATGAAGCTGTTCAGAAGCATTATACATGTTCAGCATCATTTGTTGGTCCAGTGAGGTAGCCCACCAGTTGATCAGTTTTGGTGCTACGTGATGAAAGAGGATGTTTCAATCCTAATTGCAGACGGTGGGACAATGCTAGGTCTAGCGATGGTGTTTTGCGATGAGTGGCAAGTTGCAAGTGCGAAGTGCGATGCTCTGCGACAAGACCAAGAAGCACTGTGAGCAAAAAATTCTCGAGGGTGAGCAGCAGCCGTGGCAGCGCTTAAATACAGTCGAGTAGCCTCATCTTACCTTTCCGTCTCTTACATCCGCAAACATTTCACCTCTACAACATGGTTTCCCGTCACACCCGTATTATCTCCCTACTCCTCCTGCTGGCCATCCATGCCGTAGGAGTTGTTTCGGCCTGGGGCTTCGGCTCGAGTGGCAGTGACTACGACCCAAAAGTACACGCCACTATGCGTACAAAAGCAGAGTATGATCAATTAGCCGCTCTTACTGGTCAAAAAAAAATCTTCTCGAGGGGAAATAAAGATCTTTCACACGATAGTCGCTTTCGTGATAAAGCTTTCGAGCATGCTAGGGCGCATGGGGCCAAGCTTGTTGGTAGCGATGCCCAGGAACTCTACTTTTATAGCATCATCCAACCCGACACCAAGCTGGGCAAGGCCATGCACCTCAAACGAAAAGTTGGCAATCACGGATACGTCAGCGTCCTATGGGAATACAACAAGAACTGGGACAAACCCAGTATCTTTGCTGTCACAAGGGTCAAACCCTTAGATAAAGTTGAAAATCCCCCCTTCAAGTGGCCGATGGAGCCTTACGAAAAAATACTGCAGAGTTTTCCTAAATTATCTGACCTCGGAAAGGACATCACTGCAACTCTCTAGGTTAGGCACAATCACATGCTCTCTCACGAGACTCAGCCAGCCTCTTTCTCCGCACTCCAACATATGACCTTTGCACACATCCCTTGTTCTCCTTCTGCGCCTTCTTGCCTCTGTTCCCAAACATTTGTACAATACTGTACTGCACTTGCTCAACGCCTAATTCGTGATTGTGCCGCTTTTGTGCTTGCAAAATAGAGAATCAACTGCTTCTTGGCCTCTATGGCATGTTACCAGTACTCCGTCTTCTGACAAAAGCTGACAAGTTGGAGAAAAGTGTAAGGAAGGCCGCTCGCTTTGTCTGGGGTAATGTAGACGAGCGACCTGTTCTGCTTTCTCGTCCTCCATGTCTGCCATCTGACCTTTGTTGGGAGGAGTGACAGACTTAGACTTGGATGGTAGGACGCGGTTTTATTACGTATGGCGACGACGGACGGCGTGTACAGATAGCGGATGGATATGGTGCCAATGCAACGACGAGACGGATATACCTTGTGTGTTTGTACGTCTACTCTCTGGACGGGACCGGGGCATGCTATCCTGTCAACAAGGCTGGAGCATGCAGGGGTTAAACTGCAATTAAGCAGATGAGCTCAAGCACAAGCAGACGATGTCAGATGATGTTCAGTGTTGCGATGATTCTAATGCTCACTTGCCAGATTGTTGGCATGGAGACGACATGGAAATGATGCCTGTGTACCACAACAGCTCTTTCGAGTACAATGCAGCAGTTGACTCGCCGTTTAGAGGATCTGGCACCCTTCCGCTTGTTCGCATGATGACGAGAAGAGAACAGCACAAGACGCAACGCTTTCCAAAGCCGAGTGCAAAAAAGCAAACTGTGCGCCACCGTGCTGCAGCCACTTTCGACTCCTATCAGAGCCTGACAACAATGCAGACATCGAGCAACGACCGTCCAGGAGACAAGATCTCAGCTGTTGTCCTGAAGCCTGCTGTATGCAGAACTGTTGAACTGCTAAACGCTCTTCGTCTTCACATGCTTGCTGTGTGTTTGCTGTGATATGCACTCGTGCTTGCTCTTCCATCAGGCCTTAGTGGCGCGTTGGTGGGATGAAGCTCATGAAGCTCTTTGTGCTTGTCTCTATTGTAGCAACCTTTAACGCTGTGAGAGCTTCCAGGGCTGAGAAAATAGCTTCACCATGATACTTCATTGTGACAGCGACCTTTCTCTCTGATCTTAGAAGGCAAATTGGTAGATTTGCTGTCAACAGGAAAGGGGCTACGACCCCTTGAACAACGCGGCCAGAACAACGACTGGTCGTCTTGCAGATTAGATGTCTTGTACACTACATGCTGTGCGATGACGGCATCCCTGCATATCAGACTACATGTTTTCGGACCTCTTCAGCGAGCGATACTGCGTTCAAGTGCTTGTTCCAGTCTCGACCTGTGCTGATCCTTTCGTATACAGTCCATTGAGATTTGAAGGGAGCTTGGAAAATGTCCGTCGGAAAGCTAACTCCCGAAAAGTGCCTTCCAACTCATCGAAATCAGTAACCAGGTCTGAAAAGAAAGCATCAAGTGAAAACAAGTGAGCAACGTGCGACTCTTTTCCGACGCCTCCAACTGGATTCATTTACGTTGATCTCACTAGGTCATAAAGTCACCAAGGATACCATCGAATGAGCCCTATTACCCACATCGCAGCCATGAGTATAGCCGAGCGACCTCTTTGAATATCAACAAGTTGTGCCCCCACCAGTTGATCAATTTTGGTGCTACGTGAGGAAAGAGGGCGTTTCAATCCTACTTGCAGACGGTGAGACAATGCTAGGTCTAGCGATGGTGTCTTGCGACGAGTGGCAAGTGGCAAGTGACAAGTGCGGAGTGGAATGCTCTGCGGCAAGACCAAGAGGCACTGTGAGCAAAACTTTATCGAGGGCGAGCAGCAGCCGTGACAGCGCTTAAATACAGTCGAGTAGCCTCATAGTTGAAGATGCGTCGGCATCTCAAGTAAGATGCACATGTTACGGCCGAGACATTGAGACACGGGAGGCTCACGTAAGCGAGAAGTACAATGAGGTACGTAATTGTTGTCATGGTGACAGCACAGTGGCACCCGGTATCATAGCAACACAGGAGTACAAATGAAGAGACACATCCTGCCTCGAATAGGACCAGAGCAGTGAATGGAGTATATATATGTGTTTGTCATTCAGTCTCACATCATGAAAACCAAGCATTACATAGAACATACGGCTGTGGTAAAGGGAGTCTGATCGTGACCCCGATAACGCCGTATATTAATTGTTATCTTCATTTGATTAAGAGTCTGAAGAAGCTATCACCGAGCTAACCGAAACTCGCCGACAACCATGGTAGAAGACACCGAAACGAGGACCAAAGGAGGCAGAAAAGGCAAGAACACCCAGGTTCGGGTCGATAATAATGCCACGAGCGAGAACGAGCTGGAGGCCATCAATGATGAAGCCGACGAAGACACCGATTCCGACTCCGACTTTGATGATGGTGACAAGCGATATAACTTTCGCACCCTAGCAAAGCTCCTCGAACCCGTGCCAAAGCTCACGTCACGAAACTATCATAGCTGGAGCGCCCACGTGAAATCTTTCCTCCGATCCGTGCCTCATGCGATGAAACATCTCGAGGGAACGTACGACAAGAAACACCCGAAATGGAGCCGCTCCCTCGACGATGCTTTAATCAACGCCCTGCGTGGAACAATCGACACTACCGGAGAACACAATGTAAATTACCTCGTTCTAGATGTAATCAAGGAGTACCTTACTTTCAACCAAGTGTGGAGAAAGATCGAAAACGGTCTCACGAATGAAGCCACCAAGACGTCTCACAGACTTGCGCTTATCTCACAACTCAACGATACAAAGATGTTTAACTCGGACGCCAGAAAGCTAATTCAAGAGATCCGGTCCATACAAACCGAAAGCAGCCTCCTCGGCAAACCATTCGCCGATGATACATTGTTCTCGGCTCTGCAGAAATGCACGATCCGGCATCCGGTGTACAAGGAGACGGTTGCCACCGTCCATCAAATCGATTTCAACGCCCTTGCCACCGCACTAAGCATCCGGCAGACCGCTGTCGAGAGCGTCCCCGCACAAAGGATCGACCCTCGACAAGCCAGTGCTAGAACCGCCGGCAACGACGATCAAAACGAACGGGCCGGAGAGACCGAAGCCGAAGCCGACAACAGCCACGCGAGCTCGAGGAACGCAAGCAAGTCACGCCGAATCCGATGCTGGGTCTGCAAGCGACCGGGACATGGTATCAGTCAATGCGACGCCTTGGTTACCATTCCCAAGGACTCCCCCCTCGCTGAACCTAAATAGGAAGCGTGGTGCTCCCTCACCCTCCCAATGAAATGGCAGGACCCCTCGAACACAAAAGAAACAGCTCATTGGATCTTGGACTCGGGGGCGAGTTACCATATGGTGAACGACTACAGCATGCTCATCCACCCGAGAACTTGCCGAAAGCGGATAATTACCGCCGGAAGCGAGGTCTTGGAAGCGGCAGCTATAGGAGATGCAAGCATATCAACAGATTACGGGGAAATCTCTCTGCAAAATGTATTGTATGTAAAGCACCTTAATGTTAACCTTCTGTCAACAAATTCATTAACGGATGAAGGAGCACGAGTGATATTGGACACAACCGGCGGCCAAATTTTTCTAACAAACGGCATGACACTTAAGATTGCAAAGAATCGCGAGCGAGGACTTCTGGAGTTCCGAGGCGACACATGGCAAGAAAGCGCGATGGCCACATCAGCACCATTGTTTGAAGGTGTTGATGAGGAGTTCGAGCATATTGAGAATGAGCCGAAAGTTTCAAAACAACAACTATGGCATGAGCGTCTCGGGCACCCAGGAAGAGATAAAGCTAAGGCGATCACAACCAAGTTAAAGGATAAGCATACCATGAAATTGGATCCAAACACCGCTCTGACGTGTGAGCAGTGCGTACGATCCAAGAGCACAAGCGCTCGGATGGGGAAAGGTAGCGGCGAAAGAGCCGTAGGGCCCCTGGATCTTATCCACGTCGATCTAATAATAGACTCGTCCCACGTGACGGAGTACACATGCACGTTGGTGCTGGTCGACGATCATAGCAAGTATGTGTATGCACAGCCATTGACACGAAAGAGTCATGCCTTTATGCAACTCAAAAGGATTGTTTCGTTCCTGGAGACACAGACGGATCGGAAGCTAAAAGCGATCCGATCCGATCAAGGAACGGAATGGAAAAGCAATGATGCATTAGAATGGTCGTTAGAAAAGGGCATAGAGTGGCAAACCACCGTAGGGTACAACAGCAAACAAAATGGACGGGTAGAAAGAATGAACAGGACCCTTGGAGAGAAGATGAGAACGTTGCTAATGCAGAGGAGACTACCGAAGAAGTTCTGGCCATACGCGATCAGAGCTGCGGCGTTCAAAATAAACCTCACTCCGAGCGTTGATAATGAATTCCCTTATCAAGCGATGTTTGGCAAGTCGCCGGAATGAGCTTTAAAGCTCCTACGAGTGTTTGGTTGTCTGGCATGGGTAAACGTACCCAAAGTTAAACGGGACAACAAGAAACTGGACCAGCGAGCCGTCGCATCCATTTTCTTAGGGTACAGTCTAGAAAGGAAGGGCTGGCTCTTCTACAGCCCGGACTACAATCCGAACATCTTCTGGAGCAACTCAGCAAAATTCATGGAATCAAAGTGCTGGTCAGACAGAACAGAGTGGCGACCGGTTGACACAAAGGCACCCCCAATGATGATGACAGAGGAAAATTTCGAAGATCTAGGATACAATAAGGAAAATATATTCGACGAAACAGATGAAGAGCCACTACGAGAATACATGGATATGGAGACAGATTCGGAAGAAAGATTAAGCGAAGGAACAGCGGAGGTGATGGAACAAGGACCAATCGCCGAAACTCAAATTGACAGCGAATTCTATGGACTCGTAGCGACGCGACCGGAATGGAGAAAGAACCTGGACCCAACCATACATGAAGCAATGAGTGGAAAGGACAGAAAACACTGGGAGGAGGCCATGCGAAAGGAGCTGGATGGATTGGAGGCGATGGGCACATGGGAGATAGTCGACCTCCCAAAGGGTGCAAATACTGTCGACACACGTTGGGTACTCAAGATCAAAACCGATGCAAACCTCGTGCCGACAAAGTTCAAAGCCCGGCTCGTGGCACGAGGTTTCACTCAACGCGAGGGCATCGACTATACAGAGGTCTTCGCACCAGTAGCACCCATCCAATCCATTCGAGGGGTGATCGCTGTCGCAGCAGTACGAGATTGGGAAATGGATTCTATCGACGTAAAGCAAGCGTACCTGAACTCCACTATACACCATGATGTATACCTCAAGCCCCCAGTAGGAATCGAAATGCCACCCGGAAAAGTGTTGAAGGTAGTGAAAGGACTGTACGGTCTGAAACAATCGGGCCGAGAATGGAACATTGAGTTAGACTCACATCTCCGGACGATCGGATTCCATTGCATGCCGAGCGCACCATGCCTATACTCAAGAGGGACAGGCGACAAGATCACGATCATCACAGCATACGTGGACGACATGCTAATAACATCACCCAGTCGTGATGAAGTAGATCGCGCAAAGCGAGAGATCATGGACAAATGGGAGACGCAAGACAATGGAAGGGTCAAAGAATTTCTGGGTATCAAGATCACACGTGATAGAAGACAGAGGAGGATATCTCTGGGTCTAACGGCATACATCAAGGAAATGGTGAACAAATGGTTAGGAGGAGCAAACGAGAAATCTTGGGTACCCATGCTGAGTGTAGCGAACGTTGCCGGAGGCGAGCGATGTGAACCTCAGCGAGCAAAGAAGTATCAAGAATTGGTCGGCCAACTATTATGGGTCTCCAACACAGCCCGACCAGATATTGCCTTTGCCGTCGGCGTATTGGCGCGATATATGTCGATCCCGATCGACAGTGCATGGAAGGCAGCCATCCACGTGGTAAAGTACCTGAACCAAACGAACGAATATCAGTTGCACCTAGGAGGGGAGACAGACGAGCACTCGGATACACCGGTAACGACGTATACCGACGCAAACTGGGCATCCGACCCCACAAATGGACGAAGAAGCACCTCGGGGTCGATAACATATGTATATGGGTGTCCAGTGAGTTGGAAATCACACGTTCAGAAGTGTGTGGCATTGTCGGCAGTCGAAGCAGAGTTTGTCGCCGCTTCCGAAGCGGTACGAGAAACCTTATTCTTCTCATATTTGCTCCGGGATTTGGAGACCACGGACGTTCGGCCCGTACTATACACAGATAGCCAGGGGTGCATACAGGTGAGTAAAGATCCAGCCAAACATTGGAAGTTAAAGCACATCGACACACGGTATCATTTCATTCGCGATCACGTACAAGAGGGCGATGTGGAAATCAAATATGTCGGAACGGCAAACAACGTTGCAGATGTCTTGACAAAACCCTTACAGGGTCTTAACACCTCACGATTGGCTAGGATGATAGGACTGGAGATCCCGCCGAAGGGGGGAGTTGAAGATGCGTCGGCATCTCAAGTAAGATGCACATGTTACGGCCGAGACATTGAGACACGGGAGGCTCACGTAAGCGAGAAGTACAATGAGGTACGTAATTGTTGTCATGGTGACAGCACAGTGGCACCCGGTATCATAGCAACACAGGAGTACAAATGAAGAGACACATCCTGCCTCGAATAGGACCAGAGCAGTGAATGGAGTATATATATGTGTTTGTCATTCAGTCTCACATCATGAAAACCAAGCATTACATAGAACATACGGCTGTGGTAAAGGGAGTCTGATCGTGACCCCGATAACGCCGTATATTAATTGTTATCTTCATTTCTCATCTTACCTTTCCGTCTCTTACATCCGCAAACATTTCGGCTCTACAACATGGCTCCCCGTCACACCCGTATTGTCTTCCTACTCCTCCTGGTGGCCATCCATGCAGTAGGAGTTCTTTCGGCCGGGGCCTCCAGCTCGAGTGGCAGTGGCAGTGTCTACATACCAGAAGTAAACAACCAAATGTTTCTTGCAGCGGAGGAAGATCAAATAAAGGCTCTTAGTAGTGGAGAACATACCTACTTTTCGAAAGGCCGGAGAAAATTTTCAGACAATCCTTCCTTTGCTAATCGAGCTCTCGAGCTTGCTAAGCAGCATGGGGTCAGGTCTGTTGGTGAAAGTGCCCAGGAACACTACTTTTATAGCATCATCCGACCCAACACCGCTCTGGGCAAGGACATGGGTTTGAAAGAAAAACTTGGCGAGGACGGGTACGTCAGCGTCCTATGGGAACACAACAAGAACTGGGAGAAACCCACTATCATTGATGCCTCAGATGCCTTCTCCAGCAGTAAAGGGCGTGATCGCAGCTTCATTTGGAAGTTGGACCGTTTCAAAGATGTACTGGAGCGTGCTCCTAAATGATCTGACCTCGGCAAGGACAACACTGCAACTCTTTAGGTTAGGCACAATCACATGCTCTCTCACGAGACTCAGCCTCTTTCTCCGCACTCCAACATATGACCTTTGCACATATCCCTTGTTCTCCTTCTGCGCCTTCTTGCTTCTGTTCCCAAACATTTGTGCAATACAGTACAGTACTGTCCTTGCTCAACCCCTAATTCGTGATTGTGCCGCGTTTGTGCTTGCAAAATCGAGAAGGAACTGCTTCTTGGCCTCTGTGGCATGTTACCAGTGCTCCCTCTTCTGACAAAGGCTGACAAGTTGGAGAAAGTGTGAGGAAGGCCGCTCGCTTTGTCTGGGGTAACGTAGACGAGCGACCTCGTCCGCTTTCTCGTCCTCCCTGTCTGCCATCTGACCTTTGTTGGAAGGAGTGACAGACTTGGATGGTAGGACGCGGTTTTATTACGTATGGCGACGACGAAGGGTGTGTACAGATAGCGGATGGATATGGTGACAATGCAACGATGAGACGGCTATACCTTGTGTGTTTTGTACGTCTACTCTGTGGACGCATGCTATCCTGTCAACAAGGCTGGAGCATGCAGGGGTTAAACTGCAATTAAGCAGATGAGCTCAAGCACAAGCAGACGATATCGGAAGCGTTGGGGTAGGTGAAGGCCTCTTCGAATCGGTAGATGAGAACGATGAGTTGGATGAGTGCGCCTGTGCGTAGTGTCCATCGAAACCAAATTCGTTCGAGAAGATGAGTGAAGATGATAGGCCAGAGAATGCCTCCGATGGCAGAACCGGCGAAGATGAGTGCTATTGCGAAACCGCGTCTCATCCCACCAATCAGGCAACCACAAGATGACGGTTGTGAAGAGGTTGCCGCCGAAAATACCAAGCAAGATTCCTTGGAAAAGGATCAGTAAAGCTACCGAGTTGGCGAAACTAGCGATGAGAAGCGAGAACGAAGAAGCAACCGCACAGACATAAGTGAAGCGAGAAATGAGGCAAGGAAACATCGAGTAGAGACCAAAGGTCAAGAGTGGGATAAAGTGCTGCCCAGCTAGGAGGGTGGTGCCAACGGAGGAGCTTGCGGTGAGCGAGGAACGAGACCTGCCTAGCATATCTAGCGCCCTTTGAGCAAAAGCTCTCCTGGAACCCCTTGGAGCCCTCTAGAGCCCATCAACTCGCCTTTAATCAACTGCCATTCGCTGACTTGACTCTCATGCAAGCATTGCTGTCAGATTCATGGTCTGAGTCTAGAGTGCTTCCCCATCGTCTGATCGCGAGATCAATTCTCGATATGGTCGAGGTGAGGCGAACAAGGAGTTCGCGAATGCGTTTTGACAGCTGCTTCCCCGCTCCATCCAGCGATGAAAGACGAGAGCCTGCTGTCTAGAGGAGAATAGCCGCCGGTGTCCGACCAAGGTGAGAATCTGCCGATCCGTTGCAAAATTGTGGAAATCGGTGATCCAACGCGGTTGCGAGTCGAAACGTAATTATCAAATGATTATCAAATGATTATCAAATGATACACAGCTCTCTCCGCTTTCTTTTCTTAGACACAGAAAAAGAGAATTTCCTGCCTTCCGAGCCAAGAAGAAACGAGAAAGCCGTTTTACCCCACTGCGATTGTGTGACTCGGTTGTAAGATTGCAAAGAAAAACAACACCGGCCGCCATTGATTCAAGGTCGCCGGCTGGTGGTCACAAGCCCTTGCTGTTCCCATCGCTGTTTCATCTCTCCACACCACCGTCACCATCTCGTCCCTGCGTCTGCTTCCGCGTATCTCATTCGCAGCCACCAAGCTCGCACCTATAACCACTTTTACTCTTCGATCCACACACACAGCTTTCTCGACTCCGTATCGAAAGTAGGCAGTCGCAACATCTCTTCGTAATTTCACAGTCACCTCTTTTCGGCCTAGTCAAGAGACCATATACACTACTTTGGCAACGATGACCGACCAGATCAAGTCCCTTTTCGCCGCCAAGGCAGCCAAGAACGAGGCTGTTTTCGTCAGCTTCGTCACTGCCGGTTACCCTACCAAGCAAGACACTGTCGATGTCTTGCTTGGTCTCGAGGCAGGTGGTGCAGATGTCATCGAGCTCGGTGTTCCCTTCTCGGATCCTCAAGCTGACGGTCCTGCCATCCAGGAATCCAACCAGGTCGCACTCGAACAGGGTGTCGGCTACACCCAATGTCTCGAGTACGTCCGCCAGGCTCGCTCAAGAGGTCTCAAAGCACCTGTCCTCTTCATGGGCTACTACAATCCCACACTCGCCTACGGTGAGGACAAGGCCGTCTTAGATGCCAAGGCTGCCGGTGCCAACGGTTTCATCATGGTCGACCTTCCACCTGAGGAGGCTGCCGACTTCCGCGCCGCTTGCACCAAGTACGGTCTCTCCTATGTTCCTCTCATTGCCCCTTCCACCTCTGCGCAGCGTATCAAGCACCTTGCTTCCTTGGCAGACTCGTTCATCTACGTCGTTTCCAAGATGGGCACTACAGGTGCTACAACCACCGTGTCCAGTTCTTTGCCCGACCTCATCTCTAAAATTCGCAGCATCACTTCCATCCCTCTCGCCGTCGGTTTCGGTGTTTCGACACGCGAGCACTTCGTCCAAGTCGGAGAGCACGCAGACGGTGTCGTTATTGGTAGCAAGTTGGTAGCCAAGCTCAAGCAAGCTCCTGCCAACACTGCTGCTCGTGTCGAGGCCGCCCGCAGCTACTGTGCCCAGATCACCGGCAAGGACGAGGGCGGTATTCAACGCAAGCAGCCTCTCAACATTAACGAGGTGATAGATCAGCCTGACTCCGTCCCCGTTCCCAAAGTCGATCGTGTTGTCAGTGCTGACCGACCTCCCGTCCCTGGTTTCGACACCATCCTTGACGCTCAAGGCAAAGTTCGACCGCCTCGATTCGGCAAATTCGGTGGTCAATACATCCCCGAAGCACTCTTTGATGCTCACCAGGAACTCGAAAAGGCCTACCTCGACGCCCTCAAAGACCCTCAATTCTGGCAAGAGTTCGAAAGCTACTACGAGTATATTGGTCGACCCTCGGAGCTCTACCCCGCTGATCGCATGACCCAAGCTGCCGGTGGAGCCCAGATCTGGTTCAAGCGCGAAGACCTCAACCACACCGGTTCGCACAAGATCAACAACGCTGTCGGTCAGCTCCTCCTCGCCCGTCGTCTCGGTAAGACGCGTATCATCGCAGAAACTGGTGCCGGTCAACACGGTGTAGCCACCGCCACCGCTTGTGCCAAGTTCGGCATGGAGTGCGTCGTCTACATGGGATCCGAGGATGTGAGACGTCAATCGCTCAACGCTTTCCGAATGAAGATGCTCGGTGCCAAAGTCGTTGCCGTCGAATCTGGCTCCAAGACTCTCAAGGATGCTATCAACGAGGCTAACCGTGATTGGGTTACTAACCTCCACAACACGCACTACATTGTTGGTAGTGCCATTGGTCCCCACCCCTTCCCCTCCATCGTGCGTGACTTCCAGTCGATCATCGGCAAGGAAGTCAAGCAGCAGCTTCAGGAGAAGAAGGGCAAGCTTCCCGACGCCGTGATTGCTTGCGTCGGCGGTGGCTCCAACGCTATCGGCATTTTCCACCCCTTCGTCCAGGACAAGAATGTTCGTCTCATCGGTGTAGAGGCCGGTGGTGACGGTATCGATACCAACCGACACTCTGCTACCCTCAGCAAGGGTACTCCCGGTGTCCTACACGGTGTGAGGACATATCTGTTGCAGGATGAGTTTGGACAGATCACCGAAACACACTCGATCAGTGCTGGTTTGGACTACCCAGGTGTCGGTCCAGAACACTCTTTCTTGAAGGACAGCGGTCGAGCCGAATACACCGCCGCTACCGATGAAGAGGCTTTGCGTGGTTTCAAGCTCTGCACCGAGTTGGAAGGTATCATTCCCGCGCTCGAGACTTCGCACGCACTCTGGGCCGCTTTCCACATTGCCAAGACGATGAAGAAGGATCAGGATATTGTTGTCTCCTTGAGTGGACGTGGTGATAAGGACGTAGAGCAGATTGCCAACGCTATCGCTCACGGTGGTTGGGGCGAGCGTCTCGGCTGGAACATAGCCTAGGCTGGCAGCAAGCAGCAGCAGCCTTAGGCTTGTTCTCATCCTCCTTACGTCTCTTTTCATGTTGGCTTCAGCATCTCATATCTACTGCGAATCTCAAGACATGTGCCATCTTCTTTCCTTTCTGCATGTTTGTACTGCGACCATTCAATGATACCACGCCTTTGAGATGGCTGCTGCCCTTTGACAATGTCTGTTATGATTATGTATCTTGAGCAGAATATCGAGGTGCTTTTTTCTGCCGCTATTTCCTACCATGATTTTCTATGCTTGCAATTTACGCGAGCTGTCAAAAAGGGCTGTGTGTGGAGGCGGAAAAGACCAACACTTTCGTTGCTTGCGACTCAGCCATCCTCCTCACCGCCACTCTGCTCATCTTTGCTCTTGGCCACCATTCACGACCTCGTCCTTTGAGAATACCGAGCCAGAAAGGCCTGAAATCATAGCTCCAGCTGTCCGGATCGAATCAGTGCCATCAATCGTCAGATAATCACTGCGAGCTCGGCTGGAGGTGCCAACGATGAACGCCCTCATCTCGGCCAGCGACATCAAAAGTAGGTCACATCCCTTACCATCCAAGCAGACCCGATACAAAAGAGCTGACATCTCTCCCATCGCATATAACAGCTTTCTACAGCGCCTTACACTGCTTGAGCCGATTCTCAGAGACTTTCTGGTTACAATGCAGTCCAAAGATTGGTGGACAGTCTCAGGTACGCTTCCCACACCACACTTCTCTTTACCAATGCCTCCATGGCAAAAGCTGATACAAATAGCATCGAATCGCTGTGTTGGACGTTTAGATACGACTGTCAGCAATCAATCCGACCAACTCGGCCTTTTGCATGTTCGTCTTTGATCCCGACTTTTTCCTCTCTGTCACTACCGAATCTTCGTCCAAGTTGGAGTGTCAGATCCAGCTCAAGGTTCGTCCCATCCTTCTACCCACATAGCCTCTTTCACCCTATCTCTGCTATTGACACATCTCTCCTCTGATCCGCTATCTGTTGATGCTACAGTCCATCCTCTCAATCCTCCGCACGCGAGGTCGCGCAGTCGAACGACTATCCCTGTCCCTTAGCCCCGACTCTGCCCCGATCCACCGCTTCACCATCACCCTCCACTGCCACCATTCCATCACCAAATCACATAACCTCACCTACTCTCCCAAACGAGGCCTTCTCCCCACCGCCGATCCCAACCCACCCAACTTTTTCTGCATCCACCCCTCCACAGCCTCCGAATGGCTCGATCACTTCCTCTCCCCTTCCTCCTCCTCTTCCTCCCGGTCGGGGGAGATCACACTCCACTGCGCCCCCAACTCTTGCATCGCACGAAGCAAAGAAGACGAGATCCCCACGCACACAACAACAGGCGCAGGAGGGGGGATTAGAAAATGTATCGCAACAGAAGTGAAAATTGCAACAGAGGATTTCAAAGAGTATGCAGTACTAGAAGAGGCCAAATTGACGTTTAGTTTAAGAGAGTTTAAAGCGACCGTGGCGTTGGCCGAGGGTTGGGGAACAGGCTTAGAGGTGAATTTCAGTGATGGAGATGAACCACTGTTTGTTAGGATGAAGAGTGAAGGTGGAGGTGTGGCGGGGGAGTTTGTGATCGCTACTACTAGAGGGGATCGAACCGATGCTGGAGGGGGGACCGAGGTACGAGATGATCCTGGACAAGAGCAGGGACACGGCCAACAAAGAGAAACTCCACAACAGCACGAACAGAGACCTATCGCTGCTTCTGCTTCAAGGATCAAACAGCCGCATCGACAAGCATCGGCATCCATAGCTTCAGGGCAAGGCGAAACTTCGCTTCCGTCTCACCCTCAACCAGTACCCCCACTCGCACACGCCATACCCACAGAATCAACCCCGCATCCCCAACATCTCGCAAAGCACCCCGAAGATGAAGGGGACGCCGACGAAACGCAACCACTCTTCTTCCCCGGCGCATCGCAACTGTCACTGCAACCAACCCCACAGGAGTCCGCAGGGGAAAGGGAACCAGAACAAACATTCGTCCAACCAACACCGGTCGCCCAAGGTGGAGATCCTAGTGAATTTCTGCCAAGCCAAAGCAGTTCTGCTCCCCCCACACAGCAGCAGCAACAACAACATCAACGGGATGCGTTTCGTACGGAGTCGCATTCAGACGCAGACAGCGAACAAGATGACGAGAGAGGCGGAATGCCTAGGAAACGGTTCAAACCTTTGTTCTAGCATCGATACCCATGGAATGACAGACGTCACACCTCTTCCTCCTTGGCTGTGTTCGCTGCGATTAAGACTGTGATGGGATAGTAAGGTGATACATGCGCCCTTGTGAGCGAGGCGAGCCAAGAGTGCGACTAGCGGAACATGACATCAGGCAAGGTTCCTTCAGCCGCATACTCATCTGCGCTCCTGTCCACCAACGTTGCTTCCGCAGCGGCATTGATGGGGCTCTCCTCCTTTTCTTCGTAGTTCTTCAACTCAGTACTCTCCAAGAAAACTTCATCCTTCAACAACTCTGTCCAACTATCCATCCTTTTCCTCACACCAGCCCTCACCGCGATAAGCAGTACGATACTCTGCACGACGCCATACACGTTCCTCAGAAGCAACTGCTCCTCCTCGCCACTTGCCACCTTCACCCACCCTTTCTCTGCCAACAAACCTGCCACTCCTATCGGCCCTAACAGCAATACCACCCCCACAGATGCAAGAGGGAGGACGATCCTCGTCCAAGCAACCCTCACTCTTGGCCTGGGATAGAGTCCACCAGCCACAACATAGTTCATTGCGGCGATGAACAAACCGATTGGACCTCGATTTCGATTTGCTGGGTGAGGTCGCCCGAGCAAGTTGACTATGGAGAAGAGTAGACGCATTTCGATGATGCCCAGAGCCCAGATTTGTCCCAGAGCTAGAACGGGAAGTTGGGTGGACTTGTATCGAAAAGGTACGACGACATATTGGTCGATAAGGAGGCCGACGATGAGTGGGACCATTCCAGCTAGACCGACGAGGAGGAAGAAAGCTTTCAACACTCGCTTGACTTTGACCATGAGATGGAGAGCGATGTAGACCGTGGGAGTGGTCCTGTGCATTCGAGCACGCCTGATTCGACGAAGCCACATCTTTCGTGCTCCTTTGACCAGCCTCACCGTCGTCATTAGGAGGGTGAAACCGATGGTGAAGGAGTAGAAATCATGAACCTCCTTCGCTCCTTCCCTGCCCTTGACCATCGCTGCAATCCCACGTCCCAGGGACAGCGGAACGCCAATGCCCAGAATAAACAGCGCAGAATGACTGAGCCACAGCAGCGTCAACACCGCTGCGATCCGGGCACGATAATGCGACGGAAGGTAGATATTGGTATACGTCGGTTTTGGAGTATGCTTCTCAGCATCAGTCTCCTGATTCGTTATCGCCTCAGCCAACTTCTCCGTTACCGCATTCCCCTCGGCATCCAACGGAATAATCAGCGGCCCTGTCGTAATAGCCTTATCATCAGCTGGGACCCTACACAACCCTCCATCTTCCACCCATTCCCCCTCTCCCGCAGCCTCCCTCTTCACCCCAAAATCAACCATCCTACCCCACGCATCCTTCACCCCTTGCACGCATCCCGCGCCCCTCCTCACTTTCCTCTCATCCAAATATTCCCCCCCTACCAAGTAACTACTCAACCTGAACCCCCTAGCCATCGTCTCCCACCATACATCCATCACCTTCTCCGCCGTCTTCTCCGGATCCATCTTACCGGTCAACCAAGGCACCACAAAATGTGCAATCAACAAATCCACCGGAACCTCCACGCCAACACCCCACGGCTTCCATCTCAAGGGTAGCCAACGTAACCCTCCCAACAGATACCTCATCGCATACGTGTTGACTCCAATCGAAGCAACCAGGGTCGCAGAATACATAACCGCGGAAGCAGCAATCTTCCTAAGCTGAGTCCAACTCTTCTTGTCCAAAATCTCCTTGATCGGGTGGAAACTTGGATCGTTCGGATCTCTGATCCAACACAACACCCCCGGCCTCAACACCCTTCTTGTCGCGGAAACGTACTGGGCAAAGACGAACATATAAATCGTCCCGCCCATCCATCTTGTAAATGCAAAACTCAACGGTGCGGTCCTAACCTTTTCCGGCCAACCCAAAACACTAGCCTCGGCGAGAAACGGCAGGGTGCAGATATCAAAGAGCAATCCGCAACCCAGCGGGAAGATGACAAGTTCAATAAAGATGAAGCTGAGAGCTTTAAGTATGAGCACGTGCTGATCGATGTATAGCTTCAAAGCGGATTCTTGGGCCATAGCTCGTTGGAGGTCGGGTTTCGAGAAGTGTTGGTGGATGAATAGGATGAGGAGCCAGTAAAAATGGCCGAAGGCGACGCAGAAGATTCGGTCGGTGGTGGTTGTGCCGTTGCGATGAGCGTCGAGACGGGCAAAGGAATCGATGATACTATCGAGAATGCGGTGAAGTGTACCTTGGAAGCCGGCGGAGAGAGCAATGTCGAATGAGTCGGAGACTGATTTCCAATGCGAAGAGGTAGTCACGCTGGCTGGAAGGAGTCGAACGAGCATTGCTGCTGTAGCGCTACCTCTCGTGGCTGAGGCAGCTTGCTCTGCGATCACCTGCCTTGCATTCTTCGCCACCAACATCGAGGGTAGCACTTTCTGCAACCACCCATTCGCACCAGCGGTGGCAGCCTGTACGACCGCAACCTCACCCTGACTCTGCATACCAACCAAACCAGCAATCCTCGGCCAGACCTTATTCGCACCCACCGCAATCACCCTATCAAACAGCGGATCCGTCACATACCTCAACAGCTTAACCGGCATCGCCAATACCCTCACCAACCCGAGCCCTGACCCAAGCGCCCTGCCAACAACGTAGGGCGCCATGACAAACGCCAACATGACAAACCCGCAAAGGAAGATCATAAGGAAAAGATTCTGTACGATGCCAAAGATGGGGCCGCGCATGCCGATGGCTTCGAGGATCCCATCCATTTCTTCAGCCAGACCGACTTCTGCGTCTGGGTCGTCTGGGTTGTCTGGGTCAGCTGCAGCGTTGGCGGCAACGCCGGCAGCGTTAATTTCGATGATATCGTCGTGGTCGTCGTCGTGGTCTGCAGCGATGTGGGCGATTGGTGGAGGGAAAACTGCGGCGGCGGCTGCGCGAAGGGCCATGTCGTCACGCGGAGCAGCGTCCGCTTCGGGGTCGGACTCGTCTTCCCATGCGTCTTGGTCGTCTGCGATTTCAGCAGCGGCTGCGTTGGCCTGGGAAGGGGCAGGATTGTCGACTTCGGGAGCGGGTTGTGCTACTGATAGTGGCTGGTCAGCGCCAGTGGTGTCTGTTGTTTGTGCATCTTGAACTGCATTGGACGTCGATGCACTCGGCTCTGCAGGCGTAGATGAGCTTGATTCTTCCATTTTTGCTGTATCCTTAGCATCTGTCAATTCAAAATGCGATGCATCAGAATCTGCTTGTGCCTGCCTGTCATCTTGGTCCGTATCCTGAATACCATTCGACTGTTCCGACCAACCAAGCGTCTCTGGCACATTCGCTTGCGCAGACCAAGATTGCTGGGCTGGCGAGCTGCTCCTCTCTGCACTGGGTTCAGCAAGAACCGTCTCGGCACTATCATGATCCCCTCTACTCCACCCGCTTGCCGGCGCTAAAGCTAACTCCTCCTCAGTCTTATCAGCCTGCTCTTCACTAGCCGCACTCGCAAGCATCTGCTCCAAGCGCCGTATCCGCGCATGTCTAGCTTGTTCCCTCTGCATCTCCGGATCTAACTGCAACTCCGGCCGTTCATCTGCCTCTGGTTCTTGCTCTTGGTTTCCGCGCACCTGCTGCTGTGTCGCCATCTGCTGCTCAGCCTGTGCTCTCGGCAGGAAATCCTCCAACTGTACACGTTCATGATTGAGATCCTCCATCATCTGTTCTCTCGGATCGCGTGGTTGAGCCACAGCTAGCGGTACTGGTGCCGGTTGGACAGCAGCGCCAACATCAAAGTTCTGCGGAATATTCTGCAGGATCCACTCCCTCAGCAAGAAAGCTCCTACGAAGAAAAGGACGATATGACAAGTTAAAACCTGACCTTGAAAACAGTCGTTCGCCAACTTTTGCACAAAAGCCGGCACCGCACTTTTTGCAGCCTCCATGTTGATCGGACTATTGCCCACTGCACCTGCACCACTCCGTGTTCTTCCAACGTTGCCCTCTCTCTCCGCTACTGGCTTCGAGGCATTAGAGGCGATCGCACCTGCAGAGGCATTAGGCGGCGGAGCAGCCATCTCAAACGGAGGCTCTCCCATCCAAGTAACAACATCAATCGCCCAGAACATGAAGCGCCACACGTTGACATTGATCCATGGCAACAGCCCTAACCAAGTGAAGGCCAGAAGCAATCCTCTCGCTACCAGCTGACTAGCCTGGACCGATCGAATTAGTAGCCGCCGCAGGTAGAGATATCGAGGGAGGTTGCCATCGGCGGGCATATCTTTGCGATACTTTTTGTGGAAGATGAAAGGATGCTTGCAAAGCTCGCAATACTTTTTGCGCGAATGTTGAAGCCATTCTAGAAGACAGTCTTGATGACAGTATCGGATGGAACCGGTACATTTGCACGGGTAGTAGAGGGGAGAGTTGGGTTCAGGTCCTGAGCGACAGATTCGGCATGCGTCTTCGTCTTGCATTTTGAGCGAGGGGTTATGGGGGGTTGCAGCATGGAATTGGTGCGAGGTGTTGTAAGTCCGAGATTCAGGCTTTGCTGTGGTTCGAAAGGGAAGTGCAAGTCGACTTGATGAGAGGTGAAAAGGTGTCAGACTATGGTTGGGGGTGTTTTGCGGAAAGGTGGGTGCGCGGGGATTTGGGCCACTTTTACGCCACTACTGATTGAGCCCTGTTTCGCTTGAGAGCGAGTGTAGAAAGGCAGAGTGGTGCGGACTGCGTACAAAGCGGTGATGGTGAATGCTGATGATGGTGAATGCTGATGATGGTGATTGCTGATGATGGTAGTTGAAGCTGATCTCGTCGTTCTTGTCATTCACGCACAGCACAGTCGCACAAAGCCAGAAAAAAGTGTTGATCTCGAGTTGGAAATCGGGTTAAATCGGGGATCTAATCGGGGATCTAATCGGGAGTTGGAAAGAAATCGGGTCCGATCTTCTCTCTCTCTCTCTCCCCACTAAGCTTTTCTTTTCTCGGAACTCGGCTTGGACGTTGCGTTTGCTTGTCTTTGTGTGGAGCTCAGCCTTGGCTCCCTTGGCAACACATGATCGTCAACGATTTGGTCAACGATTTGCGGCTCAAGATGGCACCAACAGCTTCCACGTCGCAGCCTTCGAGCGGGAGAGGCTCCTCCATGTCAGCCGTCCAGGCACTCAAGCGTCGCAGAGCGCTTCAACAGGCTCAAGACGATCGTCCACACTACAGCTATTCCGATGACCAAGACCAAGATGCTCCCTCCACCTCGTCCTCTTTCTCCTTTGTCCCGCTCAAACAGCGCCGACTACTGCAACTGCAACACGTCCAGTCTCGTGCTCGGGGCTCTTCCGCAAACATGTCCCACAACGAGCCTGAAGAGGAGGATCCGCAACCGCAAGACGATACCCCTCAACGACCACAACGCTCGCTCCTCGACGAAGCACGAATACTCCGCGAAAAGCAACTGGCGGAACAGGGAGAGAAAACACAAGCGGAGGTGGAAGCCGAAGAAGAACGTAGAATCCTAGAAGCCCATGCAGCACGTCGCAAGCTAGCTTCCGATCTCGAACTCGCTAAAGGTATCCAATATACCGAACCGCTCACCACCTCCTGGCGTCCACCCTCGTATATCCGATCTCGAACAGACGAGGAGAACGAAAAGTTGCGGGAGAAAAATCATATCCTCACAGACGGACTCGACATTCCTGCCGTGATCACCAACTTTAGAGACATGAAGGTTCCTGGGTGCGTCATAAACTATCTCAAGGAACAGAAGAAAATCATCAAACCATCCCCCATCCAAATGCAGGGTTTACCTACAGCTTTCTCAGGAAGAGATATGATCGGGATCGCGTTCACCGGCTCAGGTAAGACGCTAGCTTTCTCATTGCCGATAGTCATGTTTGCAGCAGAAGAAGAACAACGACTCGCCTTCACCCGTGGTGAGGGTCCAGTAGGGATGATCGTATGTCCTTCTCGAGAGTTGGCTCGACAGACGTACGAATCGATCAAAGCTCTAGCCGAAGCAGTGGAGCATGGTGGATATCCGCAGATAGGCGTCCTCTTGTGCATTGGCGGGATAAGTATGGCTGAACAACATCACACAATGTCTAAAGGGTTCCATATTGTTGTTGCCACCCCAGGGAGACTGCAGGATATGTTAAGCAAGAACAAGTTCACTTTGGACTGTTGCAAGTATCTCTGCTTGGACGAAGCGGATAGGATGATCGACATGGGTTTCGAAGAGGATGTAAGGAATATTATGGGATTCTTCAAACAACAGAGACAGACGTTGTTGTTTTCAGCTACCATGCCAAAGAAGATTCAAGACTTCGCCGAACAGTCGCTTATCAAGCCGGTTATCGTCAACGTTGGTCGTGCAGGTGCTGCTTCACTCGACATCATTCAGGAGGTGGAATACGTCAAACAAGAAGCTAAAATGGTCTACCTCCTCGAATGTCTTCAAAAAACAGCTCCACCCGTGATCATCTTCAGCGATAACAAAAACGAAGTCGACGATATCCAACATTATCTCCTCCTCAAAGGTGTCGAAGCGGTTGCCATCCACGGATCGAAAAGCCAAGATGAGAGAGAATACGCAATTCGAGCGTTCAAATCAGGTCAAAAGGACGTAATGGTAGCCTCGGGAGTAGCGAGTAAAGGTTTGGACTTTAACGAAATCCAACACGTCATCAACTACACCATGCCTAAGGAGATCGAGGACTATGTCCACCAGATCGGACGTACGGGAAGGAGTGGCAAAACAGGCATAGCGACGACCTTTGTAAATGCGAATACGCAAGAACAGACACTGTTGGATTTGAAATATCTACTCCTCGAGGCCAAACAAAGGATTCCGCCATTCTTAGCAGCCATTCAAGATCCGAGAGCAGGGGCTGACGGTAAGTTAACCAGTTGTCCAGTTTGTGGTGGTTTGGGTCATAGCATTAGGGATTGTCCCAAACTCGAGGATAATCAGAGAAGACAGACGGCTGCCTTTAGTAGGGGCGATGATGGTGGCTACTAGTCAGCAAGAACCTCCGTGTTTGATATGCTGCCACTCGCTCCTGCACTTGCAACGCAGTGCAAAGCTTTGTATCATCATGTCTTTGTATCGCTACGCAAAGGCAATGCTCACGACCGTCATGACCTCACCAAGACTATCCGAATGTCTGTGCGATCGACTAAACTTGACCAAGACAAAAGAGCACGAAGAAAAGACAGACAGATAACACGAACGATAAGAATATATACCACGCAGGACGACAATTTGTGCATTTCGATTAGACAATACGTGCAACAACAAAGCTGACAGACATCAGGCATTGCCATTGCTCGCAAGTCTAAGGGACGATCAAAATGAGATCAAAAGGTCGTCATCGACCTGAGACATGGCAAGGGTGAGGGTGGGTGGGTGGGTGGTGCATGCGCTATGCGCTAGCGCAGTACATGCGTTTAAGCAGCGGGAGGCTTGGTGCCCTCCTCGAACATGAAAGTGAGCTTGCACTTTCCGCAGTACTGACGGTTCTTGTGCCACGACATGAAGATGCCGGCACCGCACTCAGGCGAAGGGCACTCCCTACGAAGGCGTTTGATGTTGCCATCACCGTCGACCTTGTAGTACTTGAGGATGGACATCTTGACCTTCTTGCGCTTGTGAGGGATACGCTTAGGGGTGGTGTAAACCTTCTTCTTCCTCTTCTTGGCACCACCACGAAGGCGGAGGACGAGGTGAAGGGTAGACTCCTTCTGGATGTTGTAGTCCGAAAGGGTGCGACCATCTTCGAGCTGCTTACCAGCAAAGATGAGACGCTGCTGATCAGGGGGAATTCCTTCCTTGTCCTGGATCTTGGCCTTGACGTTGTCGATGGTGTCCGAAGACTCGACCTCGAGGGTGATCGTCTTACCCGTGAGGGTTTTAACAAAGATCTGCATCTTGACTGACGATTTTGCTAACCAGTATAAGTGGTGTCCTCTGTTAGTGTCGGCGTGGGAGATGGATGGAGATGGTGGCAGGGGTCAGCATTTGCTGGTCCGAGATAGGAGGAAAGCTAGAAGCAGCGTGCGGTCATCCACCGCAGAGCTTTCGACTGCTACGCATTTGGGGAGGCTGATATGCTGGTGGAGATCATTGATGCTAGTTGGATCTGTGGGTCAGGATACTTACTGCTTGAAACCGTGAGGAGAAGAAGGAAGGAAGGAAGGAACACCGAGCGCCACTCTTCTATCCTCTCCCGCTCTTCCTGCTGACTGTCGAGGCTCAGGAAAAAAACTTTTGCTCCTGACACTGCTCTTACGCCTGCTGAATGCCCGAAAAACTGCGCATTTCGAAAAACTGCGAAAATCGAATCCATATCACGTGCCATCCCCCCCTCTTCTGCCGTACGAGAACCTGGCGGTAATAAAATCGCCTCCACGAGTGTACAGTCAGCAAAGGTCTAACAGCTCCTCCGCCCGTCTTGGCAAGAAACATCAACATGCTGTTGTGATTGCAGTAGGAATACAGTGTGTATGCGAGCAAGTGCTAAGCTAGGTTGAGTTGCGGGTCTATTCTTTCGATACTTGTGCGGATGGCACTGACGAACAGTATCGACGTGAAGAAGGAGCAAGGCCGCTTGGCCAACTAGTTAAGGTCAAGGTCAAAAGCATCCTCGTCATCCACCTCCTCCCTCTGCTCTTCTCTCAAATGCGAATAGCTGGTTGCAAAGTCGGCACCCAGCATCGCCTCGCTTTGATCCTCCACCATCTCCACTTCCCCTGCTGCTGGCTGCTCAGCCATCGGCGCACCCTCCAACATCTCACTACTATTCAAAATCCCTTGCCTCATCATCGCATCCGAAGGGAAGGGCATTTCTTGAGGCATACTAGGTATCGCTGGATCATAATACGCTGCTGCCCTCTTCGCATACTGATTGTAATCTGCTCCTAAACTTATCGCCTTCTCCTCTCCCCCTTCCCCTTCCTCTTCCTCTCTCTTCCCCACACCCTCCGATCTCGCAGCTGCTACCTGAGGAAGCTTATACCCCGGGGGAGCACTAGTATACTTGGCCAACCTTTGCGCATACGCTAACAGTGTTGAATGTCCAATAGGCCTCTTTTCCGCACGCTCCATCCAAGCTACCTCTTCCTGAGACATGCGTGAGATCTCCGAAAGTTCAGAATGGATCTTGCTGAGTTCTAGTATAGCTTGCCGTGTTTCTCGATCTCGTTTCTTTGCTTGTGCTTCAAGTCGTTCTATCCGTGCTTGGTTGAGTGCGTGTTGACGAGCGAGCTCGATGCGGGATGAGAAGAGTTGATCCACTTCCGAGAGTGCGGTCAGGATGGAGGTGATGTTGGTCACTCTCCAGGTTTTGTCTGAGTGAGGCTCTGATATTGTCCGAGCTTTTTGCAGGGAGGAGGGATTTTCAATGGCCGAGAACAGTTGTTTGGTGAGATCCGAATATGCGCTGAGCGTGGAGAGGACGAGTGCGGAGGTGGTGGATTCTGATTTTGATGTTGATGCGCCGGCTGAAGTTGCCGATGGCATCATGTATACAAGCTTTCAGCACTCCTGGAGATGCCAGTGAGGAGGACTTGAGGAGGACAGTAGGAGCCAAGTAAGCATGGTGCGTGCACCAAGAAAACATTCCCGCCGCCGCTTTTTTTTTATTTTTTTGACACCCGAGTTCCGAAATCCGAGTTCCGGGTACCGTGTTCCGACTCCCTTTCCCACCACACCTAACTCGACACCTTGGTTACCCCCTACACCAATCTCTTTCACTCTTTTGATCAGCACAAAAAGCACAGCGCTGTGCCCCATCCACAATGCCACCACCACCACCGAACCAAGCTGGTACCTTTCGGGGCGCCTCCCTCTATTCCGGAATCTTTGACCAGCAAGATCCTCCTCCACAAGAAAACAAATCAGCATCCCCATCACAACAAGCCGGTCCCTCCATCACCACCGAATTCAGCGCTCCCAGCTCAAGACCAGACTCAGCTACAAGCGACTCCAAGTCAACAGGTACACTTCCAACAAGCACCCGCGCTTCCTTCCTCCCTACCTCTCTGGTGCTATGCGGTGGGTCAAGGTTGCTCTAAAGATGTGAACAAATCAATGCTCACTTCCTCCTTATTTCTTTCCCAAACTCGATCTTGTCCATACACGCCTTCAAGGGGGAGTAGGCTGGTCAGCAGCACTCCGCTTCGCACCACGAAAAGCAGCTACGAATGCAAAGGCAAAGACGAGACGCAATGCTGCGTTTGTAGCGTCTTTTACAGCTCCAACTGTTTCCGAGGCAGTGGAGAATGTGCCTAAGGGCGCGTTGAGTCGGGCACCTGGTGTAGCGCCAAAACCACCATCGTCCGATGAAAAAGGGAAGAGCTCCGAGACGATTCCAGATATCAAGGAAGGAAGTGAAAGGGGCGTAGGAAAGGTGGACACTTCCCACCTCAACCTAACAGCCCTTGCCCTCCCGACGACGGAAAATGACGATACACAACTTGCAGCGCAGCTGGCAAAGTATCCTGTGCTCGAAGCTCCTCCATTCCTATTACCGCCGGAGCAGGTTGAGAGGGAGAAGATGCTCATGCGTCAATACAATGCTCCTGCTGGGCGGGGGTGGAATGAAGGAGATGACGAAGGAGGGAAATGGGAGGAGGATGGGGAGGAACAAGATGTGAATGGATTCCTTGCTACAAACGCTGGTAGGAAGGCTGCTAGACGAAAGGTAAGCTCCCACTTTTCCGCCTTTTCTTTGGTGTGGAGCATGCACTGATCTCGTCACTTGATTGCGATACCTACAGCAGCGGAAAAGAAAACGAGGCTCACCACCACCCGGTCCGAACATGAACTCCGAATATGATCCACGCATTCCGAACGACTATATCGCATACAAAACCATGTTGTTTGAGAGAAGAAAGGCTGAGTTGGAGCATCAAATCTGGGTTCGCGAGCTGGAAGAACATGGTGAGGAAGAAGGACGGGATGAAGAAGAACAAGAGAAGGAGGAGCGGAGCGTTGGCGGAATTCCACCTCCGCCACCTCAGGCAGCACCCATAGCGGTAGCGAAACAACCTTCATCAGGGCAAGAAGCATACGCTCACCGCCTAGCAATGTCGAACCCCATCCCGACGCAGCCGCAGACAGGGGAAGAAGCGTATCAACAAAGGCTAGCGATGAGTGGGGAAGAGGCGTATCAACGGCGTGTTGCTTTATCTCAGCAACAGCACCCTCAAGCGTCGCACCCTCAAGCGTCACAAGGTATTCCAACAGGACCCGAAGCAGGGCCACCTGGTCCACCACCGGGAGCAGCACCAGAACCCCGCTCTGCCTCACCAACGCAGCTTGACGTAGCGGCGAGACAAACAGCAGCAGCAGCAATCGCAGCCCGTTTAGTCCAGTCGCAAACTCGCTCTTTCCCCTCCAACCGCATTGCAATCTGCACATCATCGGCAGGGAAAGATGACACCCGGTCATTCGCAGAACGATACATGACATCCCAAGGCTACATTCCAGGTCAAGGCATCGGTGCAGCCGGCAACAAAGGTATCACAACCCCCCTCACCGTCTCACAAAACCTCTCCTCTTCCCAAAAAGGCTCGATCATCCACCCGGACCAAAAAACTCAACAGCAAGAAGAACTATCCAAATTCGGCGTTCCATCACGCATCATCGTCCTGCTCAACATGATCACACTCTCCGATCTGCAGCGTGAGGAGGAGAGAGAGGAGTTGATAGAAGATATTGCTGCTGAGTGTGGTAAGTATGGCATTGTTAAACGCATCCTTCCTTTTCAGTTGGGCGGTGCGGAAGGGGGGCAGGAAGGCCAAGTGCGTATGTTTGTAGAGTTCTCAGGTGAAGCAGCAGGTTGGAAAGCAGTTCGAGGTCTTGATGGACGATGGTTCGAAGGTCGACAAGTGAGAGCGTTTTATTATCACGAAGAGGCTTTCCTTCAGCAACAGTACGACTTGTTGTTATCGCGACCTCATACATAGCTTTGGTGTTATGGAAGATGGATGTCTTTTCCTTTTTTTCTTTTTTTTTTCTTTTTCATTGCGATTGTTATGCTTGTGTTTCGTTTTGTGTACACACCTTCGAGGATGCAGCCTTTGGTTGAGGATAGTGTTAGGGGATTAGGGCTTTGGAACGCGCAAAGTCTTAGACACCATCGCTGCAGCCCATCCAAGCCACAAGAAGGCCAACCAGTGTCCCTGGATCTTGGCTATACTTTGACCCCACTGCAAGGCACTCTTTGCCCGCATACCAGGAACCAACTGTAAGACCTTTGCCAATTGACTACTGAAATCAATCGTAAACATACCAAGCGGAACACCACGAGCGGAGAAAGTATGAGGCAGATACTCGCTGAGCGAACCGGTAAAGGTGAGACCGTTGCCGGAAATGTATCCTCTCTCCTTGGCAAGTGCAATCGGAAGACCTCCTGGTTCAATCCTTCCAGTCAACAAGCAAACAGCCATACCAGCGACCAACACTAGCGAAGAAGGAATGGGAAGACCCTCGAAATACCTCGCCTTTCCAGCAGCATCATGTGGAATAGTGGCGGCGGTGACATTAAACCTAGCCAACCTTGCAACACCGGCACAAACAAAGAGTGTCAAGAAAAAACTATCCAATGAACCCCTCAAACCCAAGGCATAAGCAGCAAATGCAGGAGCAGCACCAAAACTCAACGAATCGGCCAAACTGTCCAATTCCTGCCCTAGCATACTGCTACTCTTTCTCCACCGGGCCACTTTGCCATCCAACAGGTCGAAGATTGCTCCGAAAAGCGGGAACCACAGTGCCAACCAAGCATGTTTCGGATCGGAAGTAATCAAGTACCTCGCAGAAGCGAAAAGCGATTGAGCACCGCAAAAAGCGTTCATCAGGGTGAATGCATCAGCGAGATGAAAGTTGCGGACTAGGGAGAAATGGCCATCGGTTTCGACAAACTTGAGCAACTCGCTGGATGTGTGGTCTGCAGCATCTTTGACCGAATCGACTGCCTTGTTCTTGCGTTGGCGAACCGAGGGAGAGGAAGAGAAGGAGGAGGAGGAGATGTTTTTCGTCATCTTGGCTTGTAGGCTGGTGGGTGCGAGAGAGCAAGAGAGTGCAGAGGTGGGAAGCGACTGCTGATGTGGGTGAGGGTGTGATGAGAGAGGGTGCAGTTGTTGAAGGCAGGTTGATGGTGGTTGAATCGACAAGAATGGGATCTGTAGTTGCTGAGGTGGTGCCAGGCATCTAAGATCCTTGGTCTTCTTGGATCGGATGTGTGTTCAAAGACAAATCGTATCCTCTTGATGGATGTGAGACGACGACGATGATGATGATGATGATGATGATGGTGGTGGCGAGGAGAGAAGAGAAGGAGGAGATCGTTGCAAGAACTTTCGCTGAAAAGGAATAATATGACGCAAATTGGCAACACGCTTGTCATTGTTATTATTCACTGCTTCGTTTAAAATGGAAAATGTTAGTTTTGGTGGTCGAACATTGTTGGAGGTCGCAAAAACTGTCTGAGAAGCTTCAGCGCCATTGATTGAGAACGATCGGCGATAGTCAGAGCCACAGTACCGCTGCTATTTAGGGCAGATCGGCTCTGTCCGATCGCCGATCAGATCTATTTGGCCCGATCCCTTTTGTATCCGCTTACGTCATTCAACATCATCATATTGGATCGCCATGTTCAGTATTGACACCCTCGTCCCAACAGCGATAGGAAATGCTTGCTTCTCTCTCCCTTTTCATCTTCCATAGACACCTGCAAAACTCGCCACCATCGCTACTCACCTTGGTCGTGGAATAGCATCAAGGTCGAATCATTGCGAACCAAGAGCGCGCCATCACTTCTCACCACCACTGCGCCGTCTACCGCGACGACGACAAAGCAATGCGCCTCGACTCTGAACCAACTTGCAACGAATACACTCCCGAACACACTGGTTCGCACTGATACACCCCCTCACACGGCATTGCTGTAGGCGCCAGCTCCTCCCAACATGGCCGACTGGAGCGAGCATGCCCATTATGCCAATCCAAATGGGCCTATGGGCCTGCCCCCAGCCGTAACGGCACTCGCATTCGACCCATACAGCGAACTTCTCTGGCAGGGCACATCCTTCGGCATCCTTTCCTCGCTCTACTCTCCACAGCTTTCCCGCTATACTTCTTATCCAGCACACGGTCTACCCACCCGCCCATCACCAACCAAAGCCATCCTAGCAGACGAACGTCACATCTACTCGATCGCTGACAATGGTATCAAGTGCTCTCAGCGTCGTGGTCTTGCGAAATGGACAACGCTAACCCAAGACATGGGCGCTGATGCGATCAACTTGGCCTCCATGTGTGCTTCTCCACTAGCTGCTTCCTCCGATATCATTGCTGCCGCTTTGTCACAGTCGGCAGCCAACACGGGCGAGATCGATAATGACAACGATCTCATCCTCACAGTCAACAACAGCACCGGCGCTCTAGTCCGAAGTGTAGCCTCAGAGGCTCCAATCCTCCACGTTCGCAAGAGCGGCCGCTACCTCTGCGCTGCCACTGTCAACGGTCATATTCAGCTCCGCGATCCTCGCTCCCTCAAAGTCGAGCACAGACTTCACGCCCATCCTGGTGGTCTCGTCGATGTCCAGGCTGATAGCCACATCCTCTACTCGGTCGGTTGGACCGTTCGTCAAGGCCATCCTGTTCCAGAACCACTCATCAAGGTCCACGATCTTCGTAGTATGCGTGCGCTGGTACCCATCCCCTTCGCAGCTCCTGGTGGGCCCTCATTGCTTGCCATCCACCCGAAACTGTCATCCACCGTCATCGTTTCAGCACCACAGGGTCAATTCCAGATCGTCGACATTGCATCTCCAGGCGAAGGCCGATTCTTCTACACCAACGCCACCTCCTTCACCACTTCTCTTGCCATCTCCCCCTCCGCAGACTACATTGCTTTCGGTGAAGCTGACGGCAGCGTTCGACTTTGGAGCAGCTCATCCGACACCTCTAACCTTCGCTTCAACACCTTCAATTCCTCCTCGCTCGAGTTTCCTGACATCGCAGAACCAACGCCCTTCGTCAATTGGTCAACCGAAACTCCGCTCTCCTCAATTGGCATGCCCCACTACAACGAGAAGCTCATGTCCTATTTCGACTACGATCAGTACCTTTCCGAGGCTTCGCCACTTTTCAATCCCCCATCAAAGATCGACCCTGCTGTGTTGAGCAACCTCAAGACGGTCGACTATCTGGGTTATGCCAGCCTGCCACCGCATTTGAGGGGCAAGAGGAACGTCGTATCTGGTAAAGGACCGGGTGGCATTCGTGCAAGTGCATTGCACAGGCCAGAGGATAGAAAGAAGATCGGCATTCCACTCTTCCGCAGTGAGAAGGAGAAGGAGCAGAGTAAGAAAGCTGCCGCTGCAGGTATTACCCCGGCGGATAAGAAGAAGAAGAAAGCAGAGAAGAAGAGAGCCGTGGCTGGATCAGATAGTCTCTCCACTTCGACGGATTCCAGGCCAGAACGAGAAGCTGCTTCGGACAGCAGACCAGCATCACGCGCCGCAACCGCAACAGCTCGCTCAAAGTTGGCGCAGTCCAAACAAGATAGCCCGACTGAACAAGGCCGAGATGAAGCTGCAGACAATGACGCGCATGCACAACAGGACTTTGACGAGGAGACCACCGACGACAGTGATGCATCCGACCAAGAGGAAGGGCAGGAAGACGTCGAGACAGCCGAACTCATGCTCTCCAAAGGTCAAATGCCTTCCTACTATCGACTCAAGACCATTCAGTATTCGCGTTTTGGTGTCGAAGACTTTGACTTTGACTTTTACAACAAGACCCAGTACAGTGGTCTCGAGACGCACATCCAGAACTCCTACGCCAATTCGTATTTGCAAGCTCTTCATTACCTGCCCCCCTTCAGAGAGACGGCAAAGGCGCATATCCTGCAAAACTGCCCGCGAGAGAATTGTCTGCTTTGCGAAGCAGGTTTCTTGTTCCGCATGCTCGAAGACGCAAAGGGTGCCAACTGTCAGGCGTCCAACTTCTTGCGTGCATTCGGAAACAGTCACAAGGCCGCCAGTCTCGGGTTGATGGACAGAGAGGATAGCCTGACGAATGTCTCAAGTGCAAGTGGAACAGGAAAGAACGACATTGTTTACAGTCAACTTGCACAGACCCTCAATCGCTTCGTCTTGGACTGCACGGCCGACGAGTCTCAAGGTTTGCAGGCTGACTTTGCCGGTGGATTGGATGTCACACCGACCCGTGCATCATCAGCTGGTGCTCCACCCGGTCTCGGCCCTCCGTCCAGCAACAACCGCGGAGGACCAGCCGGACGTAGACTGCCCGGTGATCCAACTTCGCCAACATCTGCACTACCACCGAGCGAGTCGACCGTTCCATCAGGCGCATCATCTGCAGTCGCCAAGCTCTTCGCTCTCAACACGGTCACCAAGACGGTCTGCATACATTGCGGACGCGAATCGAACCGCAACAGCCCTTTGCTCTCTGTCGACCTCATTTACCCTCCTCGACCCATCTCGAACGAGCCTGCGCCGCCATGCGATTTTGCTTCGGTGCTGCGTGCATCGCTCGTTCGCGAGGTGCAGAACAGGGCGCCATGTCGCGCATGTCAGTTTACAGCCATGTTCCGCACTCGTCGTGTAATGCCTTCCCCGTCCGAGTTGCCCAGGCTTCTGTCAGTCAACGCGGCCATTCAGGCTCCCGAGCATCTGCACTACTGGTTGGACGACAATCAGAAGGGTAAGAGCAAGGCGACTCCCATGGCACCTGGTCGTGGACAGGTACCAGTGCAGCAACAACAGCAACCATATGGAAAGATGCCATACATGGGCATGCTCGGCAACAACAACAACAACAACCGTCGAGGCGGAGCCAACTCTGCCTTGCCTACAGGCTCGCGCGATTCTGCGAGTGAAGGCAGACGCAGCTACCTCCCACCACGCATCGCAATTGGTGTGTATGGCGACGATGTGCGCGTGCTTGCCATCTACACACAAGCAGATGTCGAAAGAGCCAAGGCAACACTCGGTGATCAGCCAGCGATCTACAAATTGCGATCGATGGTAGCGCAGATCTCAGTCGACAAAGAGCAGCCGCATCTTTGCGCCCTTGTTCGTGTTCCCGAAGCCGAGCCTTGCTCTACTCAGCTCAGCGCTGATGGTGGTGCTGGTGCGACGACCCCACGCATGGCCAACGCAGTGGCAGGTGCTGCCGGATCGACCAGCAAGAAGAGTAAGCAAGCCAAAGCAAGTCAGCTAGGACCCTGGTACTTGTTCAACGACTTCTTGGTGCGCAACATCTCGGAATCGGAAGCGCTCAGTTTCCCGAATAGCTGGAAGATCCCCTCAGTCCTCATGTTCGAACGCGAAGATCTACCTCCTCTTCCCATCGCCGAGCTTCGACAAGGTCGAACTTGCATCGACCCGACCATCTTGTGTCGTGACTTTAACATTGCAATCCATCGCGATCCGAAGAGAATTCGTCACAGCTTGCTGGAAGAAAGCGAGCTACCAGGCCCCGGAACATTGGTCGCGATCGATGCCGAATTCGTCGCACTGAACCAGGAAGAACTGGAGATCCGCTCAGATGGTACGCGGTCAGTCATTAGACCAACCAAGCTCTCTTTAGCCCGAGTATCCGTAGTTCGAGGGCAGGGAGAAAAGCAAGGAGAAGCCTTTATCGACGATCACATCTACACTCCCGATACCGTTGTCGACTATCTCACTAAATTCTCCGGCATCCTGCCTGGCGACCTCGACCCCAAAACATCACGACACACCGTCGTCCCTCTGAAATCGGCCTACAAAAAGCTCCGGCTACTCGTCGATCGGGGATGCATATTCATCGGTCATGGACTCAAAAAAGATTTCCGTATCATCAACATCTTGGTGCCCCCCTCTCAAGTCATTGATACCGTCGATCTCTACCACTCGGCCAACCACGCACGACGGTTAAGTTTACGATTCTTATCTTGGTTCTTGCTGAAAATCGACATTCAATCGGGTGCAAGCGCAAATAACCAGATCACAGCAAAGCAGGAACAACAGGCTTCCCAAGCTTCAACACCAGGGAGAGAGGGAAAGAGTGCGATGCACAAAGTATCGCAGTCTGCTTCGGGTGCAGGTTCGGTAGCCGTGGAAGGTGGACACGATTCCATAGAGGATGCGCTGGCAGCATTGAGACTGTTCAGGATGTACGAGATGTTTAAGGCGGCTGATAGATTAGAGGATGTGTTGGAGGATATTTATCAAGTGGGTAGGAGGTTGAATTGGAAGCCTCCTAATGCGGCTTAGTGTGATCCTTTCCAGTCCTAGTCGGAAGGCGCTTAGTCTCATGAAATGCAATGCAATCTAGAGCGAATCTTTCGAGATCAGCCCGATTCAGTGTATGTGTCGCATCCTGTGAGAAGAACGAGGCGATAGATCAGGAGCAGTTGTTTCGGTCTGTTTGTGCTTCTAATCCTGCGGCTTCGGTTACAGCTCGGAGCTGGCGGCATCAGTTGGCCAAGACAGGCCAGCAAAACCGAGTCCGGGGTTTGGACATGAGCGAGCCGTCTTCTTCCCACTACCAGCCGACCATTCAAGCAGGCTTTAGGCAGTTTAGGCGCTAAAATCGGAGGGGATCCAGTACAACGTAGCTGTGAAGACAGATACAGGCACTACAACTTGGATGCCGTAAGTATGCACAGCATGGCTGATTGAGATAAGTTAGTGCGTTAAGTTGCAATCCGTTGCCGAGTCAAGAACCGCGCCAAACAGCGGCTCTCTATGCGCTCGTACCCATGCTACAGATGACGAGGTCGAAGGCTCGGTAGAATGCTTTGAGGAGGCTTAGCAAGCATCTTGCTGTTCGTCTTACATCTCCTTTTGTACCTTGAAGCAAGATCACTCCTGGATGCATCTCGGTTATACATCGGCCGTCTTTGTTTGCTATTCTATTCTCTGCCCTGGGCATACCAAGTGGCTTAGCATTCATAGTCAGCATTCGCAAGAATCCCACTTTTCACGCCGATTCAGGTGAACGATTGGGCACCTAGAAAGGCTACCCATCGTAGCGCTACTTGGACCGCATTGCAAAGCGTTCAGTGGCCGAGGGTGCGGAAAGGAATCGGGATGCTCTTGTAAAGCATTCGCACATCTTTCCGCTCTTGGGCATAGTGACCCCAATCAAGTGGGTCGCCAGACAAAGCATTCGAGTGGCAGTCCAACTCAGACCTCGTTGCGAGTACCAAGCTCTCTTCCACATCTACCTTGTTCAATCAAGCGTGTATGCTCACGGAAGCCCTTTCCTTTGCCCATTCCATCTCTCCCAGGACAACTCGGATCATAACCATCACTTGCATCATTACGATTACAACCTCATCGAGAGGGTGCGCAGTAAGCCTCTGTCGACTCGCCTCGGAAACGTTACATCGGCCTCGAACTCGACTCCACCACTGCCGAGCGAAGCATTACATCGCACTCTCTCCCTCAAGATACCGGCGCTCGAAGAAAGCGAAAGCTTGGCCTCTCTCAAGGTTGGCGTGGCGAGTATTGTTTCCCACGCCCCGACCCCGAAGTGATTCAACAGAGGTCAGGAGACGAGGCCAAGCCCACATGCCTTTCAAACTGCTTCATTTCATCTGGTATCGATACTGTATTGCGAATCAAGTCGGACAAACGCCATTGGTTGGGCAACACACAAGCTCAGCGCAGAAGTCTCGCTCGCATCGCACCCATGTCGATACGCCGATACGCCATTCCAGCTTTGCACTTTGATAGGCATAGGCACAGTGGATCCATAGCTGCCACATCACTTCTGCGAGAGACCTTTTGCTTTCCAATCGTCTTTCCTTGCAGTCTCTCTCAATGCAGACTGCCTGAGTCCACTCTCGTATTGTTCTGATCATTGGAGACACCTCGAGAACAATACAAATCACGATGCCACCTGCCTCTTCCGTCGGGAGCAGTAGACGCAAGCACGGTCAGCCGACCGTCTGTCTTGAGTGCTACCTTCGAAAAGTCAAGGTAAGCTTTGACGCCATTGCTGCCGATTCTTCCACTGGAATCTTCACACTCACAGCCTCTAAATCCTCTCTCTTCTCTCCTCTCTTCTCACATGATCGCACACCTGACAGTGCGATCGCAAAAGACCATGCTCGACTTGTATTCGCAGGTGCACTCAGCATCTTTGCAAGACTTTCAACACCAGCCAGCTCGATCCTCAGAGTAAGTTGCCACCTACAACGCCATGGGCCTGTCATCGTCCTTGTATCAGTGACTGATCATGCATTCTCCACTTCACCCACACTGTCTCCATGCGTCGCATTTGGCCACGCCAGCTCTGCAAAAGAAGCAAGCAAGGCGATCGCTAGCCGAAATTAATGCGCTCCTCCATGAATCTAGCAGCGACGGTCACGGTGACGATGCAGATCCTCAACAACCATCTATGTACCATCAGCAGCCTGAGCATCCCATGATGGCTTTCATCAATCTTATGCTCAAGGATCTCAACGTGCAGGATGATCCGCAACTCGACAGCCAAGCGTCCTCCGATACTGCCTCTTCCAGTGCTGGATCTCCCACCACGTCCTATTCAGCGGTGGCACGCTATATGGAGAGCGGCTGCCTCACCAAGATGGTTGACTTCTGCCAAATTTTGCCCGACTGGTCTCAGCTCCAGGCACTCCTTCAGCACTATCTTTGGCATGTAGACTGGAAGCTCCTCATCACCAACCAAGACCTTCTCGAGGCGCAAACGAAGGATCTATGGGACAGGGTCATTCTCCCTTCACAGAGCTTTGAGGCTCGCGTGGCTGCCAGCAGTTCGAGCGCTGGCATCGCAATCCAACAAGGTGATCTTTCACGCCTTGCTTTGCTGGCCAGTGTCATTGGCGAAACGATAGAGACTCTTTCTCCCGATACCATCGTCGCACTGTTTCCCATCACCTTGCAACTCTTTGCCAACGAGCTCATCAAGCTGGGCGTTGACTCCAGCCCGCGAGTCAAGGCACTTTCACTCATCACTCATCACATTCACGCCCTCATCGATGAATGTGTGCGCCTCGATGAAATGACCATCGAACTTGTCCAGGCGAACCTCTCTAGCTTCTCCCTTTGGTCCAATCAAGGCCTTCACGGAGCTGGTTCGGCGGAGTTGCCGCGCTGGAACGTTACCATCCGAGCTGCCCAGGCATGCAAGCTCTTCGAGGACCCTAGCAGCAACACTTCCTTCTCACTCGTTGAATTAGACCATCGACGAAGGCTCGCCTGGCTCGTGTATGGTTACGACCATGCTTTTGCTATTGGCGCTAACACCAAGCCGCTCATCGTGGACTCGCAATTCAGTGTCGACCAGCCTAGCGATGCTCCTCCCTGGTCCTCAAGTGGGGTACCACCAGATGCATCTCTTGCCTTCCTCGAGGTGCAGGGTGGCAAGATCGCTCAGCTTGTCTCGAGCACCCTATGCTACGGTCCACCTCTGCATCGTAAAGCTATGGAAACCGACAAACAGATCACAGACACTCTGTCCCAGGTACATGCATCCTACAACTGGGACAAGCCTGATCTCTCGTTCGACTCGATCGACCCATTCAGGGCTCAACGCAGATGCTGGGTTCAACTCACAACAGCATGGCAGAGAGAATCACTCCACCGCCAATTCTTCTTTCCCAACGGACGCATCACAAATGCGGAACTAGCTACAAGCCGACACATTGCTACGAACAGTGCTCTTCGCTCCATCGCTGCGGTCCGAGAGCTACGCAAGATGCAGAACCGTTTCTCTGACCGCATGGGCTCCGCATGGTGGTATCAGTACTTTACAGAACCCTGCATGACACTCGCCACCGCTGCACTCCTCTTAATCCGCAGCAAAGGTCAAGGCGTCCCAGGTCTGTCCGATCAATGGAATTGCTGGCCCAGAGTGATGCACTACACCCAGATCATTGACGAATGTCTACAGGATGTCCAAGCTTCGATCAGTGAACCATCGTTATGCCTTTCCACCTTGCTAACCTTTGGTACAGGCTGCATTCGGTTGATTCAGCAGCTGAGAAGGGCTGTACAGACTAGCCTCGAGGCTCTCGTCAAGTGGCAGTCAGGTAGCGATGCCCTGAAAAGCCTCAGTATCGATCAAGACATCCTGTCATTGCTTCATCCACGTTCGCGTGATGGGAGCTCTGGATCGCAGTTCGCGAAGCTGACCGTCGATAGCACAAGCGGAGGTGGTGGCAGCAGTGGTGGTAGTTACAAACCGACAAAACAGGGCCTCAAACGTGGTGGTGAGGCTACACAGCCATCAACATCCAGCCGCAGCAGAAAGAGCATCGATCAATTCTCACTTGCTTCTCTTGATGCGTCGGCCAAGCTGACCGTACCTGCTGATTCGCTATCAGTGTCTCCTCGCCCATCCGCAGAGATGTCTGCGCAGACCGGTGAGATTCTTCCTACGACGGTACCTCCTAGAATGGTGACAGCGTCTTCTTTCAGCGCTGCAGGAGCCGGACGATTGAAGAACATGCACAGCATAGCGTCCGTCTCACCACAGCACAGTTCACCCGATACATCCATATCCGCCCTGTCTTCCGGCACACTCAGCCTTACCCTCGGACCTCAACGGGGCTTTCCTGGCTGCACGAGTCAAGGAATGAACAATCCAAGTACCGCCGGCCCTTTTCTGCTTTCCGAGCGACAACAGCAGAATCAGCTTCAGCAAGTGCCTCTTAATGTAGCAGCACCATACTACACTTTAAATCCTCCGTCTATTCCGGAGCCACAACAGCTTGTGTCGACAGTGCCGTCTGCTCTACCAGGCTTGTACTCGAGCGAAAGCATCCAGAGAGCTAATATGGAACAAGGCATCTCTCAATGCTTCGACTCTGTTCAGATGAAAATGGTAGAGCCGTCTCCAGCTCGGTAGGCGTCTAGGAAACACACGGAGCGATTGTCGCCAGAAGTTTGCAAACATCAGGTCATAGCAGTAAAAGGCAACAAGTCATGCGGTTCTGCTTGCGTACGACTACCATTACCGCGGACCATGTGGAAAGTCAGCGATGAGCACCACAAATAACTCGCCTCGAAAACTCATGCATCGCATCCCGCATGGATGAATAGCCTCGCACTTTTCCCTCAGCTTAGCACACTCAGCAAGATCCAAGCATCTCTAAAACGTACATCACTCAGCACTGAACTGTTTTGTCGTCTACAACGATTCATGAAACGTGGTAGCTTTCAGAAGGTCGCATATGCATGCTTTTCACCCAGATACGAATTTGCACTCGATCTTGTGCACACAATCGTCAGAAAGGAAGTGTGATGAGGTTCAGGTTGTTGGAAATAAGTAAAGAGTATCGACCAACTGTACGGGATCCCTGCTTTGCTAACATTACAGAATAGAGTGTAACTTTGAAGGGTATCTTGTAGCGAGAGCTTCACATGGATCGATATGGTCAAAAGTGGATAGAAGGAAATACCAACCTCGGCACCTTTCGTAGCTCTGCATCGTCTTTAGCTACCGCCCATAAATATCCATCGAGATCAACTTCGTTCATGTGGGCCAACCATTGGAATTCACCGGCCTTCTCTTTGGCCAACTCGTTCGCCCTTTCAACGATGACTTGACCGATATGCAGAGTTGCTGCACGAATAGCGTATGTCTCGTCAATGCTCAACTTTGGACCATCGACGTTCTTTTCTGAAGTATTCAACTTTGAGCGTGGGAGATCTGCGTTGCAGTGAGCCTTAGCCAGCCATTCGAACAACGTTTGCATCTTAGCCGCCGGTTGGCAAGGGGTGGTGAACAAGTTGAACCAGACGCACAAAGTTGGTAGAACATTATCCACGAACATTGGCAAGGTCTTGTAGGTATTCGGTACCGCCCAATCCTGCTTTCCTCCAAAGCGAAGATGTAGCGAGTGTAAGAGGAAAAAGATTCGCTTGAAGAGAAAGACCTGTTTGCCTCCTTCAAGAGTATGTGTATCCCTAAACTCTGCAAAGGTTGTTGAGATCTCTTTGACCAAGTAGTCTGTCGCTTCTACATCCTTCAGCTCCTTCTCTTTCGTCGCTTTGAGCAGCGAGACTACATACGCACCGATGCTTGGTTGGTCTATCTCGAGCAACTTGTTCCCCACATTTACCAAGGTAGAATGAATAAGCTGAACACAATCCAACATCTGCCCGCCTCGAAGACCTACAGTTACCCCTGGTAGTGTATCATGCTGTTTCTCCTCATGAATGCTAACGCCCAAGAGTTCGACTACTTTGGCCTCTGTTAAGCCTGCCATCCCCTTGGCTGTGAGTGCAGGAGAGCCAACGATTCGATCCTCTGCTCCATCACCAGAGCCGGAGATGTACAATGCGATCATGAATCGGACCATGTTCTGATAGGCTCCAATGCCGGTCGTGCGGTGAAAAGCAGCACGGTAACCAGAGAAAGCATTGAGTAGGGCAAGAATGGAAAGGAAGTTGACCTCTGCTGTGGGAGTGGGGAAACGGAGTGGGAAGGATAGACCGTGTTGCGTTCGGAGCCGGTTGTATGTGGGACCATCGAGGGTTGTGAGGAAGGCGTCGATGGCGGAGAGGTTCGGAATGAGGTTGAGCGCGGTTGCTGCCTGGCGACAGGACTGGCGAGTAGATTTGACGTAGTGGTCATCCGCTGGGAGCGGAGCAGTAGTCGACATGTTGATTGTAAGAAGGAAAGGTGTGGAGCATTGGTCTTCTGCCGTGTTGAACTAGTTGAGGATTCTTGCTTTGTAATCATGTGTTGTTATTATTATTTCTACAGATGCTCTGCTACACAGGTACATATATATGACTCAGCATGACCTCTAGATATGCTGCCCTCCCCCCCTCACATTGTTCATGTACTCATTGCATTCTCCTGGTTGTGTCCTTATGCTTGGCTCCTGAATTGTCATGGCAACTGATGTGCATAACACATGCATGCCATTCATTAGCAGTCCTTGCTTCCTCATGCACCTCAGGCAAATTACTTCCCTCAACTGCCTCCCTCAGCAGCAAGGCAGGTGACTGCTGAGCTGTTGCACATTGTAGGGCCATTAGTCCTAACCCCTTTCATGTCTGCTGTAGTATATCCCTTCCAACTGGTTTGGTGAAGACATCTGCCAAGTTCTCTGCTGTGTTAATGTACTTGATTTTCACTTTCCCATCCTGTACATTGTCTCTAATGAAATGGTACTTGGTATCAATGTGTTTCAACTTCCAATGCTGTGCAGGGTCTTTGCTTACCTGGATGGTACCTGTGTTGTCTGAGAAGATAGTGGGGGTGCCAGTGTCAAACCTGATGGCCCTGAAGAGATGTTTGAAAAACAGTATCTCTCAGGCCACTTCCATTGCAGCTATGAATTCAGCTTCTACTGCCGATAGGGCGATGCAGCACTGCAATGCAGATTTCCACACCACTAGGTTTCCATGTACAAATACTGCTGATCCAGATGAGCTTTTCCATTGTGCTGTGGCATTGCTTGCCCAGTTCACATTGCTATGTGCCATTAGGAAATCTTGTTGTTTGTTGCTCCCATACTGCAAGTGGGTGTCTTGTGTGTGGTCCAGATATTGGAGCACCTTTTGTGCCACATGGTAGTGTTCCTTTGATGGCTGTGTCATATATTGTGCGAGGACTCCTACAGCTTGACTGATGTCAGGGCATGTTCTGTTTGAGAGCCATAGAAGCTTGCTGACAATCTGTGGGTACTCCTTTCTTTCTGCAATGCTTGCCATTGTTTTTGGGACTGGAATATCCTGAAGTGGTACACTAGATTTCCTCTGACAGTTGACCAAATGCTCATCCAGCAGTTGCTTAACATAGCTGGTCTGTTCTAGATCCATGGTTTTGGCCTGTCTATCCCTGGAGATCTTGATGCCTAAGAAATGTGACATGTCACTGCCCTCTTCCATCTTCCACCTTTTCCCTATCTCCTCCTTAATACATTTGACTGTCTCTAGTTTTGGGGCTATGATCAGTGTATCATCGACATAGATGATCACAATTGCAAAGTCATTGCCTTTCCCTCTATTGTAAATGCATGGCACACAGTCAAGCCTGTTGAAGTGCAAACATTGGAGGAACTTATCAAATTCTATATTCCATTCCCATCCAGATTGCTTAAGGCCATACAACCCTTTTACAACTTGGTAGGCTTTCCCATCTGGCACCTTGGCACCCTTGGGAGGCTTCATATATATGGTGTGCTTGAGTGTGGAGTTTAGGTATGCCATCATGATATCAAGCTGGTGGACTTCCCAATCACACTCTACTGCCAGGGACAGTAGGGCCCTTATTGCACTGAGCAGTGCCACTGGTGCAAAGGTCTCTTTGAAGTCAATACCCTCTCACTGGGTAAATCCTCAAGCAATGAGTCTTGCCTTGTGCCTGACAGGTATGCCATCAGCATCTAGTTTGAGCTGGAGGATGATCTTGGAGTCAATGAGATTAGCATTGGGTGGTATGTCCACTATTTCCCAAGTTCCCATCACTTCAAGTCCATCTAATTCCTTGCATATGGCTTCCTGCCATTGCTGTGCCTCGTTGCTGGCAAGTGCTTCCTTTATCGTTGGCATGAGGTTCAGGATAGCTGTTTGTGCTTCTCCAAGCATGTCTTCAACCACAATTTCTGAGTTGTCATTATTGGTGGATGGTGCAGCATAAGTGTTTGAGAGTGGGTCCCATATGTTGAGCACTTCCACTTCTAGGTTGGGTTCATTGCTGTTTGGTTCTCGGTTTTGGTCTTTGGCTTCTAGGTTCTCAAACCTGAACTTCAGTGGGCTTTGTGTCTTAGGTTGGTCATGCCAACTTTTAGCCTCATGAAACATGGCTGAGTTGCTCCATCATATTGAAGGGCTGTAGTCTGGAGTGTAAAATTTCCAGCCTTTGTGTTCATTGTCATAGCCAATCATAATCCCTGGAATTGCTCTCATACCATGTTTGCCTGTGTGATCCTTCTTAGGGAGGTGCACCCATGCAAGGCAGCCAAAGACATGCAGGTGCTTGGCTAGGCCTTGAGCAGACTTGTGGTAAAACTCCTCATATGGGATCCTGTTGGTATTGGCAGAGGGTGTCAAATTTAACATATGTCCAGCTGCCATGATGGCATATGGCCATAGTTCTTTTGGCACTGATCTTTGCACAAGCATCACACACATTCTTTCTTGGAGGGACCTGATCATACATTCCACTCTTCCATTCTGAGTACTAACATATGGAGTGGTTTTCTGCCATACAAATCCTGCCTGCCTTTTCCACTCTTCTGCTTCTGAGCTTGACCACTCTGATCTGTTGTTGCTACAAATGCACTTGAGTGTGTGGTCAGTTGCTGTCTCTGCTGCTTTGATCCATGTCTTTAAAGCCAGGAATGCCTTGGCTTTGCTAAGGAGTGGTTTCACATGTATGTAAGATGATGAGTCATCCACCACCACTAGTGTGTGGTGGTAGTTGGGGTGACCCTGTAGATCAGTCATCAGGTTGATGTGTACTAATTCCAGTGGTGCTTCAGCTCAGTTTGTTTTGCTGCTTGGCATTCTTGCTCTTGTTTGCTTTGCCTGGCTGCAACAGTTACAGTCCTTTGCATTGTGCTCTAACTGTGTTTCCTTACCCAAGTAGTGAGCTTGGATTTGCTTGGTCTTGTTTCTGCCGGGGTGGCTGAATCATTTGTGCCATAGCTTGCTGGTGGTAGAGCTTGTGGGCTCTGCTGGCATGATGTTGTTGTCAAGGCCCTCGAGGGGGTTGTTGAGTTGTGCTGCTAGGGAATTGCCATAGATTTCCCATCTCTTCTTGTGTTGGTTGGTCTTGCTCTTGACCATGCTTCCATCATGCTGGAGGATAGTGGCTCCAGACTCCTCAAATATCACACATGCACCATTTTCAGTCAGCACTGGGATGGACAATAGGTTCTTGCTAAGGTTGGGAATGTGAAGTACATCAGTGAGTGGTATCTTAATGTCTCCTACTTGCAAGGTTGCATTGCCTATTGCCTGCACTTGCAACCATTCATGCCCAGCAGTATCTATGGATCCTTGCTTCAGTGTTGGAGCAATGAGCTTATCCTCATCATGTACCATGTGATGTGTAGCTCCAGAGTTGAGAATCCATGTACTGTCTTGGTTATGGTTGCCAGTGTTGCTTACGAAAAGGGTGCACCCAAATCCCTATCCCTGCTGAGTAGGAGTTCACTCCTGACTGCTGGTGCAATTGATTGCAATGTGCCCAGGTTGCCTACACTTATAGCACTTGGCTGGTTCATTAGGGTTTGTGGGGTTGTGCCTACCCCTATTGTAGCCCTCTTGGTTGAGAACCTGCCTATGCTCACCAGCTTGGCCTGTTGAACTTCTGTTGCTTGTGACTCTGGCTGCAGCTCAGATATGACCTGAGAGCTCGGCTTCTTGGCACTTCTTGGCTAGTGCATGATATGCATATTCATAGTTGCAACCAGGTTGAGTGGCCTTGAGGGAGTCTACAGTTTGGGTGTATAGCCAGTCATCCTTGATGCAGCAGTAGAGGGTTGATTTCTTGAGCTTTTCATCCATATGATTACCAAGCCTGGCAGCATCATTCCAGATCTTGTCAAGTTCCTTACCCAGGTTGATGACATTGTGGTTGAGTAGCTTGATTTCATGGATGTGATCATGAATGGCAGAGAGTTTTACTTCATCATTAATTGTGAGGGCAGCTCTGAGCTTCTTATACAGTGAGGAACCTAGCTGTTCCTCCTCATCATGCTCTCATACTGCATAAGTGTCAATGTGGCTGTTGGGTCTGTGGTCACATGAGGACAGAATAAGACCTAGTAGGTGACTGTCTAGTTCTTTGTCATAGTCATCATGGCCAACCAGGATTTCTCCAGTGAGGGTACACTTGGCATTTTTGATTGGGCAAATGCAATCCATGAACATGGGTTCCCAAATGGCCCAGTTGTTCTCATTGAGCTTGACAATCTGCAAGATGATGCTAAGTACAGACTTGGGGATCTTTTCAGTTTGACTGGCATTGGGTTGGAAGTTCATCATGGTGAAAGCACATTCAAGGATTTGGTCTTCCTGCCAATTGGAGTGAGCATCTCTGACTATCTGCATGGTATGTTCTAGCAGGGCTATGCTATCTACTCTTGGTGGCATCCCAGTGGCAAGGTGCTGGAAGCTGCTGAGCTTCAGACTCTTAATCAGTTGAGGATTCTTGCTTTGTAATCATGTGTTGTTATTATTATTTCTACAGATGCTCTGCTACACAGGTACATATATATGACTCAGCATGACCTCTAGATATGCTGCCCTCCCCCCCTCACATTGTTCATGTACTCATTGCATTCTCCTGGTTGTGTCCTTATGCTTGGCTCCTGAATTGTCATGGCAACTGATGTGCATAACACATGCATGCCATTCATTAGCAGTCCTTGCTTCCTCATGCACCTCGGGCAAATTACTTCCCTCAACTGAACTCAGCCGCCTCTGGTAATTCTTGTCTTTGTTAGAGCTTCACTTGTCACATAGAGGCGATTTATTTTCCGGACATATTTTCCGGCCGATAAGAAGACACAATCTTTCCACTTTTGCTCTCACACAAACACACACATACAACTCTCAACTTTGGCATCTCGCATCTTGAACCTTGCACCATCACCATCTTACCAACACTCGATCACCACCGGCGCTCGAAGGCATCGAGACAAGTATTGTTGAGCATGGCGTTCAGACAAACGCTTACACGCCCCGCTTCTAAGCACATCTCCTCATATGGCACAGTCCTCGATCGGTTCCTCAACTCTCACAATCTCTCCACCTCTTTCCCCTCCACCAGGCTCTCCTCATCTCCACCAACACAAATTGTATCCCTATTCGAACCCACAAAGTCCGCCATTACCGGCTGCTGGGCACCCCCCAAATACTCACTCCGACGACAAGCGAAACTTGTCAAAGAAGCTGCCCTCACCAACCAACTCTCTTCCCTCCCCGACGGCCCGAAAAGCACGTGCATCCAACAACGTTTGCACCGTCTAGCAAAGTCTCATGCTTTCGAACAAAAAGCTAGCCAATACCAATACATCCCCCGCTCCGCCTCTGCACCCCCGGCTGTTTGGGTAAGAGGTCAAGTGCTAGGTGAAAGGGTAGTAAAACCGAAACAAAGGGAAAGCAAGCAAGAGAGGGAAGAGGCGATGCATGCCGCACGATTGCATGTCAAGGATGTAGGACCCTACTCAGGAAGGGCGAGGATCTTTAAGGGTAGTAGAGTGGACAAGGATAAACAGAGGAGATGGGCGGATGTGGAAGCGAGATTGGACAAGATGCGAGAGAGTAAGAAGGAGTGGCAAGAAGGGCAGAGGGAGGCAAGGATCAAGTTGAAGCCTGGTTTACCTTTCTAAGCTCCCCAAGGCGCCTTATCTAAAGTGTAAAGTATAGGCTGGACAAGTTGGAATCCATATCACCCGAACCATCTTGCTACGCTGAATGTGCCTTGGCATCGAGAGCAATGTGTTCGAAGATGGTGAGCAGCAAAGCAACTTTCGTTCGAGATCTGAATGTGAGATTGGCATTTGCAACATGCTTGCAGAAGAAAAAGAAAAAAGTCGAGGTTGCAATTCGAGTCTTTGGCTGTGTGCAAGCGTGATCGGCACTCTTCGCAAGGGTTGTCGTGCGAATGGATAGAAGTTGAGAATTTTGGTGCTGAGTTACTGATGAGTCATTTTTGAGTGCTATTTACATAAGCATATATATATGTGCATGCTTGGTGGTTACCTTCAGCCTGTGCCCATCTATGACTAGTTCACCCCTCACATCACTCCTAAGTTGTTATGGTAATGCCTATGCAACCCACATGCATAGCCACCAACATGTGGTTTCATATCATCAATGGTTATTTGCCCTCCATGGACCCTGTAGGCTCTGTTCAGTTCCAACACGTCTCCAACCATTGTTACATTTCCCTCAACTGTCTCCCTCAGCAGGGAGGCAGGGAACTGCTGAGCCACTGTACCTTGCTGTGGTGTCAGTCCCAACCCCTGCCATGCATGTCATAATACTTCCTTGCCCACTGGCTTGGTGAAGATGTCGGCCAAGTTGTCCTCGGTGCCAATATATTTGATTTTGACATTTCCATCTTGCACGTTATCTCTGATAAAGTGGTACTTGGTGTCGATATGCTTCAACTTCCAATGTTGTGCTGGATCCTTACTAACCTGAATGGTGCCTGTGTTGTCTGAAAAGATTGTGGGGGTGCCAACATCAATTCCAATAGCTTTGAAGAGATGCCTGAAGAAAAGTACTTCTTGTGCAGCTTCAGTTGCTGCCACGAACTCTGCTTCCACTGCCGACAAAGCAGTGCAGCATTGTAATGCTGACTGTCATGGGCCTGGGTGCGCAGTATGAGGAAAGACCGAAGTTCATATGAAGGTAGTGCAGGAATCGTGGAATTGGGTAGATCATAGGAGCTGCGACAGAGTTCACCAAGATCGGCAGTAGAATCAGCTCTATGGCAGATCACAGCGGAATCGGCACGAGCATCATCGATATCACGAATCCCACCGGAATCTGCAACAAGTGAGACCTTGTGGCAGATTCCGTGGAGATCAGTAGCAAGGTTGTCCGTACGATGATTCACATGCGAGAGGGACCGAGCTCAGTGACATGCGGTCAGTTACCACTCAGGGGCCACAGAACAGGAGTAGAAGAGAACCATCACCAGTCAAAGGAAGGAGATCTGTGTATAGGACACTGGCAAAAGGGACATGAAGAAGAGGAGCAGTGTCAATGAAGTTGACACAGCTCAGGAAAGACAGGAGGGACAAGGTTTGATATGGAGGAGCTGCCTCTTTGGAGATCCCTGTGCAGTACTCAACAAAGAGGGTAATCTCTGGAGAGAAGGAGGAGGAGCAGTGTCGCTGGCAACGCTGCGAAGAGGTATATAGTCCTACCTCCTCGTCACAAATGGTTGAGTGGATGGGCATCCACTCTACACTCATCAAGCAACTAGTATTACTTCAAGCAATAAGTAACATTAGTTCACAGTCAGCATAAGTAGTAATCAACAGATTGCTCCTCATTGAAGCATGTGTGTTGTATCACCATTTCCTGATGTCCGAAGGCAGTTCATAGCAACCAGCAGTCTGGATAATCATAGACTGAAGGCAGACATCCACTGCAGCCTGGGGATCACTTCAAGCGTTTAGTCGACACACTGGACACTCGTGTCGGCATCAACATTCCATACCCACACCAGACCATTGGTGTCAGTATCAAGATCACTTAGAGTCATATTATAGTTTGATTGTGCCGAGCTACCTCTGGATGGAGTGTCCACAGCAGTTAGTCAAAATCTGTCATAACAATAATACAACTACAGATTCTAATGAGAAAGGTGACAGAGAAGGCTCTGTCACATATTTCACTAAGAATCGAAATACCATTAGTGCTGTCACATAATTCGACAGAATCGGTGATAGTACAGATACTACTACTGATCTCAGGTTTTAGGCGCGCGACCGCTGACACTGACTTCCATGCGACCAGGTTCCCATGTACAAACACTGCTGAGCCTGATGAGCTTCTTCGTTGTGTGGTGGCATCACTTGCCCAGTTTGCATTGCTATGTGCCATTAGAAAATCTTGTTCCTTGTTGCCACCATATTGTAGATGGACATCCTGGGTGCCATCTAGGTATTGTAGTACCTTCTGCACTGCATTGTAATGCTCTTTCGATGGTTGAGTCATATAGCATGCAAGGACCCCTACTGCTTGGCTGATATCTGGGTGTGTTCCATTCGAGAGCCATAGGAGCTTGCCAACAATCTGCAGGTATTCCTTTTGTTCAGCTGTGCTCACTGCTGTCTCTGGGGCCAGTATGTCTTGGAGTGGTATGCTGGATTTTCTCCTGCATTTGTCTAGGTGTTCATCCAGTAGTTGTTTAATGTAACTGGTCTGCCTGAGGTCCATTGTCTTTTCTTCACGATCCCTGGTGATCTTGATTCCAAGGAAGTGAGACATGTCACCACCTTCCTCCATCTTCCACTTCTTGCCTATTTCCTCCTTGATGCATTTGACTGTTTCTAGCTTTGGAGATATAATCAATGTATTGTCAACATAGATAATCACTATTGCAAAGTTGTCCCCCTTTCCTCTGGTGTAGATACATGGTGCACAATCAAGTCTATGGAAGTTTGAGTGCTGCAGGAACTTATTGAACTCCATGTTCCACTCCTGTCTTGATTGCTTGAGTCCATATAGCCCTTTTACTACCTGATAAGCTTTTCCTTTTGGTACCTTTGCCCCTTCTGGTGGTTTCATATAGATGATGTGCTTGAGTGTGGAGTTGAGGTAGGCCATCATGATGTCAAGTTGATGGACCTCCCAGTCCTGCTCCACTGCCAGTGACAATAGGGCTCTTATTGCACTGAGTTGTGCCACTGGTGCAAAAGTTTCTTCAAAGTCTATGCCCTCTCATTGTGTGAATCCTCGTGTGACAAGTCTTGCTTTATGTTGGACAGGTACCCCATTGGCATCCAGCTTGAGATGGAGGACAATCTTAGAGTCAACGAGTTTGGTGTTTGGTGGTACATCCATGATTTCCCAAGTTCCCATGGCCTCCAGTCCATCCAACTCCTTGCATATGGCTTCTTGCCATTGCTGTGCATCTTCACTGGTGAGTGCTTCTTTCATCATTGGTGTGAGGTTTAGGGTGGTGGTGTTCGCTCCCCCAATCATGTCTTCAACTGCTATCTCCGATTGGTTGTCTTCAGTATCGTTGATCAGTTGTCCAATTGGTGCATGTTGGAGTGAGTCTTGCATGTCAAGCTCTTCAATTTCTGGTTCAGGTTCGAGGTCGTTTGCCTCTGGTTTGGCACTTTCTGCTTTGAGGCTCTCAAACCTGATCTGCAGTGGGCTTTGTACTTTGGGTCGATCATGCCAACCTTTGTGTTCATGGAATGTAGCTGAATTGCTCCACCGGATGGATGGCATGTGGTCTGGAGTGAAGAATTTCCATCCCTTGTACTCATCATTGTAACTGATCATGATTCCTGGTATGGCTCTTGCACCATGCTTACCTGCATGATCTTTCCTTGGGAGGTGAACCCACATGAGACAGCCAAAGACATGCAATTGTTTTGCCAAGCTGTGAGCTGTTGTGCAGTGAAAGTCTTCATATGGAAATCTGTTGGCATTTGCTGATGGTGTCAAGTTAAGTACATGTCCAGCAGCCATAATGGCATAGGGCCATAGTCCTTTTGGCACCAATCTTTGGACAAGCATTGCACACATCTTCTCTTGGAGTGATCTGATAGTGCACTCTGCTCTCCCATTCTGTATGCTGACATACAGAGTGGTTTTCTGCCACTTAAACCCTGCCTCCCGCTTCCATTCCTCTGCTGCTAAGCTTGACCATTCCATTCCATTATTGCTGTGAATACACTTTAATGTGCGATCTGTTGCTATCTCTGCTGTTTTGGTCCATGCTTTTAGGGTGGGGAATGCTTCTGCTTTGCTTAGGAGCGGTTTCATGTACATGTAGGATGAGGCATCATTGACAACTACCAGTGTGTGGTGATAATTTGGATGTCCTTGTAAGTCTGTCATTAGGTTGATGTGTATCAACTCTAGTGGCTCCTGTGCTTGTTCCATTTTGCTGCTTGCCATTCTTGTGTGTGTTTGTTTTGCTTGACTGCAACAGTTGCAGTCTCTTGTGTTGTGCTCGAGCTGTGTATCCTTTCCCAAGTAATGAGCCTGGATTTGCTTAGTTTTGTTTCTGCCAGGGTGGCCAAATTGTTCATGCCATAGTTTGCTTATTGTGTGGCTTGCAGGCCTTGCTGGTGTCATGTTATCATCAATGCCCTCAAGGGTGTCATTGAGCTGTGCTGCTAGGGAGTTGCCATGAACTTCCCATCTTTTCTGGCATCAGTTGGTCTTGCTCTTAACCATGCTTCTGTCATGTTGGAGGATTGTAGCTCCAGATTCTTCAAATATCACTCATGCACCATCTTCAGTTAATGCTGGGACAGACAATAGATTCTTGCTAAGGTTGGGAATGTAAAGTACATCTGTGAGGGGTATTTTAACATCTCCAACTTGCAAGGTTGTGTCTCCTATTGCCTGTACTCACAACCATTCATGCCCGGCAGTATCTATGGATCCTTTCTTTGGCATCAGAGCAATGAGCTTATTCCCATCACATACCATGTGATGTGTTGCTCCAGAGTCGAGAATCCACATACTGTCTTGGTTACAGTTGCCAGTGTTGCTTACGAAAAGGGTGTGTCAGGGGTCTCGCGCCTGAAACCCAGGTCCGTCTGTCGAGATACTTGGTGACTATCAAACTGTGCGGCAGCTATTGTCTCGGTATCGGTGACTATCAAGTTGCACAGTGACAGCAGGT